CAGTTATCCTTTCAGCTTTGTCTTTAATTTGTAATTAACACTAACAGTGGCCAAGCTGGAAGCATGTTGAGTTATTCTTGGAGTGAAACAGGAGCAAAGCATGTCTTGTATAAGAGTAAAATGTGTAAACTCAAAACAAAAGACAAAGCGTATCTATTGCTTGCCCTTTGCATGTAAAGTATCTGTATCCCAAAACTAGTGCTATCCCACGTGATTGTCTCCCCTACTAATTGCGGAAATACACCTCCCACTTGCTCTTCAAGTGGGTCCTTCTCCTTCATCATCCTCAAGACTGCCATCCTTTTACAGAAAATGATAATCTCTTAATCCATGGTTTTATTAAGCCCAAAATTTGGACATCTACGTTAAGGACATGCCACTTCACTATTAAAAATTCAAAATGTATTCTTAGCACGTGTAGCACAGTGATTTGGACATTGGGTTACTTTTTTTTTTAAATGGCTTTATCACCGACGGCTTACTTTGCGTGTATAGCTTATTAAAGATTGTACATTGTTTCTGTAATTAATAAGGTTATTAAGATAAGGAGAGGGGAAATATGGAGTTTAATGTGCATCAAATCAATCACTGTTAAAAAGAAAGCCTAATACAGAAGGTTAAATTTGATGAGATGAGCAAAGTTGGCAAAGGGTAACACTGACAAATTCGGAAGCTAAGCGATCAAACACACTGTAGGTGTGAGTGTCTATCCTTTTCAATTTCAGTTGCACAAATTTATTATCTCTATGAGTAATACTACATCATAAACACTTTCCACTAATTTCTCTCAAATACCATATATCAGCTCACAATTCGTCAACCTGTCTAAAATAAGTCCCTTCTCATTAACTTCTTTCATAAATATCACGTTCAACTCATAATTCGTCAGTTCATAATTCATTAGTTCACATAGATTATGCTTGTCTAATAATAAGTTCCGTCTAACAAACTAATTACAAACTCTCACGTGAGGTTAGTGAGAGAGGTTTGTTAGGTTGATATGTTTATGCCCAACTTGTATACACTGTAAATCTCCTACAAGAAAGGCCTGTTTTACGAGAAACAGGTACGAAGTCCATTTAATTAGTCCAAGATTTTCCTCAGCGTTACAGACCCAATACAGCCCAAAGCTCCCACAATCCGCTGGGCGAGCTACACAATTACACCCCTCCTTTCCGCAAGAACAACTGAACAACCCATAAAATTCTGTCTCTCGAGTCAATTCAAATATTCAACATTTCATTGTTTCTCTGAGGATCACTTGGTTTTCAAACTATGGACTTCGATTCCGTTCTCAGAAGGGTCTTGAAAGAAGGTGATGAAATTGGATTGTACTGGAATCTGGACGGGCGGAAGTTTTCTCATGATTGAGTATAGTTTTTTATATCGTCTCTGTATATTTCTTAATATCGTTCTCGCACAGTAACAGTCCTTAATTTTCTTTCTGGTTACGCTTACAACGTTAAAACTCGGGCAACTTCATGAATAAAATGCGTGCAAAGCTTGTCCACAGTCCACTAACCATCAGAAACTATTTCGCCAAGGCAAAGCATGTCAATGTCTAACTCAACTGCAACCAAGAGGTCCTACAAAATGCCCTCAAGGACTCGATCTGAAACCAAGTAGTCCTAAAAATGTCCTGAAGGGGGGACTTTAATCTCTAATGTTTTCATCTTATGCCTAAACTAAATCAATTGAAATCAACATAAAGAAAACGTTACAGATGAAATGCGGTAAACATTTAATAATACTCAACAAAACTGAACCAACTGTAAAGGCTAAGGCGCAATTTCTACTAGCCAAATGCTACACAGAAAGAATACAGTAAATTTAAAAAAAATTTAAACAGGTGAAAGGCAGATGACTGGAACCTCTATGAAGCAAAGCTTACTCCTAGTTGCTGTGAGTAGAACTCGTATCCAACTGTGGAAAGAATCTCCTTAAAGCAAAGTTATTAAAGGTTCAAAACTATTTGTGATATTTAAAATAAAAGGAGAAAGCAGACAAATCACGGGCTACTCTGCAGTTGGCTGAGGAGTGTTTGATCCTCATCTTACCACTGTCATTGTTATAGTCAGTGTATCCTTCTCCGATCCGATAAAACATGGTATTACAGTTCACAGTTAAGCAATCATGAAATATAAGCTTTGTCTTTACGATACCCAGATTGCCTAATAATCCACCCAAAACCTCTTACTTGCCGTGTCGGATTCTTCATCACAGAGTTAAAAAAGGCAAGCACATTTACAGGTTTTGGCCTCCAATTCTTTACTCCCTCTGCAGCAAAGCTTCCTTGAAGCAAGACAAAGCTCCATAATTCTCTTCTCTCCAATATGTCCTTCAGCAAGAATCTCCCATGTAGTTGAATGGCTTTCCTCCCACTTCAACAAGTGATTGAAAAAGTCTCAGCTTTATCAAAATTCCTTCTTTAACATAACATCCAGGAGAAGATTGCTATTCTAGGGTCATAAGATGACTTAACTGACAGCCATTCCTCATATACATTTCTATACCTTCATATCACAATCCTAACCAAAGATGAGATCATAGATGGTATCCCAAATTTGGAATACTAGGAAAAATCGATTTGTAAGCTTCCACACCCTATACCTCCTCTTTATTACCAACACCACCGTACAGACTTAAGAGATAATGATAAGGTATCCTATCCCGACCAGTTATTCTACTCTCAACCCTCCTTAAGCACTCTTCAGCCTTTTCAAACTGTCCATCTTAATATACATTGTAGCCATTGTGCTGAATGTAGTCAGTTCGGATTAATGGCTCTATCCTTTTCATCTGTCATATACTGTTCCATCTTTTCTCCAGATCCTTGGGATCCACAAGATGATAGCCAAATGTTGTACGAATATACATCTAGTCGAACGCCTTTCATCATTTCTGAAACCACTAAGTCAATTTATCGTACTCTTGAGGTTCATATAAAGAGTCATCATCCCATTGAACGGAAGAGAGTGCGTAGCATAACCCTGTCTCTATTTTGTCAAATAATAATTCAGATCTCCTCTCATTCTAGCCCGAACATAGGCATTCAGAAGAGCCCATATACTCTCCTGTCCTTTAAAGTATGAGGAAGCTGTAGGAAAAAATCTTCAGCACTAGATATCCATTGGCTTTGGCAATTAGGTCTAACTGAATGCAGCATCACTAGCAGATAATCTGAACCTCTCTCCTCTATTGTTCATCCACTCATACACCGCAGAAAATAAAGTCAGTTTAGCAACTCAAATCTCTGAACAAAAATGCCTACGACCCCTAGCCAAGGAAACACCAAAGGACAAATTTTGATCAAAACAACCCTATTAAAGAAGCTCTCAGTATCCTATTGAGATCAGACAAATATTTTCTTTCTCTTTCCTCAAAATCAAGCGACATTACCTGACTACCCGCCAGTCTATTTACATTGAAATTTGAACTTCACTAGTTCTACTAATTCCATCCCTAAATTTCTCAGGGGCCAAATAGCTCACACAAAATTGCGGCAGAATTGATTCTTTCCTCCTGCACTAGCTGCCTTTCAAACAGGAAGAACTTAAACTAGGCTTTCCAATGAGACAGTTTAAACTTCATATGTATAAAAAGCCCCATACCAGTTAAGATTCATTATGAACTTGAAGAGAGGTTAGGGATTGCAACTTTAACCGAAATAACAAATGCCCATAAAACAAGACGCACAAAAACACTGACAAAGACCCCAAAAAAGCTTCGATTGTCTCAAAATCTTGCTTGCAGCATCATTCCACTAAAAACAATCCAATTCATCTGAAAATAACAAATAAATGCTAAACAAAGCACCAAAAAAATTACTTTTAATTGGTTTATACCTCCAGAGTTGCTTGTAGCGCCTGTACTTCCTCAACTCCTTAATAACTCTAGATAGCTCCCATTTTGTAACCTTCTGCCACCATTCTCCCACTGTTCAACACAGAAGCAGACACAGCCATTTCAGGATTCTCCATAAGAGATATTTTCTTGTAAATGAATTCCATTTGATCATGGGTCTTCGCTCAAAGTCCACCGTTCCATAGTTGTGAATTTGAGATATAGAGCATCTTATGATGGGGAGTTTCTGGTGCGTTACAGTTTGGTTAAGGGCAAAAGTAGGAAGTTTACATGGAAGAAGTTGAGAATAAGAGAGGGTTGAAGAGAGAGAAATGTTGTGGTGATTATGAAGAGAAGGTTGAAGAAACATGTTTCTGAGATGCGAGTCTTTGCAGATTGTAGTTTGTTTAAAGTGTATATACTGCGAAACGAAGGTTTTTTTCTCGATTGAACAGATTGATCTTCCTTCAAGATAAGTAGTAAAATTACCTTTAACTACCTGAATTTATTTGGTTTGTTTGCGAGGATAATTACATATACCCCCAGTAGTTAGCAGAAACTACAATGAACCCCTCCTCTTATTTACCGCCTGAATTGTGTAGTATTTTTTGTCATTACCAAAAGAATTATTGGAACTTGGAAGAGGCAAAACGATATTTGAATAAAATTGTTGACCCATAAAAACTCAAGAAGCAGCTGAGTGTCGTTTACCCTTGTGTTCACACTGTCACGTTAAAATCTCAAAGTGCAATTAATATTATATTCCTCAATTAAGTTTTTTTATTTTCTTCGCTGGTCAAATTCTTATTGCCACTGCCGCATTTGTTGTGAACAAGAGCAAGAACGGTGGAAGTCTGCCGAGATCCGGTCGGCAGGTTTAGTAAAAGTAATAGCTCCTTGCTGGTTCAAATAGTCGGAGCCAATACCAGGAATCTGAAAAAAGTAACAAAGAAAAAGGGAGCAGAAGTGCAGAAAATCCATCTTATGCAAACTGTAGCACACACGATGGTGCATATTTTGTTTGAAATCAAACTAATTCAAGGATGTCAGCCAAAAATAATTTTTTCTTTTCCATAAAAAATCATAGGTTTGAGTTCATTGTGTTAATGGATACCAAAACAGTTCCATGACAAAAGAGCAAGAATATAACAACAAAGTTCTCATATTAAGCAAGGAAAGAAAGGGCGAAACTCGAGGAAGAACAAAACCTCAACAATAATTTTGGTTTTGCTTCCAATATGATATCAAAGGCAACTTTCTATCCTCTATATCAAACCACAAGTGATTATCAATCACATACAAAATGAGATGCCATCTGATGGCCTTCACATGGCAGGTAAGCAACTGGTTCAAGGTATCAGGAAACTTGAACTTACAGGTTGTCATGCTCATTACCTGCATTAAAACCATATTGAAGTTGAGAGATGCAGCTATAATCCATATTTGACACAATGATTTTGGCAAGATCAACTCACAGATATGGAATTGATAAAAAATCAAGAGCATCCTGGCCACTTTTTACGCATGACATCGTTGTTTTCCATGTTTCCATGGACATATACTTTGGGCTCTTTAATCTGCAGATATTAATCGCAAAGAGAATTTTCAGATCTGATAATCTTAGGCCACTGCCTGTGTGAGACACTGTCCTTTACCTACCAGTAACAAGGGTGGAAAACTCATTTGGGGACGAACCCTTGAGAAACCATCCACAGTAAATAAACACTTGTATCCATCGACAGAAGAATGCTCACTGTTACATAGATAAGAAAGATAAATTACACGTGCATTAGCAAAAAGTACTAAATCTTTTATGTAATCCAGTGCGCATGCACGTCATTGGCTATTTTATAGATATTGCAAGATAGGGGCAAAAAATGCAAAATCCCAACCTCACTTCATGACATATTTGACCCAAGGACACGTTACAAAGATAGCATAAAGACAATGGAATACTCACTTCAATAGATAGGTGAAATTTCTCTTATGAAATTCTTCCAAAGGGATGCCTTCTTCTTTGGAATATCTGGCATTATAAGACATAGTTATGAACTGATAGATAAACCTTGGAAACAGCAGACATGATTACTGTGCACAACATGAAAGAACAATGCTTCATCGGAGTTATGCAAAAAAAAAAAAAAAAAAATTAATTACTGAAAGTGCGATGTCAAGCCCATTTCAACAAAACAAATCTGAGCATACTGTACAGGACCACTTTGTCAGTCATTATTGACCAAAACAAAAAGGAGGGACAAAAAAACAAAGATATTCTCAATTTTTTCCTGGTTCAATAAACTTGGTCAGTAACAATCTTGTTACAGCACAACTCATTCTAAGTTTCCATGCCCTTGTGTTGTACTAACAATCTTGTTAGAGCACAGCTCACTTTAAATTATCTATATTCCCAACATTTCAGGCAAGTGATGCCACGATTGTTATAATGTCCAAGCAATTAAAATAACCATGTAATAAATTCTCACCGAACTGGGGAACTCATTCTAAGTACCATGCCCTTGTGTTGGTACTAACATTCTTGTTGCAGCACAGCTTACTTTAAATTATCTGTGTTCCCAATATTTCAGGCAAGTGGCATCACAACTGTTATAATGTCTAAGCATTTAAAAAAACCATGTGGTGAAAATTCTCACTGAACTGGGGAAACATTCCCGTACTTGGATAGTATGAACCATGGAAGCAGTTTAAGCAAAGACTGTGGACCCCACATGAAATGTCGCAAACTATTCACAGATTTTTTATCATTTACGTTTACACACTATGGAGTGAAAATGTTGTAAAGCCAGTTGTAAAGTTAACATTGTTTACATACATAAGCAATAACCGAGCGTACCTCCATGAGACATCATTTTCACAAAAGCGGGATATTCCATTCATGGCTGAGTAAGTATCAATGTGAACCCAATGTTCTTCAGAACTGTCAGCAAGATGACCTACCAAAAAGATCAATGCCCAATATTTGCCACAATAACAGATTTTAGGTCAGAAGAAACATTATATGAAATACCAAATTCAAAGAGAGGGAAAAAATATATATATATAATTGACTGTGATTTCAAAAATAAGGTAGCTACAGTTTTTTAGTATCGCTGAAGACATTTCTGTCTAAAACAATTTTTAGCAAGAAACACCATTGTTGAAAACATCCCTCGACATTTCTTCTGCTCGTTTACAGTTAAGAGAGATAGAGAGAGAGAGAGAACTCACCAATCTGATGCAAATACTTTAAAGAATAGCCACTGGGATAATTCTCATAGGATGCCATGAAAAATATGACAGTGCACCCTAGACTACAGAACATAAAGATAATTACCTAAAAGGAAGTAACTCATTATCCACCATAAAGTAAATGACTAGTCATCAAACCTGATTATAAGAAGTCCTAGCAAAATGATACTGAGCACTTTCCAGAAGGATTTCTTCCTATTGATGTAGCTGTAACAATGTAACAAGCAGTGCAACAAATATGAATCCTATTAGCAATTGGGAAGCATTAAAAAAGTTTCAAAAATTAAACAGCAACCAAACCGTTTATTACTAAACTAAAGAAAAATTACTGTTTACAAGTACAACCAAACAGCGTCAAATTCATACATCCCCACGTAGAAGTCCAACAATGTGCAACATACACAAAGAATGTAAGTGTCTCATGAATGAGATGACTTGCAATTGAGAAAAAACATGACAGCCAATGATGTGATTAAGGACATCTCTAAAAACAGAGCACAGCAAAAAAGGCATTGTGCAGTTTCTTCCAAAAGGTGAATGAGATGACTTGCAGTTGAGGCATGTCCCAGTAAGACTGAACATAAATAATCTGAGCAAATTAGTGCAGCTTACAACAAACTACAAACAAGAACATACATCCTGTTAGCTGCAACTGCTGCTGATAAGTTGAAAACTGGTAGTGAACTAATAATAAATCGAAGCTCCTGCATTAATTTTAAAAAAATATTATTATAACCTGTTCTCTGATAATGTAAAAATAAAGTGAGCCACCAGAGTTTTCCAAATACCTTGTGAGGAAGCTTAGAGTAAAGTAGTACAAAAGAGAAAACAGGGAAAATAAAGGGTAGAACTCTCCTGTCAAGTAAGAACCCAAGCTGAAAAGGAAACATTCTAAGTTAGGAACCGTTATGATTTATGAAGGAAAAAAAAACAAGATGCCAAAAAATTTATAGGTTTGAATACTCACTATACAAAGAGGATATGCAACAAGCAAAGAGCGTGGAAGGGCTGAAGTGAAGTACCAGTGAAATGAATGTGTCTAATGAAACACAGTGAAGGAAGAGCAGATAAAATTTGCCTAATTATTACCTAAACATGAAACAGCAAGGCTAATCAAGAACCTAACAAAGGCAAGCTCTACAAGATGTTTGTCGACCCTTACCATCACAAATGAAACCTACAAAATGAAGATGACAGCTGATTACCCAAATCTGTGGTGAATGCCTATGTAGAGGCTCCTTAAATGCAGTCACCACATTTAGTATGAAATCTGACAGTACCCACAACAAATTTATGGAGGCAACAACAAATTTTAATAGATATATTACTCATCAACCATATTGTAAATGTAGATTTACAAATGAGGTGAATTGATAAAGACGAAAGAGAAACCTTTGAGGAAAACCAAGAATATCACTGAAATGCTTTTTTCAAATTCCACAGCAAAGTAAAATGTGCTATGAAAAAGTCATTCAACAAGGATACACCCCACTCAGAACTCCGATTTAAAACAGAATTGAACCACAAAACTTCAAACTCAGGCCACACTAACTTCTTCCACATAATCGAATCAACCAATATGGTGAGGCCTGCGCAAGAAAAAATCATTCATAATTCTATCACAGAACAATTCTGATGAACAATATTACATAAGAACAATTTACAAACCTATGGACAATAGAGCAGTTCCGATACAGCATTTTAGTGCTTTCCACAATGAAATTGATTTGGTCTGTCATTTACAAAACGAGATTCTTATAACAAGGACCAAATGTTAATCAGACTTTTAGCATTAGAATACTGAGATACAGTAGCAAACGCATAATAGGAGGGGAGAATGTAGGAAAACATATACTTACTCATAAAGAATAGTACTACAAAAAAATTACTCAAGTTAAGAATATAAAAAGAAAAGAACATTAACTTATGTGTCACGCAGTGGTTCTTTAAGAATATAAAAACAATATATATACATGGAGTTTGAAGGAGTCTAACATTATATAAGTTGCATCCTAACGTAGAAGTGTTCAAGGCTTATAACTTTCCCATATTGTCACTTTATGGTTCTAGGCATCATGGTTTTAAAATTAAAATAGGAGTTCTCTATATCTAGTCAGCACATAGATATATTACTGTAGTATGTTAATTCTTTACAATGTTCTTCCAAACATTAATTTGTACAGATTGCAGACAGCCTTGTACTCTCTTTCAATATGCAACATTATAATGAGAAAATATCAATAAGCATATTCCAGAAAAAGAACAGCAACTTACCAACAAAAGCTCTATGCCAAGAGGACCAAGAAGTAACACCATATCACATCTAAAGACAATTGTGGTGAAAATCTGATCAGAAAACAAAACAAAGGAAAATCAAAATAATCAAAAATCATGAATATTCTGATACTTAAAGCAAAATAAACAGACATACCAGACAATTTAATGCCGCATAAAAATGCCCTTTGAGCCAAAGCCCATATGCCAGATTGACTACACAAAATTAAGAAAAATAATTAGCAGCAGCAGTTATAGTAACATATTTTAGTCAATCTTTTTTAATGACTAAAAATCCTTTGTCCTTCACTTGCATGTGCACCAGACAAAGTTGGACACTACTACATGACCCTACAACATTTAGCGGTCAAGAAACCAGTGAAAAAAGGTCCAAGGTAGGGGGAACAAGAACCTCATTGACAAGAATGAAAGGAAATAAGCAATCAATAGTACAACCACAATGACATCTACTTCTTATCTAATATTATAAATAATCAATTGCTCAGCCTCACAGAGCTAGAGAGATGAACCAGACATTGAACAAGTCAATTAATATGCATTAGTCCTCTAAGCAATAAAGAACAACCTTAGAGCTAACCATGTAAGCAAAAAGGAAGTATCAAACCATGAACCAGACACAGAAGTTTTACTAGAACTGAGATCTCACATCAAGTTATAATCTCTAACTACCAGAAAACGAAAAGCACTTCCATCATCTTCAAGTGAAAATGCACTCCATCACAAATTTGACTATGACAGTATGTGATGTGCATTAAAAAGGGAGAAACCCAATTATGCTAAACGATAGAAAATTTCATGTAATTGTTTTGAGGGAACAAACTTGTTTGTGAATAAAATAGATAAATAGAGAAAACAAAAGACGGTTAAATAAAAAACAGTAATCACCTACACCAAGAGCTAGTACATTTGGAAGAGGACGTGTGCAATAAAACAGGAAGTGAAACTGAAGCGCAGTTAGTATGACAAAGAAAGCTTCTACTTGCTGTCCAAACTTTTTTCCAACCTGCTTAAACATCAACACATTAAAAGTTCAAAACCCTTGCAAAGAATGCCATAGCTATCCAGCAATATAGTCGATTTTACCATTTTTATTCTATACATTCACTAGAGTTTTTATTTGAAGAAGAAACAATCATTTAAAAGGCATATCATCATTCTCCATGCAGCCACAAGATTTGAGAAGACATGAAAAGGCATACCCTAAGAAGGATCTACTGCAACACATGAACACCAACAAAAATTCCAAGTTTATCTAACCCTGGAAGTTCTTGGATCTCTGAGTTTGGATGGTTAAGATGACCTAGGCTACTAGCTCAAATCAGATTGAAGCCATCTTTTGCACAGCTAAAAGTGCATCAGCTTCCTGGATTTTTATTAAATTAACTTCTAGTCAAGACAATGCGAAAATTCTAGCCATGCAATGCAAAACGATGATTTATTACCTCTTGAAAAGATCGTAGATGAATATGAACACGGTTCAGAGACAAAAAAAAAAAAAAAAGCACGTACCTGAATACGGAAAAACCGCAGTGTAGATAGTAGGATGCAACCCAATGCCAAACGTACTACAAAATAACAATTATAATAGGTCAGTCAATTTTCAGAAAGGGATTCCCCAGTAATTTACAAGAGCTTAAACGGATGTTCCACGATTTACCAATCATACTGATATTAAAAACAACACTTCTACACAATACCATAAACACAAAATAACAAGAAAAATGGTTGCAAAACATTTTGTTTGATTTACTTTTTCCAGTAACTGCAAATTATTATAAAAATGCAGAAGCGCTTTATCACCACAATAATCATATTAGCATCAACAGGCTCAAAACTGAAGTGAACAGTGTGCATCTTAGTCTTTTCTAGTTCAAGCCAAAAAGGTACTAACACGAACATTAACTATCTCAAAAAGAAAAAAGAAAAGCAGTTCTTATTGCAATTCTAAGTTCATGTTTAAGAAGGCACATGGTGCAACACCCCAACAGAATTCATTTCAATGAAACCTAAATGAACCGATGGGTCCCCATATATAGAAGGGCTCACCTGCAACCAGACCATAAATCTTTGGCAAGTGCAGCAAGCTCATAACTAATATAATTGGAGATGCTAAAATAGATACAAGTATAGCACCTACAAGAAAAAAAAAATGTTAGAGATTAATGATTCTCAACTGATTCANGTAGTGATTGCTGAATTAAGTTGTTCCTTCTAATTGTTGATGAACATTTAACATTAGTCCAATTTTGAATACAGAAGATTTCTTTTGTCCAGATATGAAGAGGGGTTATTGATTAGGTATACACGTTTTGGCACAAAGAATTTCCTAATACGCAATGTACCTGTAATCAACTTATTTAACAGTCAAACAAAAGAAAGTCCGACACGGGTTAGGAAGGCAGCTCGAACTAAGGGGATAAACGGAACCCTTAGCCCAGACTAAACTGGGGTCATATTGACCCAAATGAATTCGGGCTTTCTAGATTGGAGAGTAACCCTTGTGCCCAAACAGCAAAAGGAGGTTCATCCTCGGCCTAAATTTGAGGTTCCTTACTGTCATGCTCCAACATATTATTGTTGTGCAACTGTACAGCACTTAAATACTTGATATACAGCAGTTAAATAAGACTTGAAACGGCAGAATGTGTGTGTGTATAGCCATCAAAAATCGAAATGTTTGACAGAATACTATTTAGGCAGCAACAGAACTTTCAACTTATGAGCTCTTCCCTCACCAAAAATTGAGCATTCCAACAATCGGAAATTCTTTTAGTAGTTACCTCAATTTTACAATTATTCTGACTGTAACTGTGACTTTCTGCCTCCTCATCTTGCTTGCAGCTGCCGACTGTTACTGCGTAATAACATCAATAATGTCTAACCCTTTTTCATTGTTAGATTGTCGGTTACATTTACAGATAGCACATTCATTTCTCAAGTAACCTGCTCGGATATCAGTAGTTGTCGTTCGGCGCCGCTAGATGTTAAAATTTTTTTGACCCGTGACACTAACCCAGTTTATGTCGACCAGTTGCAGCTGCCTAAGTTAAGCACATTAACTTTTGGTATTCTGACAAAAGAGGAGAAATTTTGTTTGTTTTTATTCTCAATTTGGTATATATGAATATGGTCATACTAGTGACTTCATAAAAATAAAACTTTAAATAAAAGCAAAACCAAAATTAAATAAAATGGCATAACCAGAAGTGTTTTGTGTGTTCTAAATGCTGCAAGTGCCTGGATGATAGGATTAAATGGTCAATATGGCAATTATAAGACTGTTGGAACTGGAACTCGTAGCCTTTTTTTTCCATATCACAAGTTGGGGTAAGTGGTAGCATGCCATCTTTCCCTTTCTGTCTTTCGAAAGTCTAAACTNATAACAGACAAACACAAACTTATTCAGCTTTAGAGGATATGAAGCTTACCAATAAAAGTGCGAGGAACAACTCCAGGGAACTCCAAATGATCATACTGACACGAGAAGTAAATATTTTGAAATCCAATCCAGGCCCAAATTGCAATAAAATTACAACCCACCACAACTAACAATAATTTAAATTAAAAAGTTTAAAACAAACAAGTGAACTTACATTATCTAAGCGATGCCTATGATAAAGAATATCGTGCATTGCCTTCACAAGACAGGAAGAATCGTGTTAAATTCGAACTTAAATCACTTTGTATAATCAAAGACCGCAATATTCAAAACTCAAGTTTTTTTTAATCAATTTCAGAATTCATATTATCAAAAACCCAAATCTTGAATTTTCAATTCAAGATTTGGGCTTTTGATAATAAAAATCTTAAAGTCAAAACGTTAGGGTTTTTTTTATAAAGAAAACTAGGAATTTAAATATTTAAGTAATTCTTACCCCAAATTTTCTTGGCAATCAGAATTTAAAACTCTCTTAGTTCAAGTAGAAGCGTAGTAATTTACTTTAGTACCTGAACGTTAAAGCTTTCCTCAACCTTAGTGTAGGGCACCATTAACACGTAAAAAGCAGCGACTGAACCCAAAAGCAAGTCATAACCTGTACAATTTATCTACAAACTATGAGACATAATTGAAAATTATTCACCTTAAAGGATAAAGTGATTGAAAAATGGACTATAATGACCATAAAGCTTGAAAAAATGAGAAGATTTCGACGCCATTGCGAGTTCTTCGTGCTCGCTGGAAGAGAGTCCGCTTCTGTTGAAAGTTAAAATAATGGCACTTTCTTCATTATTAACAGCTATTTATAGATATACAATAACGGTTTATGAATATTACACTGTAGTCCTCATAACAGTTACTTTGACTTTAACGATGGAAATGATTTTTTGTCTTTTCTAAGTTTTTTTAAACAATAATACTGTTACTATATACAAAGTAAGGTAAAAAAATAAACAAAATAGTAAAATAAAAAGTTAAACTCATTAAATTTATTATTCTATTCATTTTTTGTCACATCATAAAAATCTTTATAAAATTTCTTTATAAGTATAGTATTATTCTTTTTTAAAATAGTGTAAAAACAACAATAAATGCAAAACTTTAACAGTTAGCAACCAGACCAGCCATTTACAGTCATATTTTAAATGCAAAAGGAAAACTTATATATATATAAAATATATATATATATATATACGTTTTTTATTTAATTTTGAATATTGAACCTCCTTTTAGTGCATGACAAATTATGTATTAAATATTTTGTCAATATTAAAAATTAAATCAAAATATATATATGATTAAGTGATTGAAAAATGAACTATAATCACCATAAAGCTTAAAAAATTGAGAAGATTTCAACGCTATTGCGAGTTCTTCATGCTCGCATGGAAGAGAGTCTGCTTTGATGAAAGTAAAAGAACAGTATTTTCTTTATTACTAAGAGCTATTTATAGATATGAATATTACAGTTTGATCCTTATGACGGTTACTTTGACTTCAATGGTGGAAAATATGCTTTTGTCTTTCCCAAGAAGTTTTTTTAAATGATATAAAGATTGCAATAAATGCAAAACTTTAATGGTTAGTTAAAGCCTACAGCCCATCAATTATCTTATTACAGATTTATAGTCAGATTTTAAACGTAAAAGTAAAAGTTATATATATATATATATATATATATATATAACGTTTCTAATTTAATTTTGAATATTGATAAAATATCTAATACATACATAACAATAGAATTGTAGTGCGCTAGAAGGAGGACTTGAACCTCCAACCTTCCTTTTAGTTAACAGCCAAACGCTCTAACCAACTGAGTTATTCTAGTAGCATGTTTTAAAATACTAATACATATTTATAGGAAAATTTTATGAAGAGTGAACATACCTGCCAAAGGTTTGGTGAATCTCCAAGTTCTTATCTATGGTTTCATAAATTTGAGAGTTTTACCTTTAAATTAATACCATTACTGATGATTGGGTTATAACACAGTATATAGATTACTATTACCAAACTACCCTTAAACCTTTTACTTTTGATTCAAAATAACCTTCCACATCTCAAATTTCTCTCCATCGCCTCTCCACCTCCACCTTTACCACCATTGGCCAAGAAATCCCGACCAAGCCAAAAATCCAACCAAATTCCGACACTGTTGAACCTCCCCAACACCACCATCAACATCCCCTTATCCTCCTCACCAAAACCCCTAACTTTTCCACCCGAGTGCACCTGCTAATCGCCAGCCGCTGCTCCTTGTTGGTCCACACAACTTTTCAGTTTTCAGATCGGATTTTGGTCACTTTCAGCACTGAAAATCACCCCTAGCACCACCATCAACCTCCTCATCTCCTCCTCATCAAAACTCTACCTTCATCAATTGTCCCCGCTCGTTGTTTGTTGTCTATCACCTGCAACTGTTTTCACATGACTATCGCATTTTTGCGACTTTGCTCCATCGCACGACGTTGATTTTATGCACTCTATTGCTTGCTATTGTGTTTGTTTGTTTGTGAATTGTTGTTGTGTTATTGTTTTTTGGTCACAATGGGCGTCCCCCTTGCATCCACAACCCCTTAGTCACTCTTCACTCAACCAACCACCATACTTTCACCCCAAACCTTGGAGATTTTTAACTAACTATTTGATGATTATAAAACTACGGTTGGCAACTTAGAGATTCATCAAACCTTGGGTGGGTAAATGTCGTTTTCTCTCTTATAAATTTGGGCTTTTTATCAAGGTCTTCCTAGCGTTTACTGTGGACCAGAGAATTTTAACAGACTAATTTATTATTACTCTTATGCACTAATTACGTTTCAATGATTCAACAATTTTTTTTTTTTTTAATATCTTTATAGCTTCATCTTATGCACATAACAATTAGGTCTACAAATATTTCTATTCCATCTTAATTAATATCTTATAATTTTAATTCATTGAAAATTTAATATAGTACAATTTCCGCTAGCATTGCTCAAGTCAACATTATAAATCCAATCATGTATTATACATTACAAATCCGGTCTTGTATTATTTTCAGTGCAAAGGTTGAGTAATAGAGTTCTAACTCTGTTTGTATATAAGGAACGGAAAGCACACTTATTTATGCACAGGTTTTATAAATTTTGGATGGTTAAAATTAAATTAAAAATATAAAATGCATTCAATCTTAGTTTAGTTTTTTAAATTACATTGGAACGAAAATTCTATTCTAAATGGGAATTTGAGTTGGTTCTATTCTAAATGGGAATTTGAGTTGGTGAGATTTATGTTTATAAATTACAGCATCCCACTGTCATTATCATCTACTTAAATTTTGACCGTACGCCTTAACCACACATCCCAACGCTCATCTTACCACTTGAGCTATCTAAGGGTGGGTTGTTTTTTAATTAGATCATCTTCAAATGCTTAGTTCTGTAAACATTTTTTAGTATGGATTTCTAAGTTAATTGATATGTTTAATCTTTCTTTCCTTTCTATTGTATCATGATTAATAAGATTGCTATTTCAATCTGGTATAGATTTTTTCCTCCGCAATTTATAACTTTGGTTTGTGAAAGAGCTTCCTGATTTAATTCTGCAATTTAATAGTCATGATTTCATTTTTTGACTTTAAAAACATGGGCAAGTTGTAGAAAATTTTCAATGTATTGACCCGATACATCTTTTTAGATGTGTTTGTTTTATTATTTTGAATAGTATTTTTAAAAAAGTTGAGTTTGGTTATTATCATGAGAATAAGATTTGAATTTAAAAATGTGTTTGGTAAAATTATATTTTAATTTCTTCTATTTGTTAATTTAGTTAAAAACCCATTACAATAAAAGTTTTAAAATTAACAAAAACACCTCTATCCATCCATTAAATGCTAACAATCGGCCACTGCCTGTCGAAAATATGTGAGTGGGTGGGGGTGTTTTTGTTAATTATAAACTTTTATTATTGGGGATATTTAATTAAATTAACAAATATAAGAAGTTAAAAAAATCTAAATATTTTGAATTGAATAAAATAGGATTAGATTTTGAGAATAGTAAAACAAACATGTAAGATTAGAATATGAATAATAAAAGAAACACACCCATTGGTTTACATAAATTTTGCTTTACTTTTTATCTTTACAATGTTCCATATTAGAATTGGTAAGTCGTAGTCTTATTATTATTACTCGCTAGGGGTATATAATATTATCAAAAATTGTGAGTGTGTTTTATATTTCATTATCTTTAATGGGTTGAATAATAATGAGTTTGCGTATTGATCACTATTAAGAGATATCTATAAATCAAATCTGTAAAGATTGCATTCAACAGCTGGAATAGCTCAGTTGGTTAGAGCGTGTGGCTGTTAACCACAAGGTCGGAGGTTCAAACCCTCCTTCTAGCGTCCTATATGTTTTTGTCCTTTTGATTTATTTATATCATACGGAGAAAGATGAAAAAAAACCCTTCTTGTCATAAAAACAAATATTAAATAGATGAATCAATTAGTATTCAGAGGTTCTCGTGTTATCTTGATGACTATACATTTAATTCATGGATTAACCTTTTAGTACTGTGAAATGTCTTCTTACCTGGATGGAAGAGGAAGACATTAAGAATTGCAGGATGATTGGGCGAGAGATAAAGAAACTTCCAAGATCATCTTCAACTGTTGCTTGGATATTCTTCAAGTCTTAAGTCAGCAGAAGATTCAGTAGATGAATTTTATGTGGCATATGAGTAATATACAGTTGATTAAAAACATGAAATATATTTTTGAGTTGTTTCATAAATTACATTATATACATAGTATAATTATTATTCTTGGACATCCAACTAATAATAGTACACTTATTGAACAAGTGGATGCTACTATCAAAAGAATGGATGTAGAAAGAGCTAGGGAGTTGGATGTTTTAGATGCAAAAATTGTCCTGCTTGGAACAGCTCCACCATCATCATCTTGCCAAACACAACCAGGAGGATTCACTCCAGCTTGAAAAGTCATTGTTACAATGAGAGTAACCACCACCAAGATCACATTTCGGGCATCGGTCGGCGAGTCCCTGCCTTCTTCGTACTGGAAATGCTTGAACCAGCTCTTCCCANTATATATGTGTGTGTGATTGAAAAATGAACTATAATCACGATAAAGCTTGAAAAATTGAGAAGAGTTTGACACCATTGCGAGTTCTTCGTGCTCGCATGGAAGAGAGTCTGATTTTGATGAAAGTTAAAATAACGGTATTTTCTTGATTACTAAGGGCTATTTATAGATATGAATATTACAATTTGATCCTTATGACGGTTACTTTGATTTCAATGATGGAAAATATGTTTTTATCTTTTCCAATAAGTTTTTTTTAAATGATATAAGGATTGCAATAAATGCAAAACTGTAATTGTTAGTTAGCGCCCACGGCCCATCTATTATCTCATTACAGATTTACAGCCTGATTTTAAATGTAAAAGCAAAACTTATATATATATATATATATATATAACATTTCTGATTTAATTTTGAATGTTGACAAAAGAGAAGTGCTAGTCTTACAAAGACAAATACAAAGGGGACATACAAAGACAATTGCTACCCTTGATCTTCATGATTTCTCTCTCTCTCTTTCTCTTTTTCCGTTTTTTCTTCCCTTTATAGCCTTTTTTGTAAGGATAGCATTTTTCTTGACAAAATATCTAATACATAAATAATAGAATTGTAATGCACTAGAAGGAGGGCTTGAACCTCCAACTTTTTGGTTAACAACCAAACGCTCTAACCAACTAAGTTATTCTAGTAGCATGTTTTTAAATACTAATACATATTTATAGGAAAATTTTATGAAGAGTAAACATACCCGCCACAGGTTTGGTGAATCTCCAAGTTCTTATCTTTGATTTCATAAATTCGAGATTTTCACCTTTAAATTAATACCATTAGTGATAATTGGGTTCTAACACAGTATTGAGAGTGCTATTACTAAACTACCCTTAAACCTTTTACTTTTGATTCAAAATAACCTCCACATCTCAAATTTCTCTCCATCGCCTCTCCACCTCCACCTTTACCACCATTGGCCAGGAAATCCCGACCAAGCCAAAAATCCAACCAGATTCTGACACTGTTGAACCTCCCCAACACCACCATCAACATCCCTTTATCCTCCTCACCAAAACCCCTAACTTTTCCACCCGAGTACACCCGTTAATTGCCAGTCGCTGCTCCTTGTTGGTCCGCACAACTTTTCAATTTTCAGATCGGATTCTGGTCACTTCCAACACCACCATCAACCTCCTCTATCTCCTCCTCATCAAAACTCTACCTTCATCAATTGTCCCCGCTCGTTGTTTGTTGTCTATCACCTGCAACTGTTTTCACAAGACTATCGCATTTTTGCGACTTTGCTCCATCGCATGACGTCGATTTTATGCACTCTATTGCCTGCTATTGTGTTTGTTTGTTTGTGAATTGTTGTTGTTTTTTTGTCACAATGGGCGTCCCCCTTGCATCCACAACCCCAGGGGCGAATCCAGCCCACTTTGGCCCACCCTTAATTTTTTTTTTTAAATACTAATATATATAATTTTTGGATTTCGGCTCACCCTAACAAAAATATTAATATGTAATTAGTTTTTATTTTGGCCCACCTTAAAAAAAACTTCTTGATCCACTACTGCACAACCCCTCAATCACTCTTCACTCAACCAACCACCATACTTTCACCCCAAACCTTGGAGAATTTTAACTGACTATTTGATGATTATAAAACTACGGCTGGAAACTCGGAGATTCGTCAAACCTTGGGTGGGTAAATGTCGTTTTCTCTCTTATAAATTTGGGTTTTTTATCAAGGTCTTCCTAGCGTTTACTTTGGACCAGAGAATTTTAACAAAATAATTTATGATTACTCTTATGCACTAATTACGTTTCAATGATTCAACAATATTTTTTTTTTTTAAATATCTGTACAGCTTCATCTTATGCACATAACAATTAGGTATAGAAATATTTCTATTCCATCTTAATTATTATCTTATAATTTTAATTCATTGAAAATTTAATATAGTACAATTTCCGCTAGCATTGCTTAAGTCAACATTATAAATCCAGTCATGTATTATACATTATAAATCCAGTCTTGTATTATTTTCAGTGCAAAGGTTGAGTAATAGAGTTCTAACTCTGTTTGTATATAAGGAAAGGAAAGCGCACTTATTTATGCACAAGTTTGATAAATTTTGGATGGTTAAAATTAAATTAAAAATATTAATTATATAAAATGCATTCAATCTTAGTTTAGTTTTTTAAATTACATTGGCACGAAAATTCTATTCTAAATGGGAATTTGAGTTGGTTCTATTCTAAATGGGAATTTGAGTTGGTGAGATTTATGTTTTATAAATGGACATGTATTGGTAATGAAGTTTCTAAGATGTAAGTGACTAGTACAACATCCCACCATCATTATTATTTACTTAAATTTTGACCTTACGTCTTAACCACATATCCCAACTCTCGTTCTACCACTTGAGCTATCTAAGGGTGGGTTGTTTCTTAATTAGATCATCTTCAAATGCTTAGTTCTGTAAACATTTTTTAGTATGGATTTCTAAGTTAATTGATATGTTTAATCTTTCTTTCCTTTCTATTATATCATGATTAATAAGATTGCTATTTTAATCTGGTATACATTTTTTCCTCCGTAATTTATAACTTTTGTTTGTGAAAGAGCTTCGTGATTTAATTCTGCAATTTAATATTCATGATTTCATTGTTTGACTTTAAAAACATGGGCAAGTTGTAGAAAAATTTTCAATGTATTGACCTGATGCATCCTTTTAGATGTGTTTGTTTTATTATTTTAAATAGTATTTTTGAAAAAGTTGAGTTGGGTTATTATTATGAGGATAGAATTTGAATTTGAAAATGTGTTTGGTAAGATTATATTTTAATTTCCTATATTTGTTAATTTAGTTAAAATCCCCCTACAATAAAAGTTTTAAAATTAACAAAAACACTTCTATTCACCCATTAACTGCTGGCAATCGGCCACTGTCTACCGAGAATATATCGGTAAGTGAGGGTGTTTTTGTCAATTATAAATTTTTATTATTGGAGGTATTTAGTTAAATTAACAAATCTAGGAGGTTAAAAAAAATCTAAATATTTTGAATTGAATAAAATAAGATTAGATTTTGAAAATAGTAAAACAAACATGTATTTTGAATAGATTAGGATATAAATAATAAAACAAACACACCCTTTGGTTAACATAAATTTTGCTCTACTTTGTATCTTTACAATGTTCCATATTAGAATTGGCAAGTCATAGTCTTATTATTATTACTCGCTAGGGGTATATAATATTATCAAAAATTGTGAGTGTGTTTTATATTTCATTATCTTTAATGGGTTGAATATTGATCACTATTAGGAGATAGGTATAAATAAAATCTTCGCAGATTGCGTTCAACAGCTGGAATAGCTCAGTTGGTTAGAGCGTGTGGCTGTTAACCACAAGGTCGGAGGTTCAAGCCCTCCTTCTAGCGTCTTATATATTTTTGTCCATTTGATCTATTTATATCATATGGAGAAAGATGAAAAAAAAGAAAACCCATCTTGTCATAAAAACAAATATTAAATAGATGAATCAATTAGTATTCAGAGGTTCTCGTGTTATGGTTGTAGTCTTGATGACTATACATTTAATTCATGGATTAACCTTTTAGTACTGCGAAATGTGCAAGAGCCTGATCTGAAAATACATTTGCAAGCACCAAAGGAGTATCCAGATTTTCTTATAAATATTGAATCATTGGTGAACCTAAAGTTGCAAGTAGAGCTCCATCACGTTTTACATATGCTGAATATTCAATATTCAATACGACAAACTATGTACTAAATGTTTTGTCAAACAATTTCTTCTTGTGTCTCTGGTTACTTTTCATGCCTCAAGGTGGTTTAGTTAGTTGAGTTTGAAGGTAATGAAAATGAAGTTGAATGGTGAGATTTTTGTTGAAGAATGGACATGTATTGCAAAAGATGATTATTACCTGGATGGAAGAGGAAGACATTAAGAATTGCAGGATGATTGGGCGAGAGATAAAGAAACTTCCAAGATCATCTTCAAATGTTGCTTTGATATTCTTCAAGTCTTAAGTCAGCAGAAGATTCAGTAGATGAATACAGTTGAAAAATTGTCCTGCTTGGAACACCTCCACCATCATCATCTTGCCAAACACCACCAGGAGGATTCACTCCAGCTTGAAAAGTCATTGTTGCAATGAGAGTAACCACCACCAAGATCACATTTCGGTCATCGGTCGGCGAGTCCCTGCCTTCTTCGTACTGGAAATGCTTGAACCAGCTCTTCCCAATGCTTAAAGTAGGGCCTTTAGGCATTTTCTTGATCCGCACTATAGAAAATGATGCAAAAAACTTGCCTTTTGAGTATGTTTATAAAGAAACTAAAATGGGGAGACTGAGATTACATCGTATGGATTGGCCGGCCTCAATTTTATTACTGAAAAACGAATAGGGAGAACAAATTAAGAGGATGTCGACACAGACATACAGGATAAGTACATATTTGATGCTGTGTTTCAAAAACAAGGATTTAAAAAAAAAAAATATATATATATATATATAGGAAAACTTTTAAATCTTTGATAAATTGCGTGCCTTTGGTTGTTCTGAGATAACTTAGACTATTATTATCAATCAAAATATTCGATAGAAGCTTCCTATATAGGTCGTGTCAAGTTTCCCACGACTAATACATTGTATAATCTAAATAATTGAGGAGATCCCCGGGAAAAAGCAATGGAGGCACTAGAACTTTGGTGAAAGAAAAAAGCCAATAACCAGTTATTCAGTCTAATTAATTAGCATGAAGAAAGATTGTACAAGCTTTTTATTAATGACAAATTGAAAGGAAAATTAAGCAGAAGAATACACAGAGACAGGTTCTAATTCTAGTATAAGAAATTTCACATGTCTTCAATTGCATATGCTCTTCTGTTCCTGACATGCTTTGATCAATGCAATTGGCAAAGTGTGGAAAACTATAACTATGAGAATTCCAAGTCCTGCCACACACCGCCAGGAGGGTATAGCCATTAGAACAAATATCAAAACATTACGCAGAAAACTAACTGAATCTCTGTTTCTCTTGAACTTGAAGCAGAGGCGGAAGCAAAAGGGTGGTGGTGGCACACCTAGCAGCTGCAGGTAGGGCGATTTTGAGGGAAAACAATTATATTGAAATGTTTCAAAATTTATGATTATGACATATAGTCATTTTTAATTAATTTCAGAAACTATCTTACTGAAATTTCTTATTAAATTGTTAAAATGTAAAATATGTGGGGGTGAGAGGAGGAATAAGGTGAGGCATATAAGGTTTTGAGAGAGGTGGAGAGGTTTGAGTCTTTTCAAAGGCAATGGTTAGGTTAACTACTCTACTGGTGATAAGTTTAAGTGGAGCCTTGAGAAAACAACAAAACCACCCATAAATACCCTATGAATTATGACGAAATTAGCCAGTTCAATAGATATAGAATAGCCATCATATGTTACGTTATCATTTATTGCTGCACCCCTGGCCATGGGTTTTATATACGGATAACACTATTTATACAAACTCTTATACAAAGAGAGTTTATACAAACTTATATGACATATCACAAAGCATACTATATGACATAAAGACCCACATAACTTAATATCATATTAATGTTACGTAGACTCTTATGTCACGTAATATATGAACTTTCATATCACATGACACTTATATGATGTGCGACGTTATTTTATATAAACTTTTTTTTGTATATAGGACATGTCATATGAAGCTTCCTTGGTTCATACTAATTGATGAGATCACATTCATGGCTAAGGCTACACACATCTTTGTATAAATTGATCTTCCTACCCTTCTTTAGATCAGATTTTCTTAACTAAATATAACATGGGTGGATAAGCGTCATTTTGAAACTTCACGAGTGAGAAGGTGCCGTTTCACCAAATCTTGGGTGGGAACATGTCGTTCTCCCTTATGTATAGGGCATGTCATGTCAAGCTTCCCAAGTTCATATTAATTGATAAGATCACATTCACGGCTAAGGCTACACACGTCCTTGTAACAGGTAGCCATTAAAACAGCTAACACCGACGCTGCCTTTAAAAAATATTTCCTTACTCTTCTATATAATCTCTATTTTACCTTCATATCTCTCAATAGAAAATGCTTTGGTTTATGAATGCAACTGATACCCAATTGAAATGGTGTTACGTATTTCACAGGAATATTCCTAAAATCAAGAATAGTGTTTGAGTTAGTGGGCCTGCACAAACAAACAATGAAGGGTATGGATATTTCCAAAAGCTAATTTGTGTGTTGAATCTAATGAAGGATCATATAAATAAGAAAGATTGTTATCTGGTTAGGCTCCTCCGAAAGTAATGGCGGACCACAACAAAATTGTGACTCCACGTGACCAATCAAATGTGTAATGCCAATTTGGGGTTTTTGACACAAGTAATCGAAATTCTAAATAGCATTCTCTAGATGTCTTTAATGAAAATAAAATAAAATAAGGATGTCCGCAGTCAAACACAGCACCACCCAAAAAAATAGAAATGACAACCCAATCACCACCTAAACAAAACCCACCCACCCACCCTGTGCGGTGGGTTTTGCTTAATCACATTTCTCACCATCATTCTAATTTACTAACTCTTTTTTTTTTTTTTCTGTTTTTTTCAAAAATAAGAAAAAATTTGTGGTAATGGCCAACAAAGTCAGAAAGTGGACCTGGCTGGCTGTGGGTGGGCAACCCATCACCCACGGCGCACATTAGTTTCCAACCCCCCTCACACCTAAGCGGTGGTATCATCGATCCTAGTAGATCTCAAAATCAGCCGCACACCCCTCCCCACCCTCCCCCCAATCAATATGCCACCAAACCCCACTTTCACCACCACCACCCGCACCCACTCTCCCATCCTCAACTATCTTTCTTTTTTTTCTCTACGTTTTTTTCTCTCAATTTCCCCCTTCTTAACCTACGCCCTCCTCCTCCCTTAACCTACACCCTCCCCCACCATCATGTCCTCCTCTCCTCCACCCCCAGATCCAATTTCCCAAGACCCACCTACTCTCGCTTTACCAGCGCCGCCGATACAACCACCGTCTGTCAACCCCCGCCGCCTCCCTCCGCCTTGTTGGTCACACGATGAAACCGTCGCTTTGATCGACGCTTACCGTGAGAAATGGTACGCCCTCCGACGTGGTAACCTCAAGGCCACCCACTGGCAAGAGGTCGCCGACGCTGTCGGTGGACGATGCCCCGCTGCCTCCCCACCGAAGACGGCCGTCCAGTGCCGTCACAAGATGGAGAAGCTACGGAAACGTTATCGTACTGAGATCCAGCGTGCAAGATCCATGCCTCTCTCTCGATTCTCATCTTCTTGGGTCCACTTCAAGAGAATGGACTCCATGGAGAAAGGTCCATCGACGAAACCGGCTTATAATTCAGACAGCGCAGATGAGGACGAAAACGATGACGAAGATGACGATGATATTAATCAAGATTTGTATCAAGAACGGCCTAATTTTAAGAATGGTGTAGCTAACACGAGGAGTGTTCATAATTTGTATCGTAATGGAATTAGTACGGGACCTAGTAGTGGTGGTGGGAGTAGTAGTGGGTTTAGAATCAGAATCCCCACCGGAGTTAGTATAGCCCAACCTGGGCCTAAGATTTATGCAAAGATCGGAAACCCTAACCCTAATGCTAACCATACTCCTAATTTTAACCCTAAACCAAATTTTGGGAGTCCAGGGTCAGGTTCGGGGTCAGGGGTGAATTATGGGACAAGGGTTTTGAGAGGATGTGAAGAAACGCCAATTGCGAAGAGAGAAAGGGAACCAATGGCGGAGATGGTGGCGGCTATAAAGATGTTGGGAGATGGTTTTGTGAGAACGGAACAGATGAAGATGGAACTGGCAAGAGAGCTTGAAGCTATGCGTATGGATATGGAAATGAAGCGTACGCAGATGATTTTGGAGTCTCAACAGCGGATTGTGGAGGCTTTTGCTAAGGCTGTTTCAGAAAAGAATAAGAAGCCCAAAAGAATGCCCACCCCTGAGTCTTAGAAGATGATCCCTGTAACGGCTTTTGTTTATTTCTAATGTAAGATTGCTAGTTTTTTATTTTTATTTTTTAAGTTAGATTAAGAAGGTATATTATTGTAGTTGTGTTTTCAAGGTTTTATTCTTTCTTAGGACGAATCTGCAACTTCATTAGCTCTTGTTTTTTTATTTTTATAAATGTGGTTTCGTATTGTGACTCGAGGCATAGAACTGAGTTTTTTTTTTTTTTGTTAATATTTTGCTCTGTTCTAATTCCTAAATGGTAAGATCGATGGTTATGCATTCTGAATATGGAGTGGATTTGACTTACTGTATGTAGTCAATATTCATTTGCTTTTGAAATTGTCAACACAGAACTTGGGATAGATANAGTCGTAGGCTTTCTCATGGCATTGTAAAGTTGACATCAACACCAGTAAGAACAGGATTGGATTCTGCGACCTGGCTCCAAACTGTGATTTCTCCACTTCCCGCAAAGCCATCACCAGAATTGGAGAAATTTCTTCAATTGGGTAATGGCAAATTGGCAATATAGTTAATCAGGTAATAAGTCGAGCAAACATAATACTAGAGGCCTTGTTTCCAAGCAGACAAAAGCTGGTCAATTGGAGCCTATTTAATGTTAATTTAAGGATAATTTGTGGACGGGACAAGAAAGTAATGAAGCTTTGAAATTGTACTATAAGGTTTTGGAATCCATCTGTACATCAGATGCTCAAAAATTGAGTGAAGGAGGAGATTTGAGTGGTTTGCTAACTAATGAAAAGTTCCATAGATCCATGCTAGCTTGTGCAGCTGAACTAATATCCGCAGCGCATTTTAAATATAGTGTAGTGTTAACAGTGGTGATGCAGAGAACTTGAATTACAGCATTTGATATGAGTAAAGTGACAAAGAGAGTTTCATCAAACATGAAGATTCACTCCCCAGAGAATTGAAGCGACACTTGAATTCCTTGGAGGAGAAGTTGTTAGAAAGCATGGTGTGGGAAAAGGGTTCCTCCTTGTACAATCCTTTGATTGTTGCAAAACCATCTCTTTCTGATGAAATAAAGCGACTTAATCTGCTAGCTGACCCTATGCCATCACTGGATGAAATTGCCATGAGTAATCACGTTGCTTCAGGAGGCTTGCTTCATCAACAGTTCTTGAAGTTGTCAGCCGGTGATTACTCATGTTTGATCTGCTTCATGTATTGTTTCGCCGCATCAAACTTAAACCTTAATTAACTTGATTCTGTCAATTTCATGAGCAAAGAGAATGTGTGATGAGTATGGTAACAGGCTGGTAAAACATATTTCTTCTGCATCAGCAACCCCACCATCTTTGCAAACAGCATTTNCTCCATCGGCATATTCAGTAGATAGATTCTTGAGTGACTGTAAAGGGTAGTGTTGCTTTCTACTTGAAACTGCTATCAAAATTCCTTGCATGGAATGTTAAATCTCATGAATCTACCTTGTCATGTTTGAAAATTGTTGTGCAGCAATATGAAACTACATGTCCCTTGTACTTTCAGACTAAACTGCTCAACGTCATCTGAAACAATCAAAATACTTGAGAGCTTTTCAAATTCTGTTATGAGGATATACCTCATTTAACCATTTCAATTATTGTGTTTTGTTGGGGGAGATTTCTTCCGTATGGTTTTGTGCTGAATCAGAGAGGGGACTATCAGAAAGCCAGTAATGGCAGCCTCCTATTTATCCCTGTATTTATGTTTGGACTCGTTTTTGGTAGTCTTGCTGATAACCAGACCTTGCAGAAGAAAGTTGATAGAAATTAGAAAATGATGGAGAGAGAGCAGAATCTTTGGAACCTTTTCCTGTTTTTCTCAATTTTGTTCACGGTGGTTGATAATCCGCTGTGGCTGGATAGTTTATATACAAGATGGGAGTAGAAAATGCTTGTAATCTTTAACCGCAAGGATGATCGTATAATATGGGTCCTCTTCAACGAGTTTCATTTGTTTTATAATGGTTTCATGACTAAAAACTATAATTTGGACAGCTCTAAACACTTGAAAAGTCGAATAAACATTTATCAACTTCGGCTTACAACATGTGGCTTTTTTCTTCACCATATCGTGGATGAGAAACAACCACATGTGCCTTATTAAGCCGGAGAAAATTCATTATAGTAAAACATATAGATAGTAAGATACATAGACCTTCAAGCTTTTAGCGTTCTTAAAATTACAACTCATAATATTATTATCCTATTTACAGTGTAATTATGGTATCAAGTACGGAAAGAGAAACCAAAATTCAAGTACTGGAAGAGCATGGTGGAAAGCACCTTTTACTAAGACAGCTTTGCATCTGTGTCCATGTTGGTATTGAGCTTGAGATTTCCATGACTTGTCTTTACTCTTTGAAACCGTATTGGAATTGTTTTTTGCAAGATAGCCACTTTAACATTGCTCCAAAACTCTGGTTTAGTTGGAAGGTATGCGATTTTCTCCGCAATTTCCATATCTTCTGGGAGAACAGAACCAAATACGGTGTAGGATTTTTTCCACTCATGATGATTGGCCAGGCTGATAAAGAAATCTGGGCCAGAACCAACCCATGCCACTGATCCTCTTGTTATAGAACGGCAGAACTCTGCTGGAATTTCCTTAAATATGGTTCCTTCAGCTTCAAGTGTTCCTTGAATTAGAGCATATGGCGGGCCAAATGGAGCCTATAATGCTCATGTAGAAATCTCAAATTTAGAGATCACAGTAAAGATATTATTTTCACAATGATATGGCAGAATAATTTATTGTGCACATACTTTTATACCAAATCAGAACTACCTCAACCTACTGTTAATCTCAGCCAGCAGAATAAAGCATGAGTTCACTGCTAAAGTTACAGTTAGGTGGTCCACATCTTGATAGTGGTAACCAAAAACAGAACTGTTATAATTGTATTTAGATGATATTATCCAGGACTCGTTTTGCATCGTCTCTAGGAAAATTTTTACTGTTTCCACAAATTAATTGGATCATAACTCATTTTCACTGGAAAAAGAGTGTAAAAACTTATATAATTGCACTCAGGTCAGGTGGGATAAATCTTTCTTTATTTCCAGACTGTTCACTACCCTTCCAATTTACAGAGACTGGTGCTTCTGTCACAAGAGGATAACTATGAAGACAAAAGTAACAACTCAATAGAAGCAACAGAACCTAGTGCAAGTGAAAAAGATGACTTACATATGCAATGTGATTTCCTTTTGAATCCCAACTGGCTCCTCGGCTTTCAGCCCGATAAAATTGGCAACCTGGACATTGTCGTAATGCCAATAGCTCCAGGATATAAGCAACAGAAATTGGGGCAGATTCAGGTAGAAGCTGCAGATGTCAAATATCACAAACTGGGAAGTTAAGAGGTAATACTTCATTCATTTATCCTAGTAAAATAAAATGTACAGCCAAATGAAAATTGAAGTAGTTTCAATTCAATGTAAAAGAAAATTGCATCATAGGTTATGTATCACACCAAACATTAAACTATACTTACGGCATGCTGTTGGCTTGTTTGGAACAAATAAATGCAAAAACAAGCACATATCCTCAAACAATAAAGATTGACTCACAATCCAATTTTACAAACTTTCTATCACAATCCCAACATGACAACTCGCAATTGGTCAATTCGCAATTGGACAGACGAGACCCATTGTTAAGCAGACGGGACTTATTGTTTATTGCGAGCTAATTGATTGCGAACTGTCACGTCGGAGTTGTAAGAGAATTTTTAAGATTGGATTGTAAGTGTAACGTTATCTGACTATAGAATAAAAGCACCCTAACTACAGAATACTTTATGACAAAATATTAGCATATAAGCCTGCGAAAGAGCACTCACTTTCACACGAAGAATCCCATACTCCGTTTTCAGTCCAACAATACCCTGTAAGGAAAAGCGAAAACCAGATTATGATTAAAAAATTAGAAAAGTGAATTAAAATTAATGTTTAACTGTCTTCAATCCACATGTTCATACCAATTCAAGTTTTTTTCAAAGGCATGAAAACTAACAAAAAAAACATACACGTGTAGTGAGTGAGATAACAGTCACATGATGCCGAGTATCAGTAGATATCGTACCTCTCCCTGACCAAAGACTAGTCCAGAAGTCCACATAACTGCATCGCCTGCGTCCCGCCGGTCAGGCTCTAACAAGTCATTCTGCTTCTTCAGCCAACACTAAAAACAAGGAGGAAAACAAAAATCTAAGAAGCATGAATTATTTGTTTCTCATACACCACTACCAAAATTCCGATTTCCAGATATCAAATTGAGTTAGATTAATCACACACATAACCCAGAAAACTTTCGGATTATGATCAGAGATGATGAATAAGAAACAAAAATTCAAAATAATAATAATAATTTAAAAAAAAAAAAAAAAAAAACAAAACAAAATGAGTCACACCTCACCGAATCTGGAGCCACAGACTTGTTTATCTCCACAGAAGACCCAAGAATTACAGGGACAATGCCCATCAACGCCCCGACACATGTCCTTACAAGCCATGCAACAGTCCTCTGAGGAATTCACCTTGAATTGAGAACCCCATTTCACGGCATCACCCCACAGCTCCAATTGCTGAATTCCTCTACAACACCTGATTTCTTTGTCTCCTTCACCCCTACTTTCACTGAAAGATGAATTATAAGTAGCAAAAAAACAGAGATAGACCATGAAACATGAGAGACCGCCCAAGAAGAAGAGGATCAAAGGAGCAAAGCGGCTGAGTTCTGAACCGGTTTGCCTACGAGCCATTTGAATTAACCAACCCAAAAATCGTTTGGTAGTTTTTTAAAATGATTTATTATTTTTTTTTTTTCTGTTTGTAGTTGCATGGACTTCGCAGACCTGTCAAATTTACCAGAGTTGGGCAAGTGTATAGTGTAATGATTTAACATATAAGAGACGTTCGACTTTTATGGTTTTAGCACTTTCAATGAACATTAAAGTTTAAACGTGAAAATTCTGCTCTCATAGCCATAGTCCATATGCTTAGAGCTCTTTGTGCTTTTTTTTTTCTTTTTTGCTTTTGCTTTATCCTTAATATTGGCTGTTAATAAATGTTAAAAATTCACTTTCATGGTCGTTAATAAATGTTAAAAATTCACTTTCATTTATTTATTATTATTATTTTTTTTTTGGATAACCAAGGTGTTACAAACCAATTTAACACCCGGAAAAACTTTCTAAGAGAATCAAACTTACATCTTTTAAAATAGTAGACTCAAAAATCTCTATCACACCACCCACCACCCAACGGTATATTTAATTTTGGATTAACTTTTCCGATCCAAAGTAATATAATTCAGGTTATATCCTTTTGACCACATTCAAATCAATACACTTTCTTCCTTTTCAAATTCAGCCAATAAGCTATGCTTTCCAATTTTAATTTATTGAAGTTAAACCAGCTTTATGTGTCTTTGAATCTTTAGCCATTAATTCAGTTACTTTTTGTGGAGTTAAGGATATAATACCTGTGAAAACAATTTCTTCAACTTTTGTCTGAAGCACACAAGAAAGAAATCGACATTACAAACATATTTAAAATAGTTTGCCTTCAGCAAAACGAAAAATTAGAAATCAAATTACTGGCTTCTCAAAATCTGTTTACATAGCCAAATTACATTGTAGAGTTGAACATTAAGATCTAAGGACTACTTTAAATAAATAAAAAACACAAAAACTTAAAAGATAGAAAAGCACCAAAGCAAGTAGATGTGCTGCTGAACAAATACACCCTGTGAGGTACAGACAACATTTACATTATATGAAATAGCTTACTGACAGTAGCAAAAACAACAAGCTGTTAACTCTACCCCAAATAATTAGTATAGCTAGTTATACCACAGGAAGCTTTAGTATCTAAGACATGGCCAAATCTTCAACAATCCGTCTTAAAAGAATTGCTGAACAGTTATCATGGAAACCCAGGACAAACGAAATCCACTACAAAACGGGCAAGAATGAAAAAGATGCAGAGAACAGACACCACGCAGTAGATCTTTGGAACCTAATGCAAGATATGATAAGCTCATGTGAAGAAAAGTGCTTAGACATTCTGGCACACAACAATACAACCACCACCATCCAAGAAACATGTTCATACGCGTAAAAAATCATAGACATGGATTTCTTTTAATTTACCGTGCATTAATCATACCATATCTAGGTTTATATAAAACAACACAAGAGATCATACAGCCCATTTTAAAAAACCATCCTATCCGCAAGATTATAGCCAAACTTTTAAAACAATAAAATAGCATCCAATTCAATGTTTATGAACTTCTAAACCAGCCAAAAACATCTAACTCAAAATTCTAACACCTTGTCCCCTTACTCAGTGAAGCAAGATATGATAAGCACACAACAATACAACAACCACCATCCAAGAACAATGTTCATACACTAAAAAAAATCCTAGATGACAAGACAACGTGGATAAGTAAGAAATCAAAGACATGGATTAATTAACCGTGCATTCATCATACCATATCTAGGTCATATAAAACAACACGAGATCATATAGCCCATTTTAAACAACCATCCTATTTCCCAAGATTATAGCCAAACTTGTAAAACAATAAAATAGCATCCGATTCAATGTTTATGAACTTCGAAACCACAAAAACATCTACCTCAGTGAAGTAAGATCTTCGAATTAAAATAGGTTAAGCAGCAAATCAAAAAATATTGCTGATACCAGTATCTAGTAAAAAGGAGAGTCTGCTTTGAATCATCCAGCCTGCACCCACCCCACATCTAAATAGCAAATTAAATTCCATCACAACCACCCTCTAAAAACCAAGCACCTGATAAGGAAAACCAAGCACCTGAGAAGGTTTTTTTTTTTTTTTTTTTAATGGTAAGACAGATAGCATTACGAAACACAGCAGCCCCCTAAGGAACGAATAACTTAAATGAGCCAACGGAGAAGAAGAGATTGCTTAGAATGTAGAATGAATTAGCAAGGTTAGATTATATGACAACAGTCCTTTAGCCGAACAAGGGACTTGAGTTTACTCTTAGGGGCAAAAACATTGCAGTTTCAATCTTTCACCAGATATAATCCACAAGGCCTACTTGAAATGAACAAAATGCAAACTTAACGTATTCCTTAATAAAGATATCAACTCAGGACTCTGAAAACACAACAAACACTGGGTAAGAAAATGGCCAGGGGTTAAAAATTTTCATGTATTCTTCTCCTTATGTTCAATTTTTCCTATTGGATCTTAGATTGAAATTCCATAAGAAAAGCACACCAATACCAAGGTGCAAGCAGTTGTCTATATGCTTCACAAACCATCATGATCTGTAGGCAATGCATGCGCAACATTTTTCTATGGGCTTCCATATGTGGTTCCATGCACCATAGGTTTTAGATTAGGGAAACTTGTTATGGCTATGCAAATGTGTGCTTCTTGATTTCTTCTAACAGCCATGAATTAGTTGCTTGTTAAATCACTGTAATATTTTCTTTCAGAGTTGCAGCACTGAAAGCAGTATGTGGTCCAACATAACAAAATGCCTTATAATTCTTAGTCAAAACTTATCCAATGAATTCAGCAGAGCAAAATATCCAAAAAGTCTTACCACATACAGAAACCCCTCAATCTCTCATCAAATACTGTCCATTAAATTGGTGATGCAGACACCTCCACATTGTCCATCAAGTGGAGTTCTTATATAGAGAAAATAAAAGAAGCAACATACATATCACATACTAAGCACTTCTTGTTTTCATCTCTAAATGAGTGAAGTTTCCTTACAGCATAAACTTAAACACTTGACAAAGTAACCAGTCTGTAGAACCACGAATGGCTTAAACCAGTGCAACCCTTCTCTACTTACAGAACATTTAAGTTAGGTAACTTCTTCCAATAAAATATATAGAGGCTACTATGCTCAGCAACATGCTCCTCTCCAAAACGGTAGGCATCATAATGCAAAGCTTCATATAGTCCACATCCTAGAGCAGCCCCTCTTTGTCATGTCAAATCTGTTCCATAGAAAATTCACTTGTAACCATATGGCTCCTTTTATTTTCCTCTTGCATCATACCTCTTAGGCAAATAGAGAGATGCCAAAGTCTTCAGTAACCATTTTCTCTCCGGAAAGAGATAACTAAGGAGCAAAAGATTAATGTACTTGAACACAAATAAGAACCCACTCTAAAATAGAGATTTAGACTTACATCAATAATATGATCCAGAACCACTGCTACCCATGTAACTGCTGCCACCCACACCGCGATTAGGATATAGTGATGAGTAAGAGCTGCCACCAACCTGCTATGTGAAACAAAAATAAAAATGCATAACATAGGAAACATTGATTGACAGAATTGTCACATATATAAAGAAGGCCAAAAGCATACATCAGATCCACGAGACATATAATCACCACCATAGCTTGATGAGTACATTCCACCGACATCACTGCTACTAAAAGAACCTGAAAACCATGCAGCATTGAAGTACAGTTTATTAGCCAGGAATTGTTGATATTCAATGGAAACCGTGCTGTCTGGATGACCAATAACAGTAAAATATAATTCACGGCCAACATGTGTCCCACATCAAGATCAGCAGCAGAAAAACATACCTCCTCCATAGCCCATTCCCTGACGACTACTATATAGTCCATGTGAATCCTGATTGGAGATAGAGCTTCTACTGCTGCCATATCCTAAATTAGATCTCCCAATTCTGACAACAATTATAGAAAATAATGAGATACTGATCCAACATCTCACCCTAAAGGATTCAAAAGTAACAAGCTTTGACAGGATAACAAACCTATCACCATATGCATCCCCGTATTGAGAAGAACCTCCACCTATGTCATAGTCCAAACGAGCCCTCGAATGGCGGACACCAGCATCAGCATAACGTGGAGGAACATCATCCTAAAAATAATATTGTACAAATATATACCATTAACATTTAAAGAGTACAATAAAATCTAGATGAAATTATTAAAAGCAATGCAAGATTTAAGTGCTAGTGAAACTAACAATTGAAGAATATGGACGTTTTGACCCAGAAACAGAATCATAATCACGAGCACGCCCTTCACGGTAACTTGGAGGAGGCCTTTCAAACCTTTGACCATAGCCATCATCCACATAAGGTCTCCTAGTGGCAGTACGAGATGTACTTCTAGGCATGTCAGAATAGCCAGAGCCACGAGATGGATAGTCGTCTCTATAAGATTGTCGCCTGTCTGCAACGACCCTGGAACCATAATCTACTGGAGCTCTGCTCCTTGGAGGAACCTCATCTCGCTGACTATACTCTCTCTTAAAGCTACTCTTTGGGTATGAAGGAACTGAAACAATATGATCACATCATAAATATAATTTTTCACGGGCTTGTCAATTAGAGCACCAAAAAGGGAATAATGCATACCAGGGGCTCTTCTATCATAGGACCTTGGGGGAGGTGGTGGCATGGGCCTTGGTCTTGTTGGCATGGACATAATAGGACGCCTATCCCTTAGTCCAACAGGTCTCTTCATACTGGGTGGTGGGAGACGACTTCCAATTCCTCTTACACTCCGTCCAGGTAAGCTACGTGGAGTCGGACGGCCCCAAGATCCCCTTGTAACCCTTCCCATCCCCCGTCCAGTCCGGAAATCACCACGACTAGCATGTTTGCCTTTACCTCTCTGAAGAGGCCGTGATAACCTGGCCCTAACTTTGGCCTAATTAAGAAAATAAGAAAGATAACACAAACAATGAGCGACTGACACAAATAAGTTAAAGCCATTACAAGATAAGCAGCACAAGCCATTAAGAACAAAGATAAAACCTTGTTGTCTCCTTCACCCAATTCAGCATTGTTAATGCTTTTTGCACATGTGACTGCAGCATCGTGACTGTCAAATGTAACAAAACCAAAATCCTTCCTCTTAGCAGATGGCATGTTTCGGGCAAGCTCAACCTTGTCAATCTCCCCATATTTCTTTAGGAGCTCTCGAACACGGTCTTCATCCCATGATGCAGGCAGACCATCAACAAACACAGTCTTAACCTGAAATTTTAAAATGATATCATAGGAAATTTTTCGCGAAAATTATAAAGACCAGGTTGAGAAGCATAAGTGAACTACATGAGAGCAATGCACAAAAAACCAAACTCAAATCATCTACATATAAATATGCTGGATTCGCGCACAAAAAGAAACCAATAGGCTATAATCACAAAATATAGCCACATTAAATTACCAAATAAAGCCAGAGAGCACATATCCTGACAACTCCATCCACTTTCTTTCAACTACTTCAGGAAAGTAACAGTAATATTAATAGTTTGGTTAGCACTACAGATTATTGGATGCATAAAAGAACCAACTCTCATATAATTTATTAGTATCCATGCTTCAGACCAACTGAATTCCTACAACTCCTTACATGCCAAATGGTAAGCAAAATAGGCTAAACCAGCCAAAATCAAAACTATCCAAGCAATGCAAGAGTTACCCAAAAGATTACCTGTGCCATTATTTCGTCGCCTGGGTCAATGAAGGAATCAGCAAAAGAAACCTTTGCAGGTCTATCAACACCAAATAAAACATCTCTCTTTTGAAGGCGCTTAAAGGCATCCATGGCATCAGAACGAGATGAAAATTCTAGAAAGGCAAAACCCCGATTCATTCCCTCATTGTTACTATCATCTACCAAAGTCAAATCTTCAACATTCTCAACTCCATAATGTTTCAGCTTCTCTTTCAACTGAAAGAGCAGTTAAAGTCCAAACAGTGAGGATACAAAATCTTCTGATAACCAGTTACATAAGAAAGATAAACTTGAAGACTGATTGTTACACTAAGAAACAAAATACTTACTGCTTCTTTTGTCCATGTCTTACAAATATTACCCAGAAAGAGAGTGTCGCTATCTTGACTGGGAGTAACACCACACTGTTTCCCATTTATCTGGAATTGTAGTAATCAGAATAATATAATTTATTAGATGTGATGACAGTACTGTCTCCCCTTGAGAAAATGACATGATTGAAAATTACCGTGGGGTTTTTTAAAACTGTAACAGCTCGTTTTGCTTGTTCCACGGTTGCAAAACGCAAGAATGCAAAACCCTTGTTCTTCTTTGTTTGCGGGTTCATCATCAGCCTCACCTCAGTGACCTCACCAACCTGACTAAACACTTTCTTTAGATCATCCTCAATGACATCCTTGTCTAAACCACCAACAAATACTTCAAACTCTTTACGTTTGCGCCTCTCCTTAAATAATTCGTGATGCTCCTCTTCCTCTGCATCAACCATCTCTGGGTGATGTGGCTCCTTGCCAGCATGTTCATCATCTTCTTCACCCTCATCATGTTCTTCAGGAACATCTTCCATTTCCCCCTCTGCCATATCACCCTCTTCCTCTTCACCAACATTCTCCTCATCCAGTTCTTCCTCTTCTTCTTCTTCTTCTTCTTCTTCCACCTCCTGAACATCCTCTTGTTCTATTTCCTTGTCATCATAATCTACCCCACCATACTCTTCAGGTTCATACTCAGCTTCGTTATCATCCAACTCTAGACGCTCATCCTTTTCATACTCATCTACAGACTCCTTCACCTCATCCTCTTCTGCCATTAGAAACAGAAGTAGACCAACCAGGCCAGTCAAGAACAACTCAAATTCCTGATTATCCTTTAGAAAACTCATAATAAAAATTAAATCTAAGCAGTAACAATGCTACTCTAGATGAATTATTACCAAGCAAAATATTTCCATCCTTTATTCTTACTAAGAAAAAAAAAAAATTCCTTCAAGCGCTTCACTTACACCAATAGCGCATATAAGAAATTTAAAGCTGATAAACTCAAAAACCAAAACCAAAACAAGATCATTCAATTACAAACAAAGAAAAACACAGTTTTAGGATAATCGGAGACCACCCCGCAAGCGAAACACTGATAAAAAATTAATTAGAAAACCCCACCAAATAGAAAAAACTAAACATTAAAGATTCAAAAATTTCCAAAATTTATCAACTAACTAAGACAAGGAGGCCAAAATAAGATTATTTGGCCATGCACTATTTTGATTTATCTCGCCACGCCCTAACAGAAACCCTAATCAATCCATTAGATCTGAACTAAATTTAAAAAATTTAAATAAAAAGGGGGTAAAACAAGAGAACTTACTTTGCGCAGCAGGAGCCAAAACGTTGACGTTGGATTTTGATTCAGGCTCTAGAGGAATCGGCTTATTATCAAACTCAACGACCGGCTTTTCCTCTTCCCTGATCGGCACCTCTTTCACCGTCTCTTCCACGACTTCCGGCTGTTGCTTAGCCGACCCTCTCGTCGTTCTGGCCGACCTCTTCGACCCAGACGGCCCTCCTCCTCTCTTGACCGTTCTTGGTGGCATTCTTTCCTTCAACGGGGAAGAAATAAAACCCTAATTTATCCAAAATTATCAGAAACCCTAGAATATGATTCTAATTCAAAGGTTTGTACTTACGAGGTTAGAGACGAAAAACCCCCAAATTTAATAAAGGTGGATAATGTGTCTCTCTGGGAGAGCAGTTGGGATTGGTTATTATGTTTCCATAGGAAGGAGAGCGCAGATATAAGTGTGTTTCCTGACGCTCGATTGAGTTAATGTCGGTAGATAGATGAATTACAGGATTTCAAATGAAAGGCGTAATGGACACGTGGTGTGATTGGAAAGTTTGAGAGACTAGTGCGTGAAACATAGGATTGATTCTCGACAACTAATGACTTGTGAGTTGCTAACAAAAATTAAAGTTTGAGGTTTTTTTTATTCCTATTGCCTCCTAGATGTCCGTCCATGCAATTACACGTGTTGGCTGAAAAAATAGCATAAATTTATCAGATATTTATTTCTAGAAAATAAACATGCAAAACAGTAATGAACATAAGAGCATTCTCGTATTATTCCCTTATAAGGCATCAACGAATGAAATAAAAATTTCTCTTTCTTTTTATGTCTCTCTCTAACTAAAATACTTTCTTTGCATTAGTTCTTTTAAGTAATATGCACTAGTCGGACACTCATCCTTTTGTCACAGAAGTTTCTTCTCTCAATAAGCTCTCAGTTCGGCTCTGCCGTGATTGTTTATTAAGTTTAAAACATTTTTATAATTCTGGATGTGACGATTTCCGACAAACAAGATTGATACACAACAGCTTTTGTTGATAGGGTGATAATGGAGTAATCAACCCCCCTTAAGATTATAGAGGCCCCAACTCACTAGCCCTACGGCCCTACCACAGCGGCTACTATAGCAATACTGTTCACTTTCGTCTTATATGCCATATAGTATACCACATACGATGACACATCTTTTAGAAATTTATATGTCAATGTCATATATGAAATACTTCATTTAGGACATTCACATGTCAATACCACTCATGAGACACATATATGAAATTTGAAATATATTTTAAGAAGAATATGTTTCGTTTGGTTTATTATTCTGATGTTTTTTTAAATAGTATTTTAAAAAAAGTAAATTTGAAAGGGTGCGTTTTTTTTTTTTTATATATAATATTTTTGAAAAAGTGAGTTTGGCGGTTATTATGAAAATTAATAAAAACACTCCCTTAGGTTTGTTAATTTACTAAACACTCCTGTAATAAAATATTAAAAATTAATAAAAACACCCCCACCCACCCATTAAATACCGGCAGCCAACCACCACTGCCGGAGGGTGGCCGGAGTCCCCGTATCGGCGCAAGACCATCTGGATATGGCCGGTCGTACGCCGATATGACATTTTCCAGCTAAATCCACTGTAGATTTGACCAGAAAAGGCCAAATCTACGACTAGATCTGGCCATTGACGACCAGATCTAATCGCATTGACAACCAAAGATATAGTCCTCGTTGATGGTCAACGATGACCGTATCTTTGGCCGTCGTTGACGACTAGCTACAGCCAAAGATTTGGCCGTCAACGATCAGATCTTTGGTCGTAGAGCTAGCATTTTCCTGCCAGATCCATGGTGGATCTTGCTAGAAAAGGCTAGATCAGAGCACTACCGGCTAGATCCAGCCGGTAGTGCGCCATTATACCAGATTCTAGCCACCTTCCGGTAGTGGTGGCCGGAATCTGGCAAATGTGGGTGGGTGGATAGGGGTGTTTTTTGTTAATTTCTAAATTTTTTTGGAAGTGTTTAGTTAAATTAACAAACTTATGGGGTTTAAAATAATTGAATAAAATATAATAGTACTTTTAGAATAGGGAAATAAATGTGTATTTTAGAAATGATAGGAATAAGATAGGACAAAAATAGGGAAACAAACTCACCCAAAATTGAGTTAAGTTGGGTTATCTTTACAAGAAAGGTAATTATTAATATGTTGAGAGTTGAATAAAGTATAATTGATTTTAAGAATATTGAAATAAATGTATTTTTTTGTTTTTAGGATAAAATAAGGTAATAATAGTGAACCTAAGGGGCCCATATTTATTTATTTATTTATTTATTTTTGGGTGGATGGGGTGAGAGAGGGAGACAACAAGATTTTAGTCATCTGAATAGGTTAGTCAGAAGTCTTGCTTTAGAATTTCACAAAGTGATCGCCTACCACATTTTTTACTTATGTAACCCATTAGGTTTTTTAAGTATTCAATAAATCTTGGAAATTAATTAGGATACACACAATGACTTAGACAACCTGATTATATAAGGAAAAGTAGTATATATATGACGAATCAATAAAACTTTTGGGTTTGTTGAAGTAACTGATTACCAAATTGAGTATACATAAATAACCTCACTCTTGTAGCTATCTCTACATTTAAAATTTGTAATTCACAATGTTATAGTCAATCAAGAATTATAAATAATTACTCATAACTCACAAAATAAACATTACAGTAATAAATCCTGCGTAAGCAGTAAAAAATATAATTAATTACGCAAAGTATTGTTTGGTGGTTTCCATGAATTGAAACACGCTGTGTGTTCTGACCACTGAGTCACCATGGTTCGGTTAGGAGCCATTCTTGGGTTCTTAACTTTGGCCTCCTTGAATCGCTTCCAATCTCGAAGAACAGCCTTCAAATCTTGCACTTTTGCATNCATTCACATGTCAATACCACTCATGAGACACATATATGAAATTTGAAATATATTTTAAGAAAAATAGGTTTCGTTTGGTTTATTATTCTGATGTTTTTAAAAATAGTATTTAAAGAAAGTAAATTTGAAAGGGTGCGTTTGTTTTTTTTATTTTATATAATATTTTTGAAAAAGTGAGTTTGGCGGTTATTACGAAAATTAATAAAAACACTCCCTTAGGTTTGTTAATTCACTAAACACTCATGTAATAAAACATTAAAAATTAATAAAAACACCCCCACCAACCCATTAAATACCGGCAGCCAGCCACCACCGCCGGAGGGTGGTTGGAGTCGCCGTATCGGCGCAAGACCAACTGGATCTGGTCGGTCGTACGCCGATATGACATTTTCCAGCCAAATTCATTGTGGATCTGATTAGAAAAGACCAAATCTATGACTAGATCTGGTCATTGACGACCAGATCTAGTCGCGTTGATAGCCAAAGATATGGTTGTCGTTGATGGTCAACGATAACCATAGCTTTGGCCGTCGTTGACGACTAGCTACAACCAAAGATTTGGCCGTCAACGACCAGATCTTTGGTTGTAGAGCTGGTCTTTTCTGGCCAGATCCGTGGTAGATCTTGCTAGAAAAAGCTAGATCAAAGCACTACCGGCCAGATCCAACCTGTAGTGCGCCATTATACAAGATTCTAGCTACCTTCCGACAGTGGTGGCCGGAATCTGGCAAATGTGGGTAGGTGGGTGGGTAGGGGTGTTTTTGTTAATTTTTAAATTTTTTGGGGGGTGTTTAGTTAAATTAACAAACTTATGGGGTTTAAAAATAATTAAATATAATATAATAGTATTTTCAGAATAGGAAACAAATGTATATTTTAGAAATGATTGGAATAAGATAGGGCAAAAATAGGGAAACAAACTCATCTAAAATTGAGTTAAATTGGGTTATCTTTACCAGAAAGGTAATTATTAATGTTTTGAGAGTTGAATAAAGTATAATTGATTTTAAGAATATTGAAATAAATGCATTTTTTTGTTTTTACTTTTTAGGATAAAATAGTGGAATAAAATAAGGTAATAATAGTGAACCTAAGGGGCCCATATTTATTTATTTATTTATTTATTTTTGGGTGGATGGGGTGAGAGAGGGAGACAACAAGATTTTAGTCATCTGAATAGGTTAGTCAGAAGTCTTGCTTTAGAATTTCACAAAGTGATCGCCTACCACATTTTTTACTTATGTAACCCATTAGGTTTTTTAAGTATTCAATAAATCTTGGAAATTAATTAGGATACACACAATGACTTAGACAACCTGATTATATAAGGAAAAGTAGTATATATATGACGAATCAATAAAACTTTTGGGTTTGTTTAAGTAACTTATTAACAAATTGAGTATACATAAATAACCTCACTCTTGTAGCTATCTCTACATTTAAAATTTGTAATTCACAATGTTATGGTCAATCAAGAGTTATAAATAATTACTCATAACTCACAAAATAAACATTACAGTAATAAATCCTGCGTAAGCAGTAAAAAATATAATTAATTACGCAAAGTATTGTTTTGTGGTTTCCATGAATTGGAACACGCTGTGTGTTCTGACCACTGAGTCACCATGGTTCGGTTAGGAGCCATTCTTGGGTTCTTAACTTTGGCCTCCTTGAATCGCTTCCAATCTCGAAGAACAGCCTTCAAATCTTGCACTTTTGCATGCACATGACGGCAACAATTAGAATGAACTGTTGTGACTGACCAAATATCTTTGCTATTTTCACAAAACCCACTGAAATAAAGTGTAGGTAAAAACCTAACTCTGAGCCTCAATTTCTTAAACAAACCCTGTGACATTAGCTCCAATAACACATCCTGCTCTTTCTTTCCTGTTGAATTGTCTTTCATACCATACCATGTGGTAAATAAAGAGATTGTCTTATTATTGGATCTGACAAAGTAGAAGCCTGTATTAATCAAATTGTCCTGTGATCGTGGGTCGCCATTGTAAATATCAACACTCATTTGCAGGTCTTCCGTTTCCTTTTTGCTTAGTTGCGTAAAAGGGTTTCTCAGCCACATTACATCAGTATCCTACACTCATCAAATAAAGAAGGAAAAAAAAAAAAAGTGTTGGTATTCCAGTGAAAATGAGAGGACACTGCTGCAATTAGAAAAAGTAAAAATCTGCGGCTCTTAATATGCAAAACAATGGGATTGAAAAATTTCAATAACGGACCAATCAACAATGGTGACGGCTTGAATTGGGTAAAAATAAAATAACAAGAAAAAACTCTCAAACCCGAAAACATAAGATAATCAAACGAGTGATGGAAAAGTGTCGGCAACAACATATGGTATCAAGATCTCTGTGTTATCCTACAATCACATAAGATAATCAAACTATAAAAGCTGCTATGGTATTGGTTTTTCATGTGACTGCGGTGTCATTCAATGGCATATATATATGGCACTTCCTGAACTTCGGGGAAACTCAAAACTCAGTAACATTAGCCATTAACCTTTACCTACGTGTCCCCAAAGCACCGTAGTGACATTAAATTATACAACACCGGCGGTCACACTTTGATGTTGCCTTGGCAGTTTATAAAAGTATATTTAAAGAGATTTCATTCATCTTAAATTTGCCATATCTGGAGTGATTCAGTTACCTACATAAAGTCAAACTAATTATACACCTAATGCTAACCTACTTATCGCCTTCATCATATTAAAATACTACCCTCTTCCTAACCCTATGATTTTAACTTCAACAAATCATCATAAACCAACACGTACCGTGAAGATGAAGTTGTAACCACGTTTAAGAACATCAGATAGAAACTTAGTTCTTCTCCACATCATCTTGATAAAATCTCGTGACATGTACACCTTCTCTCCCGCAAAATCTACGCCGTCTGTTACCAATCTGTGGCAGTGTAATCGTTTAAACATGCACCGATCATACGCCGTCTGATCTACTGCCACTATAAGAAGATGATCAAGTAATTGTCTGGTGCCTTCCCCTAACCAGAAACTTTCCAAGAATATATCAAGCATAGTGGTATCAGCTTCCACGGTTTGTTCAACATACGCTTTATTCACGACGGCGATAATCACTGTTTTGTTGGGCATTGAAGCTTTCTGTAGAGCCGCTTCAAGATCATCTATAACGAGATCTGTTGTATTAGTCTGTGAAAAAAAGAGAGAAGGAGAATTAGATTCATATTTGAAAACAGGGATAGTTAAACAAGATTAGTGTAGAGACTAGAGACACTTACAAAGCTTGATGAGCGCAAACAGGCCGAGGGTAACAAAGGATCAGTATTTGGAGGAGACAAAATACAAATATAAAGGACGCCTGCACAGAGAAGAGATACAATGCCAACTTTATAGAGAGAATTCCTTGAGGTATCCATATGTGGGTTTTTGATGAAAAAGGTCAAAAGGTTTTATATAAATATGGATGTTGAAATGGTTATAGATTGGTGAGTAGAATGGTCACGTAATGAAGGTGAATATCATACGTCCGCCATTGAATTAATTGAGTGTTCTGATAGTCCAAAATTGGAAGAGTCAGAATATACCTTTTCTTCGCTGCACGATATATAGAGCTTCACCTACCAGTACACATTAATAATATATATGGTTAATAATCTCACAGTTGCATACAAATCCAATGATTCAATAAGGTTTTCATTTTGCCGGGACGTTTCAAATTATGCCACGTACGTAAACTTTGATCAATTGTAAAAGTAATTTACAAGTTTCAAGGTCATACCGTAGATTAATAGGATCAACATTGAAAGTTTTTTTACATCGTAGATTAATTGAAATTATGAACGTGTAGTTAATTTCAGAAGCAATTTCCTCGAACGTCACGGATAGGACTCGAAGGTAGAACCGTTGAACTGCTTACTTAATACGTTCATGCATTCAATTAGTTTCCGTCAGTTGCACGAAATCATTAATATTATTCTTATATTGAGAGATACGTAAGACTAAATCTAAACTTACTAGAAGGTAATAAAAAATCAAGTTTCGGTAAGAAATTAATAAATAGAAGATCAAGTTTATACAACGTATGAAAATGTATATCCAATTGTGTATATACGAAAAATAAGGTAATAATGATCAAGAAGTTGGATAACAGCATAATTATGGATTGAAATTGATGTTGTTGTAGATAAAAATTGGTGGGCAAAATGAATAAATGGATTGTTTCAATTAAAATAGGAAAAGTTTAAAGAGTCCCACTGTGGTGTGGCCATTGGCATTAGGCAAGTGGGTATGGATATGGGCATATAAGAAAATTGCTTCTCCAGCATTGTATGTCGACAAACAAGGGTGAAAGGAAGGACAAAAGCAAAAATAGATTGCAGGTAAAAAGTGTTTTAAAATTTCAAATCATGCTTGATTATGCAGTTGAGTGGATTAAAATGAGCTAACAAGAAGACCTCAAGTTTATGTTATTCTTCCACCAAAGCCAAAGCTAAATGGTGAAAACCAATTTTATTCACATTCAACCCACTGCGATTGATCAGCCTAATTTTAGTATCATACACATCCCAATTCATAACACCATGAAACAGCCTCTTGACAAGGGCATTTTCTTCATATTTTACTACACATCTTATAAGAAAAATCAGCACAGAAACTATAAAGGACACCCAAAAGAAAATAAAAAATTTATTTGAAAATAAAGAATAAGATTAGACAAATGAGGAAAGGAGAATCATCATCAACAGCCTCACATTAGCAGCAACCTAAGGGGAATTGATTAAAGAACATAGCAGTGTCTCAGTTTTCTTTTTGGCTTCTTAGCCTTTGGAGGCTGGAGAACCACCTTGATTGCAGTATCAAATACGGCCTTTACATTCTGCATTTCAACAGAATATATATTTAATATACCCATCAGTGATTAGGAACATCTTAGCAGAAAAACTGATTCTTTATGCCTAACAATTGCAAATCGTGTGCACTATCAATTGATTTGGAACTGTTTCAGTGATCTTCCACAATAATAAAACTTGGAAGCCAGATTGGCTTGTGTACACAGAGCCCTACTTTTATAACCTACACATATAAGAATGAGAGATAAACCTGCTGTGTCTTTGAGCTGCATTCAACATATGCCAAAGCTCCTATCTGCTTCTTTAATTCTTGACCCTGGTAAATCAAAATGTATAAAATATTAGGAATGTGGAAAAGGAAACCTCAGATAAGCTGCCCTATGAAAGTATGTAGTTAAAATGTTTTTGAAAAAGTTTCTATTAGGATCCCACATTGAGAGGGGAAAGGGATGGGTACTTGGTTTATAAGGGCTTGGGCATTATCCATTAACAAGTCGGTTTTTCAAAGAGAGTTTTACTCAAGCCTGCAAAAGGATTACTGCCCAGCCTAATTAGTATCAAAAGGCCTATCATCCAGCCCAATTCCTATTAATTTGAGAATGGGTTCTTATCAAATGATATCAGAGCAAGCCTCACCTTCAAAGCCCACGCAGTAGGGCCTAGTGGGCCCTCTGAGGGGTCAAGAAGGAGAGTTGTTGACAAGGCCCAGTGCCCAGTCCAATTCCTATCAATTTAGGAGTGGGTTTCTATCGAACGTTCTCTGGAAAGAAGACCAATGAGGGTGTTGGGTCTCGAAGCGTGAGGGAATGTAAGGATCCTACATTGAGAGGGAAAATAGTAGGCATATGGTTTATAAAGGGTTAGGCACCCTCTCTTACTAAGCTGGTTTTCTAAGGAGAGTTATACTCAAGCCCACAAAAGGACTATTACCCAACCCAATGCCTATCAAAGGCCCACTGCCCAACCCAATTCTTATCAATTTGGGAGTGGGTTTCTATCAATTTCCATAGCCTCAAGAAAGGTGAACATAATTATCAGGTAAAACAACTTCTAAATAGGCTAACTTTGCCATAACATGTAACATAAGAGGAAACAGAGGAGCACAATGATCAACAATTGAACAGAAAATCATGTCAAGAATAGGTTGATGTGCATTTCAAGCTTAATTAGTTGTTTGTTAACATGTAAATCAATAGGACAGAATGTAATGTCAAGCAATTGCCCAGGGCAAAGCAAAGTATAATAAAGAATACACCAATCATAAAGTTTTCAAGTGCCACAAAGTAAACAACAGTAATAATAAAATGTATACTAGTCAAAAACACATTAATAGTGGATGCCTACCTGTTCTGTAGAAATAGTACATGCTCCAGGATAATCCAACTGGAACTGTCTGTCTTCTCTCAAATCTGCTATCCCATAAAACGCTATTTAGAAAAAGAATTTGCATGCATTCACACACAAACACTCACAGGTATAAATTGAATCATAAATACGTGCAATATCAATTAAACCCTTACAAAACCTTGAAAAGGAAAAGAAAAGAGAGGAAACAACTTTATCATGTTTGGCTTTAATTTTTTTTTAATATGAAGCACACTCAATTATTATGAGCATTGAGAAAACTTTATTGATAAGCAATGACATGGTTTTGGAAATACCCATTCCAAAGCAATGAATCAATAGAGGAAAGAATAATCACCTAGTTTTGTCCCCACAAGAACAATGGGCACTGATGGAGCATAATGTCTTAGCTCCGGGACCCACTTCTCCAACATAACAGGGGTCACAAAGAAAAAAAAAGGGCATAGAGAAGAATCAGTGAAATATATAAATATGAAAATATGATTGAACTATTCAAAATTGAAAGTTAACCTTTAAGATGATTTAACTTTGAAATTAAAAAAGAAGAGAAAAGAACCTTACTTTCTTTGCAATGTTCTCATAGCTAGGCCTACTTATTAGGGAGAAAGCAAGAAGGAAAACATCAGCTCCTCTATAACTTAAAGGCCTTAGCCTATTATAGTCTTCCTGGCCTGCATAAATATTATATATAATCTTTCAACTTTATAAATCACTTTCCAATATCATACAATTAGCTGGACATTAACTTGAAAGTTACTATGTGTTCCATGATCTACATTTGCTTTTCGAAAATAGATTAAAATCTTGAATAGTGTGCTTGGATTCCAAATGAGAACAAATTAATTCTGGTGTCATTGATTCTATATCAGAGCAAATGGAATTTGAAGTTAAACATTATTGTAAATAGTGGACTTCAAAACCTTAGGAATGCAATATCTCTACTTATGTAATTAAAAGAAGAAAAAGATAAAAAGAAGTGTGGTTAAAGGTGTCAAACTGGCATTATTGTAATATCTCTGGATTTTCCCATTTGATAGTCATCTAAACTCTCTTTTATCTTCAGCTGCTATGCCATAGTTAACTTTCAAAAACTTTTATGTCATTCTACGGCAGGCACTGAAATGAAATATTAATATTCTTAAGAATTTGGGTTGCAAGATTTCCTATTTGACATTCATCTCCTCTATGTATATAACCGAACGATTCATAGAAGCACAACAATAAAAAAAACCAAATCTTTCACAAAGTGACAAAGAATTCATAAGTTGCAGCAAATCCCATTTGAAAACATGAAAAGAACATAGGGACTAAATAATCAGATCGTTGTGATCAATTAAAGTTATTAGAATTATGAAAGCAGAATTAGAAAAGAGAGTACCAGCAGTATCCCAGAGACCCAGATTCACAGTCTGGCCATCAACTAAGACATTAGCACTGAAGTTATCAAAAACAGTGGGGACATAATCCTGTGAAAGAATCCAGAAAGCAAGAGTCATTAGAAACCAAAATTTAAGGAATAGAGAGTAAGCATTGAAAGCAAGAGACAGAGTGAAGAAGAAGAAGAAGTTAATACAGTTGGGAAAGTGTTGCTAGTGTAAGAAATAAGCAGACATGTCTTTCCAACAGCTCCATCCCCAACCGTAACACATTTGATGAACTTTGATGCAGCTGATGCTGTTGTTGTAGATGATGATGACGACGCTGTTGTACTATTCATTGAAACAAATAAAAAAGAAAAATCCCTCTTTCTGGAAACAAAAGAGACGGTGGACAAGTTAAGTTATACCGAGAGAAACAGACAGAAGGCAAAAATTGTCTACCTAGGTAAGGCAGCTGCTTTCTGAGAGAACAAATATATTGACATGGGGATAACTTCACTTTATTTTGAGCTGTCAGAAAGCCAAATTAAAGGCAAGAGTGGGCATTGCCAGACCCCATTCCCACTATATTTCTTACACCATTTATTTCAATCTTCTCAATACCAAATTCAGCAGTGAAAAAACATAAAAAACAAAATTTCTTTACGCGCTTAGACAAGCATGTGAATACGTCCTTGCCATTACAGTAATTTCTCATTTGTAGTTGTACTTCTTTGTAGACCTTGCGCTTGCAGGGTTTAAACAAGGAATAAGGTAGCGCGTGAGTCCAGCGAAGCTAAGCCCCCCGCCCAGCGCCGAATGATTGATGGTGTCCCCAGTAGGTCTCTTTTTAATTTCCTTACTAGAAGAAATTAAATCACACTCAAAAGTCATCAGATTCAATGAGCTGATTCGTATGAAGATGTTTTAATTTCTAATGAGAATTTTAATGGGCCAATGGGTTGGTTCATCTGGACCTATCTTTGTTGATGTTTGATGTACACTACACATTAATGGCTAACTTCAATTTTAAGATAGTTCATAATAATGGAACAACTTTAATTTAATCCCTTTGAATCATATGATTCAAATAAAATTATTTTATTATATAATAGCATATATATGTCAATTACTAAAACAATTTTATGAGATTAAAATAGAATGGCGTATGATTTAATCTTAATTTTAATGGGCAAATTTTTTGGTCTGGTTGGTGGTCACATACATAATTTTTAAGAATATGCTTATATATTATATGGATACAACTCACGTAAACATGAGTAGTTTTGATATAATATACTGATATAATATTTTAGAATAAAGGGAAATAACACACTAGCATTGCATGAAGCAGTGGCGGACCCAAGATTTTTGGTCAAGGGAGGCCTCCGTGGCTCCGTCATTGTTTGTCAAATAACTAGTGAAAACTTAAAAAAAATCACTAAACCTTAAACAAAGAAAATAATATAATATCAATAATCTGAGAGAAAAGAATGCAATAATACAATACTTTACCACTTGAATAAATCTATGAGAAGCAAAACCTTGAGCAAATAATGTTAAAAATAAAATCAAATTCACGAGAAAACACAAGAAAATTTTTATATGGAAAAACCTCTTCAATTAAAGAGAGTAAAAGATTACAGGAATCTAACGATTCACTTAAATCCAATATAATTAAAAGAATTTATAACAATCACAATCCATAAAAAATGTTCTACACAAATTTCTTATTTCTCCATTTTTGTTTTTAAAAATTTTTGGCTTTCAAAGATTATAATATAAATTTTCATAACTTTGATTAGGCCTAGCCTAAAGTAAAGTCAACCAAAACTTAAATTAAATCAACGTTGCCTTGATTTTTAATATAAATTAATAAAAAAAAAAATTCTTAGTATAAACATAGATAATAACTCAAACTTCTTTAATAATTTTGAACAATTAAACGGTGACGTTTTAAACGTAGAAAAGTGGTGGGTAAAGAGTGAATAATAACTTTCAGTCAAATATAGTTAAGGTTTAATTTGGAAAAATAGAAACATTCTTAAACACAAAACACAAAACAAACTCACAAGATCCATGTATTTTTCCATCAACTTATAATAAAAAACCTCTAAAAAATAAGCATGATTTAACCTTAAAATAAACTCAAATGAAATGAGCAATACACGTACTTAAAACTGATAAAACAAAAAATGAATCTAATTATAGCACCTTGATTAGTGAAAGCTTCAATAATTTCAGTCTTCAAAAGTTTCAAGAACGAATAATATAGAGAAAGTGAAAGAGAGAATAAGAGAGTAGAGAATTTTAAAGATAAAATCATAAAAAACAAGTGGACGTAGAAAAAAGTAGAGAGAGTTTTAAACTTTTAATATAATGTAGACGTAGAATATATATATTAATAGTAAGTTTTTTATGAGTCTGGATATATGTATAATATTTCTCACTTTTTTTAAAATTTGAAGGTAGGCTTGGATATATATATTAATAAAAAAAAAATTTATGGGGCCTATATAAACAATTTTTTTTTTTTAAATACTGGGACCGCCCCTGGCATGAAGTATATAGTATAATGTCATTATAACAGTAAGATATAAACATTCATGCTTAAACCCGGATCCAGGTTCCGATCCATTATAAGCGAAATGTATATTATAATGTCATTATAGCGGTAAGATGTATGTTAATAATCACCATTGAGTGACCTGATGGTAAAAGAGCAAAGGATGATTTAACATGGTCTTTTAAGTTCGAATCCTCTTGTAAGTAAGAAAAAGATTTAACATAGTATCCTGAGTTCAAATCCTTACGGCCCCTAATAGTGGTGGTCATTAGAGCTCTAACTTGACTGGTAGTTTTAGGTCTCGAAGAATTAGTTGAAATACGTATAAACTGACTCAGACACCTCGACAATATAAATAAATAAATAAAAAAAAAAGACTACGTTGGATTTTAATTTGGTTTCTAAGCAGCAAGGTTTCAATCAACTGGTGTTGCCGATGCAATTCATAGTGTTTGAAAAAACCATGTGATAAAAATGGTTTGTGTTATGTCATTCACCCGTCAACAAGTTGAGTTTCATTTGATCAATTATCGCCTCCGACTACCAAAAATGTACTCCAATTCTTTTTCAGATTTGAAACATACACTGTTACCAAGTTGGTCAAGTGACAAGAGGCGAGACCACACCTTCCAAGTTAGGGAGACCCTTTTTGTGTTCAATTCTCGCATTAGTTTTCCTTTTTGATAGTCACCTAAACCCTGTTATCTTCAGCTATTATGCCATAGCTACGTCAGGGACTGAAATGAAAACATTAATCTTCTTAAGAATTTGGGTTGCAGGATTTCCTATTTAATATTCATCTCCTTTACGTATATAACCGAACGATTCATAGAAGCACAACAATTAAAAAAAACCAAATCTTTCACAAAGTGACGAAGAATTCATAAGTTGCAGCAAATCCCATTTGAAAACATGAAAAGAACATAGGGACTAAATAATCAGATCGTTGTGATCAATTAAAGTTATTAGAATTATGAAAGCAGAAGAAGAAAAGAGAGTACCAGCAGTATCCCAGAGACCCAGATTCAGAGTCTGGCCATCAACTAAGACATTAGCACTGAAGTTATCAAAAACAGTGGGGACATAATCCTGTGAAAGAATCCACAAAGCAAGTCATTAGAAACCAAAAATTAAGGGACAGAGAGTAAGCATTGAAAGCAAGAGACAGAGTGAAGAAGAAGAGGTTAATACATTAGCTCCTTGCCACTTGCCAGACTGCCAGTATGTTCATCACCTTCTTCACCCTCATCATGTTCTTTAGGAAAAGCTTCCATATTTCCCACTTCCTCTTCACCGACATCCTCCTCATCGGGTTCTTCCTCTTCTTCTCCCACCTCCTGAACATCCTCTTGTTCTATTTCCTTGTCATCATAATCTACCCACCATACTCATCAGGTTCATACTCAGCTTCGTTATCATCCAACTCTAAACACTCATCCTTTTCATACTCATCTACATACTCCTTCACCTCATCCTCTTCTGCCATTAAAAACAGAAGTAGACCAACCAGGCCAGTCAAGAACAACTCAAATTCCTCGTTATCCTTTAGAAAACTCATAACAATATAAATAAACTAAGCAGTAGCAATGCTACTCTAGATGAATTATTACCAAGCAAAATATTTCCATCCTTTTTTCTTACTAGGAAAACAAAATTCCTTCAAGCGCTTCACTTGCACAAATAGCGCATATAAGAAATTCAAAGCTGATAAACTCAACAAGAAAACCAAAACCAAAACAAAATAACTATCTTTGGTGGCCAAACGAATTGATAACGACTTTTGGGTTATTATTTAAAAGATTTTGAATTCAAATTTTTTTTAAGTGTTAATAAGGATGGCTACTAGAGCTTTTATCTAGTAAACAAAATCCGCAAATTCATAATTCAATAAAACTTTTGGGTTTTAAATTTTATTTATCAGTCCATGAAATGATTGTGTCGAAATGATAAGAAATAAAATTTGAGTGGTTTGTTTACTTGAAAAATAACCCAATTGAGTACAAATAAATAACCTCTCTCTTATAGTTAAAGGTGGGCATTTGGGACTGGGCCTTTCCAAAACTTGGTCCTAGGAGGCCTAGTCCTAAAACGGGACTAGGCCTAAGGAGGAGGGCCCGAGCCCTCCACTGGGCCTTTCTCCAAGGCCCGGGCCTAGGATCGGTCCCAAGCCTGGGCCTAAATTTTTTAAACATTTTCATTTTAGTCTCTTATATAATTGCATAAAACCCCTATAAATTTTAAAATAATATAAATTATAGAGGTTAAAAGAAAATTTTACAAAATTTATTAAAGAAAAAATCTTCCAGGCCTAAAAAATTTATAAATTTTAACCCTAAAAAAATACTAAAAAACCCTATAAAATTTTGTTTCGCCCCCAAAATATTCAAAAAATCAAGGGGGGAAAATAATCTTTCCAGGCCCATAGGACCGGTCCTAAGACTAGTCCTGGACCCATAGGACCAGTCCTATGAATTGGTCTGAGTCTTAGAGTTTCTCATGAGCCTGGGATCAGTCCCAGGCCCAAGCCTAGGCCTGCTTGGGACCAATCCCACGAGGACCAGTCCCAAACAGGCCCAGGCTTGGGCCTGTTTGGGACTAGTCCTTGGCCTGCTTGGGACCAGTCCTTGCCCAGCTTTACTTATAGCTAGCTCTGCATATGCAATTTATAATTCACAATGCTATAGTAAAGGGGTGTTTGTTTAGCTTATGAAAATTAGTTTATAAGCAACAAGTACTGATAAGCTAATTTTAGCTTATAAGCATTTGAAATTTTAAGCAATTACATGTTTGATTAAAGTACTTATAAGTGACTGATAAGTAGTTGACGTATTTGGTAAAATGTGGCCTATAAGTACATTTTATTATAAATTGACTAAAAAGGATACTACATAAACAAGGGTATACTATAGAATTTTAAAATTAAATAAGGATAATTTGATAATATACTTGATCAAACTAGCTTATAAACAGAGTGCTTATAAGCCAAAAAAAAAAAAAAAATACATCTTCCCAACTTATTTTTATTTTTTTTGTTTATAAGCTCAACTTATAAACTCAAAAAAATTATAAACAAACATGTCAGTTTAATTTTAGAGTTTATAAGCTAGTTTGATCAGTAATATAAACAAATATAATCAGTAATAACGCAATCCTGGGTATGCACTAAACAATCTAATTAATTACGCAAATTATTGTTTGGTGGTTTCCATGAATTGAAACACGCTATGTGTTCTGACCACCGAGTCACCATGGTTCGATTAGGAGCCATTCTTGGGTTCTTAACTTTGGCCTCCTTGAATCGTTTCCAATCTCGAAGAACAGCCTTCAAATCTTGCACTTTTGCATCCACATGGCGGCAACAATTAGAATGAATTGTTGTGACTAACCAAATATCTTTGCTATTTTCACAAAACCCACTGAAATAAAGTGTAGGTAAAAACCTAACTCTCAGCCTCAATTTCTTAAACAAACCCTGTGTCATTAGCTCCAATAACACATCCTGATCTTTCTTCCCTGTTGAATTGTCTTTCATACCATACCATGTGGTAAATAAAGAGATTGTTTTGTTATTGGATCTGACAAAGTAGAAGCCTGTATTAATCAAATTGTCCTGTGATCGTGGGTCACCATTGTAAGTATCAACACTCATTTGCAGGTCTACGGTTTCCTTTTTGCTTAGTCGTGTAAAAGGGTTTCTGAGCCAGATTACATCAGTATCCTACAGTCATAAAATAAAGAACAAAACAGAAGTGTCAATATTCCAGTGAAAATGAAAAGTCATATTGTGAAAAACCAACACCAGCGCCTCTTAATATGCAAAACATGGGATTGAAAAATTCACTAATGGAGGAATCAACAAGAGTGACGGTTTGAATCGGGTAAAATAACAACAAAAAATTCTCAAACCCGAAAACATAAGATAATCAAACGAGTAGTGCAGAAGTGTCGGCAACAACATATGGTATCAAGATCTCTGTGTTATCCTACAACCACACATAAAATTTAATGTATATGATTCACAAAAAATGAATATCAAAATGTCAATATCTTCTCCTACAGTGTACACTATTGATTATCACGTAACTATATGAAGATAATGACGATATTATGCTAAAAATATAAATACAATAACCCAGGCTCCTCTTATTAATTCCAAGATGGCAAGATGAGAAGAAAGCTTGAATGGTATTGGTTTTTCATGTGCTGCGGTGTCATTGAATCGCCTATATGGCACTTTCCGAACTTCGGGAGAACTGAAAACTTAGTAACATTAGCCATTAACCCTTACCCACGTGGCAATTAAATTCTCTAAGCACTCTGGAGTGATTAAGTTCCTGACACAAAGTCAAAGTAATTATATTTAACACCTAAATGCAAACCTAACCCCATCAACAAATCATCAAAAACCAACACATACCGTGAAGATGAAGTTGTAACCACGTTTAAGAACATCCAATAGAAACTGAGTTCTTCTCCACATCATCTTGATAAAATCTCTTGACATGTACACTTTTTCACTGGCAAAATCTACGCCGTCCGTTACCAATCTGTAGCAGTGCAATCGTTTAAACATGCACCGATCATACGCCGTCTGATCTACTGCCACTATAAGAAGATGATCAAGTAGTTGTCTGGTGCCCTCCCCTAACCAGAAACTTTCCAAGAATATATCAAGCATAGTGGTATCAGCTTCCACGGTTTGTTCAACATATGCTTTATTCACGACGGCGATAATCACTGTTTTGTTGGGCATTGAAGCTTTCTGTAGAACTGCTTCAAGATCATCTATAACGAGATCTGTTGTATGAGTCTGTGACAAAAGAGAGAAAGAGAGTTAGATTCGTATTTGAAATAGGAATCGTTAAACAAGATTAGTGTAGAGACACTTACAAAGCTTGTTGAGCGCAAACAGGCGGACTCTTGAAAAAGTAACAATGGATTAGTATTTGGAGGGGACCAAATACAAATATAAAGGACGCCTGAAAAGAGAAGAGATACAATACCAAAATGATAGAGAGAATTCTTTGAGATATCCATGTGTGGGTTATTGATAAGTTTTTATTGGAATTTGGAAATGGTCAAAAAGGTTTTTAATGATTGATGGTGTCCCCAGTAGGTCTCTTCTTACATGAGTTAAGGTAAGATGCTGGAACAGTTGATCCGTATGAGAGACTTGTTCTATGGAAAATTTTAATGGGCCAATGGGTTGGTTCCAGAACACTACACATTAATGGAATATACAGTAATATCTTTCCTATTATATTCTAACTTACAAAACTTTAATTTAATAAAATCCCCACTTAAATTAAGAGGCAAAACCCGGATCCAGGTTCCGGCCCGTTACAAGCGAAACGTACATACAATCGGATTCAAAACCTAACAATCGGTAGGAACAGAATCAAGGAACGAGCATGTCGTCAAGAGCAGCAACTCCAACCACTACACCGCCTTACCCAAGTGCCGCAAGAATCTCAGATTCTCAATGCTATCCTCAATACACCGCCTCTCTCAAATGTAAGCTTCAATTGATCAAATTGTCCCTTTTTGTGCATTTTTCTTTATCATTATAGAATGTATGTGAGTCAACTTTAATTGGGAATATTAGAAATATCAAAGGGGAGAAAATTAGGGCTTGAATTTGTCGAAGGTGTAGCGTTTCTGACAGACAAATGAACTTTCCGTATGTTCAAGCGTTGCTCTGAGTAAATTAAAATTTCGGTGTTCCTTTGGATCTGGTTCAGTGTTTTATGGTCTTCAATCCTGGTGTATCAGTGACTTTATGTTGGATTTTAATCTTGTTTTTAAGCAGCAAGATTTCAATCAACTGGTTTTGCCAATGCAATCCATTGTGTTTCAAAAAAATATGATAATAGTGGTTTCTGTCATGTCATTCACTCATCACCAAGCTGAGTTCCATTTGATCAATTATCGTCTCCCACTACCAAAAATGTTATTCTTTTTCGCATTTGAAACATACACTGTTACCAAGTTGCTTAAGTGACAAGAGGCAAGATCATTCCTTCAAGTTAGGGAGACCCTTTTTTTGTGTTCAGTATTCGCATTAGTTTTCCTTTTTATGTTCACTGATAAGTTCTATGATTACTAGGGCTTTGCTTTTTGATTTTAAGTTGTCCTAATAAAAAGTTGTGTTTGGATCAAATTTTCTTTTACAACTTGACAAATTAAATATGGCAGAGCTCTAATCCTAAGATAAGCTTTTCAGGTCTGGAAGAATTTAGTTCGGACAAGAGCAAATGTCAAGAACATTTCGATGTTTACAAGGAATGCAAGAAAAAGGAGGTATTGCATTGCATTACTTCTCAAATTCTCTGTGTTTCCTCTTTATGTTGTTTTTTTGTACATATTTTTCCAATCAAGGAGCTTTACTTGCAAAATTTGAGCGAATAGTTTCTTCCTGCTTGCACTTTACTTCATTGATACCTGCTTAAAATTCTACAATCTTAAGATTAATTCTCTCTCCTGTGTGTGGGTGCCAGAGGGAGGCTCGGTTGGAACGCAACAGGAACCGGTCCTTCTTCTCGTGAAATCCTTCATGGAGTTCTTATTTCAACATGCCCAGAACAATAACAATATATATTTGAACTCATAGGAAGTTCTGATCCCTTTCAAGTAAGCATTATATATGTAGAATTCCGTTCTGTTAAGGCCAATTTGTAGAGCTTAACTCACTATTACGAATTTGGGAGAAGTTTCATAGCCCTCTTTTGTACTACCACAATATGAGAAAAATCAATCCTTTCCAACGAGTTAATAATATATTTTTCCAAATAATTGTATCAAACTGACAAATAAGTTATCCTTCTGTTGTTGCTTGTAAAGTCCATGTAGTGTGTCTTGTTTTTTCTTTTCATGGTGTTTGACTGAACTTGTATTATTGATTTTTATTTTTTCTTGAAGAATTTGTTATATGCAGCCGGTGAGAGAAATTTGAAACTGCGTTGCCGTAAATGACAGGATAATTAACTAGTGAATAATTATTTAGACCTCAGAAATGATTGTATTGTATAGAATTTGTTATAGAAGGTTTAACGTATAAATGTTGCAACGTGACAGCCCTCTCATAAAATCGTATCTGTATTTAGGAAGAGAAATTTCTGACTGGCAAATGTTGTAGTTTCACTTCTTGTGTAAAGATGATTAAGTTGCTATTCAAGAATCACACACATTCTATAACATCCGTTCGATCATTATTCAAACTAATAGTCACAAACATCAACATCGTCACACCCTCTTTATATGGAGAGTAATTCCATTTTCAGGCACTATATTGACCCTGATCGTGGGGGAGTGGTGGTAATTTGGGGAGAGTGCAAAGCTGAACTTTGATAGAACAAGAGATATTATCACTTTCAGTTCTGTCATGGCAAAGTGTTGGCCAGCACATGCCCGAGGTCCTGCACCAAATGGCATATAAGCCTGTGGTATCTTGCAAGCACCACTTATTCCTTTGGCGAATCTTTCTGGGTTAAACTCGTGAGCATCAGGTCCCCAAAGATCTGGGTTTTGTTGTAACAGTGGAATTGGTACCTGGATGCCCATGCCTTTTGGAATCACAATGTTTTTGAACTTGATATCATCTAATGCTTCTCTAAATACAAAACCTGCTGGAGGGTATAAGCGCAATGTCTCCTGGATTACCATTGTTAGCTGCCAAAAAATTATGACATTAGATTGAATGACCATCATTTTAGATAATATTTGCAAAGGAACTGCAATTTTTTTTTTTTTTTTTTTTTTGGATTTATACGTACGGATTTCATGCTTCGGAGCATATCAGTATCTGGATTGCCATCTTTACAAACTCTGACCACCTCAGCACGGACACGATCCTGCCATTCCGGATGTAGAGCTAATAACAAGAAACTCCATGATGCTGTGAGGCAGAGGTCTCATGTCCAGCAAAGTATATGTTCTTGCAGTTGTCCACAATGAACTTGTCATAAGAAATATTCAAGGGGACGCCGTTGTGGTCATCACAACTTTTAGCTCCCTCAATTATCATTTGTAAAAGATCCTTCTCATGGGAAGAACACTCAATTCGATCTTTGACTACTTGTAGTATCATTGTTGCAATCTCTTTCTCTAATTTCCATATCTTTCTGTTGTTTTTGGTGGGTAAGTACCTTTTAAAAGGGTAAAAAGTTCGTTACTCGTACATAAAATCAACCATTATGGTATAACATTATCACAATAATCTTTAAATGACGTGATTGTTTGTACCTCAATCCAGGAACTCCAACAGTTCTCTTGGACATTACTTCCAAGAGAGATTCGAACTTGTTGAATATTAGTTGGCCTTTGCTGTAACTGCTACCAAAACAAGCTCTTGAAATTACATCTGCAGCCAAGTTATGCATATCCTTATCCACTCTAATTTCTGCAATTCCACCTTCGCTTGGAATTCTACCCTCCCAAGATTTTACCAACGACAAGGTAGAGTCCACCATGAGCTTCGCCATGCCCTTAGAAAACAGTTTAACTTGATTAAAGAGATTAAACATGCTTTTACAACAATAACTATAGTAGGGAAATTACCTTAACCCTGTCAAGGTATAATTCAGGAGCAATGACCTTCCTTTGATGGGACCAAAGTTGGCCATTTGATGTTAAAATGCCCTGGCCGAGCAAAGGCCCCCGATCTTTAGACAGATAAGCAGGCTTTCCTAAGCTCAAAGATGTGCACTGGTTTATTTCCTTCACCAAATCCATGTCCGTTATGCATATTATCTGAATAATTCCAACCGTATACATGTATATTGGTCCTGCCACCAACACAAAAACTAGTGAGGAAGCAACATCTCTATGTATATATTTAGAGTAGAAAATATATAAATAATTTGGATGAAAGTCATACCATATTGGTTTCTATACGTTTCAAGATATGCAAAAGCTGTTGAAGGCCAATTATGCAAAATACCAACATTTTGTTGGCATTTTGCAGTTGCAGCTTCTTGTTGGATCTGCTTTATTTGAGTGATGTTTCCCAACAGAAATGAAGGAGAAGGTCCTTTAATCCCTTGCTTTTGGAGCCTTGATCTTAACCTCATTGGTTTCAAGAGCAAAACATTGTACAGGTGTAGAAACAATAACCCTATCCCTCCCAACAAAATTGCTGATAAAATTATCTTCCAATCCCTCAGACTTAACATATCTTTTACCTGCTCAATTGCCCCTCTCTCTTTATAATTCTAAAGTATACACCATAAAGTTTAATTTGCATATTTCTAAAGACTCGCATGTGGCCATTTATAAAGTAATTGGGACTTGGGCAATCTGTCAAAGAAGGGTTTGAAACATTTACCCCTGACCTTCTAGAACTTTGTTTCTGTAAAATGCACCGGTGTTCACAAGATGTATGTATATATATTTATTTTCATAATATGAGTCCTTTGTATTATAAAAAAATCACTAAAACATTGATTATTCTAATGCACTAACATTATCAAAATTAAAAGAGATAACTTGGTGAGCCATTGTCATGTTGACACTCCGAAAGCGCAGTCTTTGGTCTCATCACTCATGACATTTGCATCAGAAACTTACATAATATATTTTTCAGTGATAATCAAAAGTGGTTTGACTCCATCTCTAAAGCAAACACTTAGTGGTTAAGTGGGAAGAATAACCGGGTATTAAAATATTCTCTAGTGCTATCAGAAGTTGATTTCCAGTTCTCAGTGGAAACTTCACTGTTTATCAATAATCTAATTGATTCGTTCAGTCTACGAATATCTTGCCTTTGAATATGTTCTCCAAGTTCAACGATCAAAACCTCTTCTACTGAATCAAATAATACCGAGTCTTAAGTTTTCAGTACATTGGTAATCACTAATTTCAGCAAATGCTTTGAGGGCCGCGTTTCGTTTTCTTTATATATCATTTCTTCAAGTATGGTAATGAACAGACCCTTTGAAACCCACATCTGAGATCAAAAACAGGTTCTCTGTTACTATTCATTTTCTAATATGGAAGATTATTTTTATAATCTGCAATCCTACAAGTGTTTGTTTTTTATCTTTTCTATGCGAAGCCTTTCATTCAAATCATATAATAAATGCAAGAAGTTACCATTTTCGCTGGATTGAAGGCGTGATTTGGTTGAGTTGTATGCCAGATTAACAATGTGTCAAAGATTGGTAGATTTAAACCAAAGTCTTCAAGAGACAATTGTGTGCCAATTGCCAAAACACAAATGACCATATATAATATTTATATTAAAAAGACAGACAGGGTCATTTTAACAACTAAATGCCTGCCATGGCGACAAACTTAGAGACTCCTATTTATTATTCACCTCCGAAATTCAAAGGGTTCATACTTTCCTTACATATAGACTTACACCGTATTTAGGTTCCACAACCAAATTATAAACAGGGGAGTGAGAGTATTTTGGAGATAGTGAGAAACAAAATTTTGATAAAATGAGAGATAGTATCACCCTCAGTTCAGCAATGGCAAAGTGTTGGCCTGCACAGATTCGAGGCCCCATTCCAAAGGGTAGATAGGCTTGTGGAGTTTTGCAAGCAGCAGAAATTCCATTGGCAAATCTTTCTGGTTTAAACTGATGTGCATCTGGCCCCCATAAATCTGGATTCTGTTGTAACATGGCAACTGGTATATGGATGGCCATACCTCTGGGAATTACAATGTCTTTGAACTTGATATCTTGCAAGGCTTCTCTTGGGATAAATCCCACTGGTGGGTATAGCCGCAATGTCTCTTGAATCACCATTGTCAACTGCCACCAAATATAAATATTAATTTTAATTTACTCACTTTGAATCCAAAGAAAAAGTTTATATTGAAAAAATCACCATTTGAGTGACTTTAACTTTTATATTGAAAAAATCACCATTTGAGTGACTTTAACTAACTCCTTTGATTTTGGAAAACTATAATAAAAAAATACTGATAGTAAATCCTTTTCAGACCACCTAGTTCTTGCCTAACCAGAAAACACAAATTAAAGCATAGATTTAGAAAAGTAACTTACAACTTTCAAGCTTGGAAGCATATCAGCATCCGGAAGGCCATTTCTACAAATTTTGAGCAGCTCAGAGCGAGCACGATCTTGCCATTCAGGATGTGCACCCAATAAAAGCAATACCCATGATGCTGTAATTGCACTAGTTTCATGGCCAGCAAAGTATATACTCTTGCAATTATCCACTATGAATTTGTCTTGTGAGATTTGAGATGTTAATCCACTCTCATCATTATTACTTTTGGCGACTTGTAGTATCATTTGTAAAAGATCCTTTTCACTGGAAGCCTCAAGTCTTTGTTTCACCACTCTGAGTATCATTGAGTTGATCTCTTTCTCTAATTTCCATATCTCTCTATTGCTTTTGGTGGGTAAATATCTTTTAACAGTTTGAGACAACAATTTGGGACATGTAAATAAGCCATTGGTCAAATCATAAATGAATAACCGAAGAATAGTAATTACTACTTGTATGCAAATTTACCTTAAGCCAGGAACACCAACCATTCCCTTAGACATGATTTTCTGTAAGGATCTGAGCCCAGAGAATATTTCTTGACCTTCAGAGTAATTGCTTCCAAAACAAGCTCTTGAAATTATATCTGCCGCTAAACTTCTCATATCCATATCAACTCTAATTTCTGCAGTTCCACCCTCACTTTCAATTATTCTTTCCCAAAGTCCTATCAATGACGTTGTAGAGTCCACCATCAGGTTCACCATACCCTTTCAAAACAATTGATTGCATCGTGATTATCAGCTCTGTAAAATACTTAAAACAAAAATTCATATAACTTAAGAGAATTACCTTGACTTTATCAAGGTAGAATTCAGGAGCAATAATCTTCCTTTGATGAGCCCAGAGAAGGCCACTTGAGGAAATAAGTCCATGACCTAGAATTGGCCCACGTTCTTTGGTTAGATAAGAAGGCTTTCCTAAGCTCAAAGATGTGCACAAGCTCAATTCCTTCACCATCTCGACATCTGCTACATATATCATCTGCATATTCCCAGTTGAATACAAAAACATTGGCCCTGCCACCAACAAAATAATATTAATAATTGTCTAATCTATTATACTAGAATATAAAAAGAGGAAAATAATGATATGAAAGGCCTATGCATACCATATTCATTAGTCCACTTCTCAAAAAATGGGAAGACGGTTGAAGGCCAATTATGAGCAAGTGAAAGAGCAGCTTTATTTTGTTGTTCAGAAATAACTTGGAGTTGGATCTTCTTCATTTCAGGAATATTTCCCAAGAGAAAAGAAGGTGAAGGTCCTCTAATCCCTTGCTTTGTAAGTTTAGACCGCAAAATCTTTGGTTTCAACAACATCACATTGTACAGATAGAGAAACAACCCAACAAGCCCACCCACCACTACTGACAAAATCATCTTGCCCATTAAACTTAACTCTACTCCCATTTGCTTCTGCTCCTCCTCCTCCTCCTCCTCTTTCTCTATGTACTCTTCCTCACTTGTATTGAATTTGATTAAAATTTGTCTATATTGGTGTAGTAATGAAGATTCTGAATGATGAGCTGGAGTTATGGATGGACCACGGGAGAGCTTAACCTGAAGTAGTATATTATTCTATTGTTATGCACTGTCACTGACAAATACATAAGATGATTTGATGTAATTTCCCTTTAGAAAGTCAACTTCAACTTTAACACATGCATTTATTTACTTTTTTACTTGATACAATATTTAAATTTTCATGCTCATATCTTAACTCACAACGCGGCAAGCCTAAGACCCGACCCCCCTTCTGCTCTGCATACTCATCATTCATCATCACAATTGGACTGATCACGTTGATCCTGGTGCCTGATTAGACATTTTCGCTCCAAATTAATTGATTTTCTATTATTTATGGCTGTTTATGAGAACACATCGATTTCGCTCCTTCGTCCTCTTCATTATGTGTGTCCTTGTATTTCCACATACTTTCTTTGGTCATATCGTAATCATCAACTTTCTGAATTTGATATCAAAAATAAAATTGTTTTAATTTCAATAATTGAAGGAAATAGTCATTTGGTTGATGAAGAATAGTATTAATACTTCCACAATCTTTATCACCGAGGTAAAGTAAAAGAAATCAACCATAGTAAATGAAAGAAAGATAATAGTTTTTAAAGTGATTCGAATGCAAATCGTAATTGTATTTCTGACAAAAGATATTTCCTATAGAGAGAGATAATTGTTCGGTTGCTATTGAAAAGATAAAATGATAAGATTTTGGAATGCTCCTTTTGTGGGTGGTGGGAACCCCTATTTATAGTTTCGCATAAATAGTCTTGTTTAGAAAGTAACGCCTAATGAACCTTCCTGATTAGAAACTTAATAGTATTGTAACTCTTTCATAAGATGCCACGAAGACTTATACGATGCTTCATCCATTAGTCTTATGATGGAAGTAAGTTCTGGTAGTCGTATGGAGGAAGCCAATGTAATTCTTACAATTGAAGTAGCCCATGACAAACTTACGATGAAATTCATCCTATCTTGACATAACACATGGCCCAATCATCGACATAGTCATGAAACCTATGTCGATATCTCAAGTTTATTATTTTTACGGTTTTACCATATAATATAACATGCCTTATGCAAATTCGAGGCATATTCCTAGAAGATTGAAACATGAGATTTATCAATAAATAAAAAATTCTGGAATATGAATCTGATACGACCCTTACAACTCAGATTTATAAACAGATTTACAAAAAGAATCTTAAGGGCAATTAGCGAGTGTGCAAGTGGGAGTTAGTTATCCACGTGGCAGGAACAATGCAATTGGCATGACATTACGAGTATATATTTAGGGATTCATATTGTAAAGGGGAGAATATTTTCAAATAGGGATTTGGGAGGAACTAGCCCCTCAAAGAGCTAGCTTATCTTTACGTTTCAGTCTGGAATCTTAATTGATATTTACAGTATTGTTTCCATTTCATTTTCAATCAATACAGAGGAATATTCTTAGTAGTGCTTTATACATCATCTCTGATTTGTGTTGGAATATTGTCTTGTTTGGGTGAAATTACAATCTGTTTGGGTTATTTTGAGCATTGAGAATCCAGGTTCCCATCAAATTGGTATCAGCGCTTGGTGTGGGTAATGGTGAATAGGAGAATGGAGGTAAGAATTGAAGGGATCGAGAGGGAGGTGGGAAGTGTTAAGGAAGACGTTAACAGTGTTAAGGAAGATGTCGGCAACATCAAGGAATATCTACTGGAGTTAAGGGAATGGATTAAATTGAAGGATGAGAAGGACGGAAGTGTGAATCAAGGAAAAGAGAAGGGTGAATCGTCGGAGATTCATGCAAGTCACGACGATCGAAGCCCAAAACCATCAAAATCCAACGAGAGTGGTGGTGGAGATGATTGGAGAGTGAGGAAATTGGAGCTACCAGTGTTTAACGGTGAGGATCCTCATGGTTGGATCTTCAGAGCCGACTGATATTTCCAGGTCAACAAGTTTGATGAAGGGGAAAAGCTAGAGACCGCGGCGGTGTGCATGGGGCACGCACTGAACTTGTTCCAATGGGTAGACTCTCGGGTTCCGTTTACAGACTGGCGTACATTCAAGAAGGCGGTGATCGAGCGATTTAGGCCGTTGTACAAGGGCTCAGCATTTGAATCATTGGTGACACTGAAACAGACCACCACCGTGACTGACTACCGTGAGCAGTTTGAACTGCTGGCTGCACCTATGCAAGAGGTTGAAGAAGAGTTGCTAATTGGGACTTTTACAAGTGGGCTGAAGGAAGAAATAAGGGCTGAATTAAGGTTAGTCAGCCCCAACAACTTATTTGAGCTTATGGACCAAGCCCATAGAATTGAAGAAAGGAATTGGGTTTTAGACATAAACAAATAGAAAGCGGGCCGAGCCCAATGGACCAATAAAGGGGAAGTTTACAATAGACTCACACCCGGCCCAGAACCATTTATAATTGGGTGGGTACCCAATTCACTTAAACCTCCAGATCGCATCTTACCTTTTCAAATGAGAAATGTAAAAGAAGAGAGGGTGCATGAGTTAACGCCGAAGATCTCTCGAGACAACCACTTCCGACAACTCACCGATGTAGAGTTGCAGTACAAGAGGGAGAGAGGGCTTTGTTACAAGTGTGATGAGAAGTTTGGTCGAGCTCATAGATGCAAAAATCGCACCCTACAGATCTTGTTAGTCACAGATGAAGAGGAAGACTTGGGGGAACTTGAAACAATAGTGAAAACCGAGGAAGAAGGCAACGCAGAAGGGGATCTTGTGGCTTTATCCATGAACTCCATAGTGGGCTTGACGTCACCCACTACTCTGAAGCTTCTGGGTGAGTTAAAAGGGGCTGAAGTCATCATGATGGTTGACAGTGGAGCATCCTACAATTTTATCTCTTAAGACTTAGTTCAAAAGCTGGGATCAAAAGTGCAGGAAACAAAAGCTTTTGTTGTAATGGTATGAAATGGGTTTACAGTACGGAGTACAGGGGTATGTAAAGGGTTGGAGTTGGTCATGCTAGGACTCACAGTGATGTAGGATTTTTTTCCTTTTGACTTAGAAGGGGCTGATGTTGTTTTTGGTATCACTTGGTTAAGTACGTTAGAAGATTTATGTGCTAATTGGAAGTGTCTTACCATGAAGTTTGAGGTGGATGGGAAACAGGTGATACTCAAGGGAGATCCTTCTTTAGTGAAAACAATTATCTCATTGAAGGCAATGCTGAAATCCTTACACCAAGAGGACCACGGGTTTATGGTGGAATTCTGCTCCATTGTTCAACAGGAGCACGAGGAGGTAATTCCGGTTGACCCAAGGGTAGAGGCTCTCTTAACTGAATTTGCTCCCATCTTTGATCAACCTGAGGGCTTTCCTCCTCTTCGTCGACAGGACCACCCAATTACCTTGAAAGACAAAGCCCACTCCCCAAACATCAGACCTTACCGCTATTCTTACACTCAGAAAAATAAAATTGAGCGGTTGGTTGGAGAGATGTTGGTAGCAGGCATTATTTAGCCTAGTATCAACCCATTCTCCAGTCATGTGTTGTTAGTTCGAAAGAAAGACGGCAGTTGGCATTTTTGTGTGGATTACAGGGCCTTGAACGACATCACTATACCCGATAAGTTTCCAATCCCAGCCACTGACGAGTTGCTTGATGGATTGGGCAACGCCGTCATTTTTTCTAAACTGGACCTCAAATCCGGGTATCCCCAGATTCGGGTTCGCGAGGAAGATGTCCCTAAAACAGCTTTCCAGACGCACAAAGGGCATTACGAATTCTTAGTGATGCCCTTTGGGTTGACGAATGTTCCATCAACCTTTCAAGCCTTAATGAATGAGATTTTCAGGCCATATCTCTGCAAGTTTGTACTGATATTTTTTGATGATATATTAATTTACAGTCCTAACTTCTCTGTTCATCTAATGCATTTACGCCAGGTCCTCGAATTACTCCAACATCACAATTTAGTGGTTAATAAGAAGAAATGCCAATTTGCTCAAGCTAAACTGGAATATTTGGGACACATCATATCCGGCAAAAGGGTTGAGGCTGACCCTGCTAAGATTGATTGCATGTTGTCTTGGCCTATTCCAACTACAGTGAAGAGTCTACGGGGATTCCTAGGTCTTACAGGGTACAACCGGAAATTCGTTAAGAATTATGGCCAGATTGCCCAACTATTAACTCAATTATTGAAGAAAGACTCCTTCAAGTGGAACCCCGAAACACAACGGGCTTTCGAATGTTTACAGCACGCTATGGTTTCGGTACCGATCTTGGCAACTCCCAACTTTAACGAATCCTTTGAAATACAAACTGATGCTTCAGGCCTCGGCATAGGGGCTATTTTGGTACAACAAGGACGCCCTATTACATTCCTCAGTAAAGCTTTCTCTCCTTCTTCCAAACAGAAATCGGTTTATGAGAGGGAGCTCATGGCTATCGTATTTGTTGTGCATAAATGGAGCCATTACTTGATTGGCAGGAAATTTCTCATTAAGACTGATCAACGAAGTTTGCAGTTCTTGATGTGCAGAGACCGATCACTCCGGAACAACATAAATGGATTTCTAAATTGTTGGGGTACAAGTTTGAGATTCAGTACAACCCGGGAAGCTCTAACAAAGTAACGGATGCTTTTTCTAGACGTGAACCTGGTCCTGAACTTCATGCTCTTTCTACAGTCATATTTCCAGGGTATGAAGACTTGGTAACCGAAGCTTTCCAGGATGACAAACTCAAGTTGATTATCCAAGATCTTCTTATACAACCAACTTCAAGAGTTCACTATACCATATACCGTGGCTGCCTCTTGTACAAAGGCTGACTTGTCCTTCCAAAAACTTCCAAGTTTATTCCACAAATATTAGAAGAATTCCATAGTACTCCAAGTGGCGGCCATTCAGGTTTCTTCCGTACATATAAAAGGATTACTGGTGTCATTTTTTGGGAAGACATCAAGCAAGATATCAAAAACTTTGTCAATGACTGTGGGGTTTGCCAACAAAACAAACATTTATCCTTGAAGCCTGCTGGATTGTTACATCCCTTGCCAATTCCAGATTTGGCTTTCGACGACCTCTCCATCGATTTCATTGGTGGCCTCCCTAAGAGTTTTGGGTTCGACACCATCTTTGTGGTAGTGGATCGTTTGACAAAGTATAGCTATTTTATGTTGTTGTGCCACCCTTATACTGCAATTGAAGTAGCGGCGCTTTTTGTGAAAGAAGTGGTCCGATTACATGGATTTCCAAAGTCCATTGTTTCTGACCGTGATCGCATTTTTTTGAGTAAATTTTGGATTGAACTATTTTGCTTGGCAGGTACTACTCTCAAGTTCAGTTCCGCATACCATCCCCAAACTAATGGACAAGCGGGGGTGGTTAATCGTTGCATCAAGACCCACCTTCGATGCTTTACAAGTAACAAACCGAAGCAATGGCCTAAGTGAATTCACTGGGCAGAATTCTGGTTTAACACCTCCTACCACAGCTCTACCAAAATGTCCCCCTTCCAACCCCTTTATGGTCGCCCTCCCCCCACACTCTTGAAGTTTACAGAGGTCCATTATGCGGTAGAAGCAGTTAATCAGCAAATGATTGATCGCAATGCCTTGTTGGAAGAATTGAAATCCAATCTCACTGTCGCACAAGACCGCATGCGCACCCACGCCAATTCTCATCGTTGAGATGTGTCCTTCGAACTAGGTGACTTTGTTTACTTAAAACTTCAACCCTATAAATTCCAGTCCTTGGCTCTCAAGCTCAATGAAAAACTCAGCCCTCGATTTTATGGCCCCTTTCAAGTTCTGGCCAAAATCGGTGAGGTTGCCTATTGCTTAGCCTTGCCTGACACTTCCCGGATTCACCTAGTTTTTCACGTTTCTCAGTTAAAAAAGAGCCTTCATAATTCTGTCCTAGTTCAGCCTCTTCCGATGTGCCTCACTGAAGATTTAGAGTTGATGGTCCAGCCTGCCTCCACGCAATCTGTCCGCACCTTGTTGGATGGCTCTAGAGAGGTATTGATACGACCCCTACCACTCAGATTTACAAAAGGAATCTTAAGGGCAATTAGCAGGTGTACAAGTGAGAGTTAGTTATCCACGTGGCAGGAACAATGCAATTGGCGTGACATTATGAGTATATATATCAGGGATTCAAATTGTAAAGGGGATAATATTTTCAAATAGGGATTTGGGAGGAACTAGCCCCTCGAAGAGCTAGCTTATCTTTACGTTTCAATCTGCATTCTTAATTGATATTTACAGTATTGTTTCTATTTCATTTTCAATCAATACAGAGGAATATTCTTAGTAGTGCTTTATACATTATCTCTGATTTGTGTTGGAATATTGTCTTATTTGGGTTATTTTGAGCATTGAGAATCCAGGTTCCCATCAGAATCACATATATTCAGTAAACCAGCAAATATTTGAATCAATTCCACGCCACATTTCATTTAACCAATCAGGGAAAGTTCCAGTTTATTTATCTGATAAAGACGAAACTAAATAGTTAAATACTGTTCAAAGTGGCGTGACTATAAGACTATCTCATTTCCTGGTTCTAAAACCAACTTGGAAGTGCAACAAAAACACTTACCATAAAAGAATCGTGAATTAATCATCAAAACCACTAAGGCCCCAACTGATACATATATATATATATATATAGCTAGCCCCCAGCAGCTATAAAAACCTTGACATGTTTTCCACAATCCACATGTAAACTTCTATTTTTCCACATATTTTCTTGGGTCATATCGTAATCATCATCTTTCAGAATTTGATACTTGATACGAGGTGGCTGGTCATTTCAATTTCTCTTTTCTTCCTTTTGGGATTTAAAAATGGGGTTAAAATTGTTTTAATTCATCAATAATTGAAGAAAATAGTCATTTGGTTTATGAAGAACAATATTGATCCTTCCACAAGTATAAGAAATTTTTCTATAACCAAATGTAATTAATTGGATACGCAATCCAGAAACTGCCTTATGCAATATGAAATTTATCAATAAATAAAAAATTCTCACATATATTGAGTACACCAGCAAATATTTGAATCATTTCCACACCACATTTCATTTAACCAATCAAGGAAAGTTGCAATTTATTTATCTGATAAAGACGAAACTAAATAGTTAAGTACTGTTCACAGGGGTGTGACGATAAGACGAACTCCATTTCCTGGTTCTAGAACCAACCTAAGGGCAGGTGAGTGATGGTATGCTGGAGAGAGCGAAAAGCAGAACTTTGATAGAATGAGAGACAGAATAACCTTGAGTTCTATCATTGCAAAGTTTTGGCCTACGCAGGTGCGAGACCCCGCTCCAAAAGGAATGTAAGCTTGTGGAAATTTGCAAGCCCCAAGAATTCCTTTGCCAAATCTTTCGGGATTGAACTCGTGCGCATCAGGCCCCCACAGTTCAGTGTTCTGTTGCAACATTGGGATGGGAATTTGAATGTTCATTCCTTTTGGTATCACAATTTCTTTGAATTTTATATCCTCCAAGGCCTCTCTTACCACAAACACTGCAGGTGGGTATAATCGTAATGTTTCTTGAATAACCATGGTAAGCTGCAAATATATATAAATACAAACACTTCAACTATTTGGCGGCAGCTTGATTATTTTAAAGGAGATTCTAAATTGATATATAAGAGAACATACAGTTTTCATATTTCGAAGCATATCAGCATCTGGAAGGGCGCCATCTTTACAAATTTGAAGCACCTCAGCGCGAACACGAGCTTGCCAATCCGGATTTGCAGCTAACAACATCAAGCTCCAAGAAGCTGTGATGGCAGTGGTTTCATGGCCAGCAAAGTAAATATTCTTACAATTATCCACTATAAACTTGTCTTGAGAAACCATGTTTAATTTGCTGTCATCAACGTAATTTTGAGCACCCTCAAGTATCATTTGTAAAAGATCCTTCTCATATGGACCCTTAACACGTTCACTTACCACCTCTAATATCATGGAGTGGATCTCTTTCTCTAGTTTCCATATCTCTCTGTTGATTTTGATGGGCAAATACCTTTGATATATATATATATATATATATCATTAACCATGATATGAATGAGTTACAGGAACATATATAATTCTAGACAAGAGAGTAATTTTTTAGGTATTTGGAAAGTACTTACCTTAAGCCAGGAATTCCAATGCCGACCTTGGACATTGTTTTTTGGAGAGTTCTAAGCTTTGAGAAGATGTCTTCCCCTTTGGAGTAACTACTTCCAAAACAAGCTCTGGAAATTATATCAGCAGACAAGCTTCTCATGTCATCATCGACTTTTATATCTGCACTGCCTCCACCATTCTCGATTTTATTCTCCCACGATTTCAATGTCAAAACTGTAGCATAGACCATCAGTTTCACCATGCCCTTGGAAACAGAAATGGAATTTAATTTAAAATAACAATTAGTAAATTTCATTTACAACGGCAGGTAGTGGGAATAAATTAGAAAGTAAAATTTACCTTAACTTTATCAAGGTATAATTCTGGAGCAATAATCTTTCGTTGGTGAGCCCAGATTGGGCCGGATGAGGATAGAATACCTTGGCCCATCAAAGGCCCAAGATCTTTGGATAGATACGAGGGCTTCCCTAAGCTTAAAGAAGTAGAAAAGCTTATCTCCTTGGCCATCTCTGTATCTGCTACGCATATTAGCTGTATGCTTCCAGTCGAATACACAAACACTGGGCCTGTCGGTCACCATACCAAAACCAATACATAAATAAAACTATTATTGTTTTATTGCACATTATAAACATAAAATCATTCATGTAAAACATTACATATATAGCCTCGAAAATGGAGTGAGTATTGAGTAATCTAAATCTAAAGGAGGCAACCACTGGTGCGTTATTGTTTGTTTGTTTCAGGGGAAGAACATATTATAAATATAGAATAGGGGTATGACAAAATCTTTCTTTCTTTACCAATCCTGGAGGGGAAATTTAATTAAAATATTATTTTAAGTTTGAAACGAATAAAAAAATCATGAAGTTTGAAACTATTTATTAAATGATCATTTTTTAAGTTATCTAAGCTTTTCGCTTAAACAAAATAGATTTATCTATAAACTTATCTCTTAAATAATATTACATTAGAAACTTCATGACTGTTTAAATAGCCATTCCAAATTTAAAGTAATGTTTTAATAGTCAATTAAAATACCATTTCAAATTTAGAATAAGTTAAGAAACATAATAAAAGATAAATTCTAAATAATCAGCCAACTATTGGTAACCAAATAGAGAGGTAACTTCTAAATTATCAGCCCACTATTGGTAACCAAACAGAGAGGTATAATCAGGTACTTCGGAGGTTAGAGATGATGACTGAGACAAAACCCACAAAAGGAGGCTCAATTATTGCAATTATAGTTGATAACTAAATATGATCATTGAAGTTGAAGAAGTAGAAAGATTGAGGGAAACTTAAAGATGAAAAGTGAGTACCATATTCATTTCTCCACTTCTGAAGATATGGGAAGACGGTGGAAGGGCAGTCATGGGAAATAGCAGGTTGAGTTGATTGAGTTTGAGCTTGATCTTGATCTTGAACCATTCTTCTCATTTCAGAGATATTCCCTAAAAGAACAGAAGGAGATGGGCCTCTGATCCCTTGGTTTTGAAGCTTTGATCTTAGCCTCTGTGGCTTCACAACCAAAACACGGTAGACATGGAACGCAAAAGCTACAAACCCACTCAATATAATTGACAAAATCATCTTCAATATCCCCATTTTCTCTGTTTACCTTCTTCTTCCCTCAACTCCACCATATATAATTTTCTTAAGTTATCAAGTTAATAAATAAGATTCCTGAAATTAATTAATAACAGAGAAGGCAATGCGAAAATTTTATTATTATTTTTTTTCTTAAATTATCAAGTTAATAAATAAGATTCTTCAATTTATTAATGAAAAAAATTATGAAGCTGTATTCATAGCCATGGGTTACGGTAACCATGGTGGGCTGTGGGCCGTAAGCTGTGAGCCGTGATCCATAGGCTGCCATGATGGCAAACTAAGTTTTGGGCCCCTTGTAACCAAGAAGGAACAAAAAAGTTAAATAAGAATATCAGAAATTAAAATATCAGGAGGAAAAAAAAAGACAAAAACAGGAAGTAGAACAAAACAAGAGAGACAGAGAGACCTAAGAGGAGCTCGTGTATGTTTTCTCCCTATCTCTCTTACACACCTTAGTATTATCCGTCTCCCTCCCTCTCTGCTTCTTCTCTGTTTCAAATCTACCATTTCTTCTTCATCTTCATCTTATATACGTCATCGTTTCTTCTGTTAAATAATTGTTAAAGAAGAAAACCCTGTTGTCGGTTTACGAATCTAGGGTTTATTATTATGTTCTGTATCGAAGATTGAGTCTTTGATATTAACACGTTTAGTTAGGGTTTTCAAAATTAAAGCAAAAGAATTGGGGGAGTTATGTATAGAGATCGAGGAGGTGGGGCGAAATCGGAGATAGTAGGTGGATCTTTGGATCGAAAGCGTATTAATGATGCGCTGGATAAGCACCTAGAGAAGTCTTCCCCTTCTACTTCCAGGGCCTTGAGTTCTAAGGATAAGGACAGATTGTCCGTACCCTCTACTTCCACCGGTAAATCGCAGCTCGATCATCGCGATTCTCGCTCTGCTTCGATTGCCAAGAACAAGTGCTCAGATGGTTAGTTTAGTTGTACTCACTCCTTAACTTTTCTTTTCTTGATTTCTTTTTAGCGGTTCCTTTTTAAAGGGTGATTGGTTACTTGAATATTGTGTTTGGCGTCCGCTAATTGTCTGCTTAAGTGTTTTGTTTTATGAGGTTTATTTTTACATGGGATCTGGGATTATGGACTATCTCACTGGTTTTGTTTTAGAGGAGAAAATGGCTATCTTAGATTGATTGAGGTCCCGAGACACGGTTTTATGAGGTTTATTTAGCTTTTTGAAATTTTAAAGAGTACAACTGGCATATCTTTCTAGACCCTTCAAATAGAGCATTTTGACTTGTAGTACTTGGATAAATGGCCGATAGAATAATCTGACATTTATGGGAAACATGGTTAGATTGAAAGGAAAATGTACTGAAATCCCATTAATTACTGTGATATCCGTTACAGCTAATTAGAAGATATAAATAGGTGAGATGGTGATTCAGTACTGACTCACCTCTTAAGACTACTTTGGCATTTAGTGACAGCCATCTTAACGGGCTATCATTCTTATATCTGGAAGTTTTTATCATCTATATCTTTGGTTTATTCAGGTATTAGATTAATTGTTCAACTGTGATAATTTAGATGCTGTACGTCAAACAGTTCCATGCAAGTCTGCTAAAGAAGAAAACATTTACATTTCCCAGGGTTACCATGTTGGATGCTTGTCATATCTGACAATTCTCTGCCTTTGACATGCTCTACTTAGTTGCAGCTTGTATTATCATTGATAATAATAAGATTTTAGCCTGTTGTTGCTAATCTGGTCAGCATATTATGATGTATTCTTATCATATAGTCCCCAAGCTATGTGATAGTTTTTTCACCTACACTTTTGGAAGTCTTTGTCTGACTTTTCTGCTGATCATGTGCTTCTTTGCATTGACTGCAGAGGAATCTGAAACAGACAGTGAAGAGTCAGATGTTAGTGGTTCAGATGGAGATGACACATCTTGGATCACATGGTTTTGTAATTTGAGAGGAAATGAATTTTTCTGTGAAGTCGATGATGAATACATCCAAGATGATTTTAATCTCTGTGGACTGAGCAGCCAAGTTCCATACTATGATTATGCTCTTGATCTAATATTGGATGTTGAATCTTCTCATGGTGAGCATTTTCCTTGAGTGCCCTTGATGCTGTATCAAAATATTGTTCAATTTTTTAAGTCGGATTCCTTATCTAGTGTTTTCTTAATTTCCACATAATATTGTACTTCTGTGTTTGAGAATCATGTGTTAAAGAGGAAAATAATGCTGGAGAGTTGTTTTGAAATCGATCAATGTCAGACATTTCTCCTCATCAGTGCTCTTGATGTCAAGCTTTTTTTTCTTGGGCTGTTGCAGCCATTTATGACCTCTGCTAAAGTTTCATTTGGTACCTTTGACACCAGAAATTGCTAGAATATTGTATAAGTAGACCTAGTTTATTGTGCATGGTTATGTTCAACGTGAATATTGTGATAATTAGTGTGAAATGGCATTAGATGACTTGACGTAGTTCATGATCCATACATAGGGTATGAAAGGTGTTAATTTATAATCTCTTTTGTGTCTATGCTATCATTGTTATCTCTCTTTCTTCTCCCTTCCACCGTACTTTTACCCTTTCACTGATCTGATATTTGCTAAAACCCTTACTTTCTGTTTTTCGTGTGGTGGACCTTTTCAGGTGATATGTTCACAGAAGAACAGAATGAATTGGTGGAATCAGCTGCAGAGATGCTGTATGGTCTCATTCATGTCCGATATGTTCTGACCAGCAAGGGAATGTCTGCAATGGTAAAATTCTGAGTTAGATTGGTTTTATTGTTGCTTTTTTTCTTAAATCATATTTTCCTTTTTTGGTTAAAATGTTGTTTCGCTTGCAGTTAGAGAAGTACAAAAACTATGATTTTGGGAGATGCCCTAGAGTTTACTGCTGTGGACAACCGTGCCTTCCTGTTGGTCAATCAGACATTCCTCGGTCCAGTACTGTTAAAATATACTGTCCAAAATGTGAAGATATATACTATCCTCGATCAAAGTACCAAGGCAGTATCCTTAAACTGTTTCGATTGCTTTTACCTTACAGGTTAAATTACATTTATCTTGCATCTGGTTACTTTGAATTCTCTTACTATGAATCTTTCTTCTTACTAATGAGTTTTTTTCAAATTGAAGTTTGGCAGAGTTACTGTAATTCTTATGATTAAGGGTTCTGTTCTCTGTTGACATTATTAGTTTAGTAGTAGCCACTAGACCTGGTTTGCTGGTGCCATTTTTAAAATTCCTATTCCTCTTAGTTTTGAGTGGTTTGCGCAATGATTACTATTGCAACTTTCTGTTTTAAGTCATATTACTTTGCACAGCACGTGCTTACGTGCTTTTGTTAATATTTCTGTGTTTTGTTTGCATGATGGAATTTCCTTGACATACTAAGATATTGATGGTGCATATTTTGGAACTACGTTTCCTCACCTATTTCTGATGACATATGGACACTTAAAGCCACAAAAGGCAACGCAGAGTTATGTCCCAAGAGTTTTTGGCTTCAAGCTCCACAAGCCCTGACACAGGAGTTGCTAGGTGCAATTGCGTTGAGATGTCCTCTTGTCCATCTGTTGTGGTATTCGCAGTGATCACATGCTTCTGTTGAAGTATGAAAGGCCCTATCAAGTGAGGTAAAGCAGGGTAGTTCCAAAAGTAGTACAATTGATTTGAAAGTGAAAATGTTTAAAATGCTAGATGGCCCATAAGTACAGTAAACCCATCTTTAAATTTTATTCCTGAATTTAACAGAGCGTTTGTAAGCTTATTTCCTTTACTGCTGTGAAGACTGTTTGAAGTGCTTTACATTGTAGTTCTTGTTTTTCCTTTTAAAAAAAAAAAAAAAGAAAAAAAAAAAAAAAAAAAAAGAAAGAAAGAAAGATTTGAGTATGCATTTATACCACGGCCTTGACAGTAGCTCATTAATATATTGGGTGTTGAATCTCTCTGCCTGCAGCATCCTTGTATGAATGTAATTTGTTAAAGCAATGTGCAGGCACAGTGGGTAAAGTCCAAGAAGGGAAAAAAAATTAGGAATTTTTCCAGATTATAATTCTTTTTGACGCTGTTGTACCAGTGAAGCTGTAACTTAAGAATTTGTGGAGGGTTGATAATAAATTCTGATTTCATTGTTTGAGAAACTATGTGTTGTTTGTGCGAAGCAGTGATAAAGTGTGTGTTGAAATATATGATTAAAGATAAGATATTTGATTGTTGTGAATAGAAGATGAGAGTCATAATCAAAAGGAATTAAAATAATTGAATTCCATCAATCAGCATGTCCATATTGACGGCAGGTGTTAAAGTGATCAAATAAATTATCCAAAACATATTTGTTATAATTATTGACATTGGAAATTATATGATATAAAATCATAATTTATTTATAGGATATGGAAATGGCGTGTTTGGTTGTCTTGGGTGCGAACTGCGGCTTTTGAAGAAGTCTTTTGTCTTTCTTCCTACATTCAAGAATCGATATATTCAATGATCTTATTTTATATTAATATTATATTTTTAATTATCATTCACGCGTATTCGTAACTTCGTATTATACCTATTGTTTGGATATTTAACATTTGACTCCTTTGTTTTAGTCAATGCCAGATCAAAGTGATTAACGGGTTAAAATTACAATTAATCAACTAAATCTAGAATATGTTGCATTAATAATTTATGATTGATAGAAAGAGTCATATGATGGTGATGGCGGTTAGAAAAAAAATGAAAATGGCATGAAAAGTAAATAAAAAATATAAAAAAGGGTAGATTAGGAAGGAAATCCCTAGTTTAGAGTTAAGAAGAGTTACCTCTGTGGTTTGAAATTAGTGAATTGTTGATTACCATAAACTCGCGCAGAGACCGCTCTATAGTCTAAAGCCCATCTATTTATATACAAAAATTTAGATTTATCTTTCTTCACAACACACAAAGGATTGATTGATTGATTGATTGATCGATCGAAAGCCAAAGTTTGTATTGGGTTTGGTTTGGTTATGTAATGCATCAGAAGAAATCAGAAGTACAGATCGGAAAAGAAAGCACTGGCGTCTCTTCCGATTTCAACCCTACTCCACCGCTATTTGTTTTCCCTTCAAATATTCATCAAAAACATCAACCTTCATCTGAAACCACCACTGCTATTCAAGGAATTCCTCAAATTTTGATTCAAAATGATCCTATTACCCCTTCTCCTTCTCCTTACAAACGTCCTCAACATTCTTCCTCTCTTTCTAAATCCCCAACTTTGTATCAATTGAATCCTCCATTCAATTCTCACCAACAAAACCAAACTTTTATTTCCTTTCCAATTGCTGCTAAATCCGCTGCTTTTCGTTTCCTTCGCCGTTTTAAACACCTTCGTCGTCTTAGAGTTCATCTTCGTTTAATCCTTTTATTATCTCTTCCATTTTTTTATTTCTTGGTTTCTAATCCTAGTCATTCCTTTTTTCTGGATTTTCTATCGGCTTTCGCCTTCTCAGCAGCTTTATTATTCTCTTTAAACCTTGCACTCCCTCGATTACCTTCAATTCGCTTGTTCTTAGCCCGTTCTTTCCCTATAAAGCTCGCCACATCTCCTACAATAACTAAACCCCCTTTACCTGTGTTTTGGTCTATTGGGTCGCGCCCCAAATTGGACAAAAGGGTAAATTCTGGGTGCTGGGTGCAGGTTTATAGGAACGGGGACGTATATGAAGGTGAATATCACAAGGGGAAATGTTCAGGGAGTGGAGTGTATTATTATTACATGAGTGGGAGATATGAAGGGGACTGGGTTGATGGAAAATACGATGGGTATGGAGTTGAGACTTGGGCGAGAGGAAGCCGTTATAGAGGGCAATATAGGCAGGGCCTTAGGCACGGGTTTGGTGTGTACAGGTTTTATACTGGAGATGTTTATGGAGGAGAGTGGTCTAATGGCCAGAGTCATGGTTGTGGAGTTCATACTTGTGAGGATGGAAGTCGTTATGTTGGGGAATTCAAGTGGGGTGTCAAGCACGGCCTTGGCCATTACCATTTCAGGTTAAACTCTGTTTTGTTTATTACAATTTTTTAAATTGCTGTAATTTTTTTAACTTTGGATTTGATTGTGGTATATCGTGTTAAACTTTGGTGTTAGATTTGTTGGTCTTTGAATGTGAATTGGTTTGCCATGGTTAGTAATTTGCAGTGGTGGCTACTTTGCACTAAGATTTGGGGTCTCTTTTAATTCGAAATGCATAGTTGATGGCCCTACACGGTGGTATACAGTAATTGGATTTCTGATGTTTGAGCTAACTAGTATCATTTGAAATAGTTATATTATTGCTAACAAATCTAGCCCTTCCTAAATTCTTTTGGATTTGGCTGCATAAATCATGCTGTCATTATATTTCCTGGAGTTGTAAGTAATTATCACTTTGCATTTACATTTTCCATGTTATGAACCTAATAGACAAATATTTGTCCACATGGCCAAAGTTATTAGGAATAATACCATTCTCTCTCCTATATTACATTGGAGGCTTATTTTTAGATGCAGCTATGGATGGTTAATTGTTGTATATTAATACATATTGTTATGTGCAGCTATGGATGGTTTTTGAGTATATTAACACATAAGATTATTTGATTCGTTTTATCACTTATTGGGTTCCGACGATCTAATTTTCATTTTCAGAAATGGGGACACATATGCTGGAGAATATTTTGCAGACAAGATGCATGGTTTTGGTGTCTATCGTTTTGCCAACGGGCATCGGTATGAAGGAGCATGGCATGAGGGTAGAAGGCAAGGGCTTGGAATGTACACATTTAGAAATGGGGAAACCCAATCCGGTCACTGGCAAAATGGAATTCTGGATGTTCCAAGTACACAGAACACCACTTATCCTGTATGTCCTGTGGCTGTCTATCACTCCAAAGTACTCAATGCAGTTCAGGTATTTAACTCTTATAGCTTAAATTTTATTTAATACTTCTGCTAGTGTTAGGGCATACATTGTTAGCTACAATTGTACCTCATAAATTTCTAAGAGTGTTACTGTCATTGCACTGAATATCCCCCGTAGTAGAACATAATGTGATTGGAATATCTTTAGTTTTGCATTTATAGCAATTTAGTGTGGTAGAAGGTAGTTATTCTTGATTTTTGTTAGAATTTTTTTTTTTTCGAAAATACTTTGGCTGGGTAGAAGAAAATTGCAGGAGTTAACATTACTGGTTTGTACTGGAATACCTTCCCATATGTAGTTGTACAGCTTTTTCTAATAGATTTTGTTATACAATCAGGAAGCACGACGAGCAGCAGAAAGAGCTTATGATGTGGCCAAGGTTGATGAGAGGGTAAATAGGGCAGTAGCAGCTGCTAACAGGGCAGCAAATGCAGCTAGAGTTGCAGCGGTTAAGGCTGTCCAGAAACAAATGCATCAGAATAATAACAATGACAACATTCCCATTCCAGTTGATAGACTCTCATGAACGGCTTCATTTTAAATAGAATTAGGTAAGGTGTCAGTAATTGGACAGTGACTGACCCATCTTCTTCTAAGTGGCTGTAAATGCGAGATTCTTCCTTAACTGTTGCTTGTTAAGGAGGGAGACAGTCCGAGAGGATCATATTTTAGTCAGTCCTTTTAAAATGTCTTGTATACACGAGTGATTCCCTCCAAAAATAGAGAGTGGAGAGAGAGAGAGAGAGAGAGCAGAAGTAATCGTTACTATGGTTAGTTTATATTTGCTTTTGTATCTTTGTTACATTTTTGTAAAGTTAGATGTAATGTAAATGCTGGAGCCCTGGTAAAAGAACCTCGACCCAGCTTTTGTTGTATGTGAACTATTGGGTCTGGTTCTGGTTCTGGTTCTCACAATGAAATATAGTCATGTTCATATAAGATGTTTTGGATTTCTCTCGGGAAGTTTCCCTAGCCAATATGGAGATACCAACCAGAGGCAGAACTTTGTGCCACAAGGAGAAACGCGTATTTTATGTATTTATTAAGGGTATGTTAGAATCACTGAAGCATGTTAAACAATTGTCGAATGTCGCCTATAACAACTTTTATTGATCAATAAGAGGGTTATTACTCGATGCGAACTTGATTTATATCTAGTCAAACCAGAAACATTTTCCCACTATTTATACCTTTCAAAAAGATTCCAATCTAATTTACACATATGTACCAATCGCCAAAACCTCATATGAACGCGATTGAACATGTCCTCCGATACAATTTAAACAGGCTACAGATAAGTTCAAAATTTCTTACGAAAAAGGAGAGGCTTCAGATTAACACATTGATACACCTTCATTATTGATGCTGTGAATAATCTATTCCTATAACATTGCCATTAATATCCTACACGAGTTAAACTACTGTTATATAGTTTCAATAAAAGATAAAATTAATATAACAAATAAACATTTTGTACGCATTACCACACCAGAAAAATACACATAGGCCATAGCCAGCAGTGAAAATAGCAACAAACTCAAACATCACCAAAATTTGATTAACTAGATTCAAATGAAAAATCTCTAAAACAAATATCCATGCATAAGAATTCTATTCAAGAACATCATGCACCATAAATTACAGTCCAATGACATATCTTAAGCAAAACATTCATTTAAAATTAACTCTCAGTCTGCTCCCTCAGCCTGCGGATGGTGCTCCTGACAGTCACGGCACTTGCAGTACTGGCCAAAGATAAAAGGAACAACTATTAGAACTATTGCACCTGAAACTATAAGTACATGAGTAGCAATATAGGTGGAAATCTTACTTTAAAGTGTAAGCACCTCCAGCCTTAACCTTGCCGCAGTCTTTGCAACCCCAGATTCCAACAGCCTTCCTTTTCACAGCATACTGCAACATATAAGAGTTCATCAGATCAAACACATCCAAGTACGAAGGAGAGCAAAAGGATCATGAACTTGATTTGAGATGAGAAATTAGGCAAAATGGACTGATAAGTATTACCTTCCCGCAGAACTCGCAAAAGTACTTGCTGTGTTGACTGACCTCCATCTTTTTAATCTGCTTGCGCAAACTAGCACCATATCGTGTACCTGAAATGAGAACATGTTAAAAAAATGCCTTATTTCCCAAAGTTACACATGCAAAAGGACAATGTTCTTAACAAAATCAACACCGAATTTACTTTACCAAATTTCTTTAAATAATATCATTTTCGTAATAGAAGGGCAAATATCCAAAGTAAATTTTATGTACCACTGTGATATCTTTCTTATATCACTAACTCAACATTCCAAACATAAAAGAGGAACATAAACTAGGTTCAACACTTACCATACTTCCCGACAATTCCAGCCTTCTTGGTTCTCTTGGTCTGTATAAGATACACAATTAAGTATATGATTAGCAAAATTTACTAATAGAGTAAACAAAAACTCCGGCTATTAGAAAGAAACAGAAGTAAAAAAGGCTATCAATCAAAAATCAAAGCGACCATTTGTGAGGTTTTCCAATAATATACATGAACCATCACAGTACAAATACTTGCCAAAAACAAACTACCAGCTCTGAGTATCAATAGCACTTGAATTCCTATACCTTAGTTTCTTTCTTTTTTTAATTAAATATCACAGTTGAATCTAATAGTATTATTAAGCTTAATCTTCATAGAGATGTGAGATGTCATAACTCTTTCCACCGCAGTAATGAATTATTGATCTCATTAATTTTATGCAATTAAAAACAAAACCCGAAATACTTCATAAGTTCAACAACATAAATGGATAAACTAAATAGCATCAAAAGTTTGGAGAAAAATAACAGTCTATTTCAACTAACACAGAGAGAGAGAGAGAGAGAGAGAGAGGTTTACCATTTTCGATGGGTTTGGAGAAGCAGACCAGAAACCCTAGAAATCTGACTTAGCTGAACAAAGCGGCCAACCCAAAAGATCTACCTCGTTACTGCGCTATATATATTGACAAACGTTCGACCTTCCCTAGATTTTGCCTTTTGCCCTAATACCCGACTAGCTTGTTGTAAATTCTATTGACCCGCAGCACACTGGGCCTTTAGGAGCCTGCCTGACCCAATTGTTTCAAAGCTTAAATTATTAAGTGAAATATGAGAAAAAAAAAAAATTATAAATCATTTTTTAATTATTATTTAAGAGGATATTATTTTAGAAAAAATAATAATAATAATAATATACTTTTGTAAATTTAGATGGATATTAATATAGTAAATGGTTAAATTAAAATAATTTAGAATTATCTGAATAATATATTTTGAAAAACTCAAATTTGGAGAACGAACAGCACGCGAGCTCTCTGGTATTAATTTGGTTGAGAATTTTGTCTGGTTCTCTGCTTTTTACGTGGATTGGCGTTGAACTATGAATAATTTCATGCTTGTTAACTGTAGCAACTGCCATACACTGTTGCAACTCCCTCCCGGCGCCGAATCTCTATGCTGCGCTATTTGCTCAGCCGTCACTCAGGTCACCAATCATCGCGCTGCACCTACTCCTCCGCCTTCTTTACATACCCACCCGCCACCGCCACCATCTCTTTCTTATCCACAGGCTCCTGGGAGAAAGAGAGCCCTTATCATCGGTATATCTTACAAGCACTCCAAACATGAGCTTAAAGGTTGCATCAATGACGCCAAGTGCATGCGTTATCTTCTCATTAACAAGTTTCACTTTCCACAAGAATCCATTCTCCTGCTTACAGGTATTCTCTATTATTCATTTTCATTATATACATGTAAACCTAAAATGCAGATCAAACATTTTGATTGGTCTTAGATCAAAATTTTAGTTATAGGTTGATTTATTGTAATTAATTTGGAAAATTAATTGCAGAAGAAGAAAGCGATCCTTATAGAATTCCAACTAGACACAACATAAGGATGGCGATTTATTGGCTTGTGCAAGGTTGTCAACCTGGAGACTCCCTATTGTTTCACTATTCTGGTCATGGTTCACAGCAATTGAATCACGGAGGAGATGAAGCAGATGGATATGATGAAACTTTATGTCCCGTTGACTTTGAAACTCATGGTATGATTGTTGATAATGAGATCAATGCTACCCTTGTTAAACCTCTTCCTTATGGTGTTAAGCTCCATTCTATTATTGATGCTTGCCACAGTGGCACTGCTCTCGATTTACCCTTCCTTTGCAGAATGAACAGGTTGATTTGATTTAATTTTCTTATTTGTTCACAACTTAATTGTTTCTGTTTTACCCTTGCATTCATTTTTTACCCTTGTTTCAAACAGTAGTGGACAATATGTATGGGAGGATCATCGTCCACGTTCAGGAGTGTGGAAAGGAACAAGTGGTGGAGAAGTAGTCTCCTTCAGTGGTTGTGATGATCATCAAACCTCTGTGGATACCTCTGTCAGTCTATCATAATCTTTAACTTTTTATACACCTTCAATTGTATATAACCAATTAACACAAACTATTTCTACATTTCAACAGGCTCTGTCAAAGATCACCTCTACTGGTGCCATGACTTTCTGCTTCATCCAAGCTATTGAACGTGGGGATGCGGCTACATATGGAACCATCCTTAATTCAATGCGCCATGCCATTCGAACTGTAGGTACTAAAACTAACAATACTTATGGTGACCCTTCAACTCTCATGAACATGCTAGTGGCAGGAGGCAGCGTCAATGGTGGGCTCACACAGGTACCACCTCCTCCAAACTGTTGATGTGGTCATCATGCTTATGCTTGACTTGTCTTAGTAACCCCAAACTGTTGGCCATGCTCATTGCACCTTAGGAAATTATGTGTTTTTAAACTAAATTGTCTTGTAATTCACATAAAAAATTCATCCCCCTTATCAATTAAAACTGCAAAATGTTTCTAACTGAAGAGATTTACCTTTGTACAAGTGTTGTAAATGGCGGTGGGTATGATTGACTTGATAATAACTGGTATAGTTGATTGTGGGGTAGGTTTTGATGGTAGTGAAGAGCTTAATAATTAATAATGTAATTAGTAACTCTATCAAGGGGAGAGAGTTTTGAAGAACGGGGGAAAGACTTTAGAGATTTATTCCAGTCATTCCATTCTTTATATCCTTTTACTTCTTTCAATACCAGTGTAGTATGCGGTGATGGACAGGAGATATAATAGAACATTTGGAAAACGACAGTCATGCACATTTTAATTAATTTTATTGAAGCTGAAAGCTTCTGAATTTTCCCTCTGTGTTTCTTTTTTTTTACAGGAACCACAGTTAACTGCCTGTGAGCCATTTGATGTGTATACAAAACCTTTTTCCCTTTGATTTTGATTTATATTCGAATTTTGTCGGCACAACATTGATTGTGTTGGTGGGATCCCCATATGTTATGCTTTTGCTTTGTCTCGCCATGTATACAACACTATCTTCATTTTTGTACAGTACATGTTTCTCACGCTATCAGTCATGATAATAAATAAAAAATCAATATATACAAATTTCATATTTGTAGTTTTTTGTGTTTTGTTTACCGTTTTAGGAAATTTTGTTGAAAACCGAAACAGGGTCTAAACGAAATTTCGAAATTTTAGATATTCTGATTGAACAGAAACTAGAAATGCAAGTTTTCGTTTGAAAATGTCAGGAATTGTTGCTGTTGTTAAAGCTTCAGATGTACCTATATTGAGTGGGTTGTATGAAACACCAACTCTGTAATCTGCAGAAGAATAGAGAATGAAAGTCGATGAAAAATATGAACTTGTCTAATTGTTACAGCACAGGAAGTCGTGAAGCTGAGGCAGTTGGATTATATTTATGGTACTAACATGATATCAACCAACCATACCTGTTAATGCTAGCGGATATAATCGGGTCTTCTTTTATAATATTAAGCTAGTGTGTAGACCAGAGCTTGAAACCTGCTATGTACTGGTCGTCAATATACTAAGGGCAGGTATCCTGGGCACCGAATATTAACGAGAGGGAGTATTACATGTTGGTCCCCCAAGGTCCCGTTTCCTGTCTACTACTTTAACCAACATTAAATGGTCAATAGCCATATCAAAATTACGCCAATCTCTTACCTTTTCTTAAGTCGTAACTAGAAGATCATTCTTTGACTTGAGAGTTAATTGATTGAAACTTGAACGCAAAGGAAAACACAACAAAGAAACATCAGTACTCTTAGGTCAAAATTCATGCAAGTCTCCAATCCATACGGCTTTACAATATATTTGAAAAGTAATAATAAGAAATGTCCATATAACTTTAGAATTGTAGCATCGTCCATTGCTTGTTAAGAAAGAAAGGTAACCAAAATGGCACTAAGTATCAAAACTATCCGATATTCGATCATCATCACACAAGGCAGATAATGAGATTCGATCACACAAGAAATTAGACAGCAACTTTCTACCAACAAGAACATATGATTTTGATGCTGGATTGAACCCTTTTCATAATTGCAGTGAATACTTTGAAGAAATAATATTAAGGCGTGGAGAACATATCCTACCCACCCCACCCCATCCACCAAGAAAAATATTTTCGAAAATTAACAAGTACCCTAGAAGCATTGGGGATGAATTTCTTCTAACAAGATACAATCAGCATCACTATCCTCTAAATAAATTTTTCTAATATCCTTGATCTGTAAGGATCTGGAGGCCGGAAATCCTCCAATCGCAAATTGGAGCTCATTCGAATCTCATTTAACACAATTTCTCCTTTATCTGATTTAATAATCTCTAATATGCTACCAAGAACATCACCAGCAAGCCCAATTTGAAGAAGACGTCCTCGCTCCTCTCCTCCTTCATACAACAACCGCCCTATGTCTCTCAAGGGTATCACATTCTCAACAATGACTTTCCCAAAAATACGGCCAAGAAATTCAGCTGCTTTTGGGGCATCATTTACTGCATCCTCCAAAGTACTCAGAACAGATTCAAACCTGCCCAATGGGAATAAGAGATTAATTATATTATCGCAATAGAAAAATTTGTATGAATGCCTAACGCTAAATCTTTCCTACCCTTTCACGAGCTGAACTGGACTTAACATGCTGTCCCGAGATTTTGCAAGATTAACAAGAAGCTTAGCCAAAAGATCCCTTTCCATGTCCTTCCTCTCAAAAGAGTCTGTAACCCAGAGAGAGACCATTGAAGGATGGAAGCTTGGGGAATTCAAATCCTTAATGCACAAAGCAACTTCTTTCTCATCCCTGGCACTGAAAAAATTAAGGAAAAAAGCAACTGTGAACAGATTTTTCAGATTTGTCCCAAGTCAATTCTAAAAAAATAAAAACTTCATTTGCCAGCAAAGGAAACTAGAAAAGCAGAAACTGAACTTTAAACACGATTTCATGACAACCAGTAATTTTACACAGCTGAACAAGCAGTCCACTAAAGGAAAAGTACGAGAAAACAAACAAAAGAACCATACATAGTGTATACAAAATAGCCCAAAAATGCAAATCATCAAAAAAGACCAGAACGCCAGCCAAAAGCTCCCAATGATCAAAACAAAACATGGTCAGAACACCCTTCCAATTCAACTGGATGAAAAAGAAAGAAAATCTTGAAATTCTTGTCACTGACGCACCCTAGGGAACCATTCTAGATGCAGAACAAACCATCTAGCCTCGCTGGCAATATGTGCTCTAAATTCAGGCCATAACATTCTATATCTTTTTTTTTCCTTTTTCGGTTCATTCATAGATAAATTAAGACAAATGCCTATACAGCAAGATTAGCATGCATATGTAAAAAACATAAGAAAATAATAATTGGATCATTTTACACTAAATCAGAAGCCATGAAACATTATTGTCAAACCTCCTATTGAAACCATATGCCCATTGAGCTTTAGATCCTATGAAAGAAATCAAGTACTACTTATATATATATACACACATAACATTCAATATGAACTTAATGCTCATACAAGGTTCAGTCAACTGGTAAATAGATAGGCAAGCATCATATGGATATTGACGTGATACCTGTAAAATTCTTTAATTGCTGCCACGGACATATCTCGCAGGCGTTCTTCTGGATACACCTTCTCAGATGGAACATTTTGAGTGGAAGCTTGTCCCTGGCCTCGCGTGGGTGGTGAAGTTGCAAGAGGCCTGTCAAAACTTCGATCTGGGGTCCTTGTATCCCGACTAGCATAATTCATGTTACGCTCTTGAGCACTCATTTGATCAAAAGTGGTTGGGCCTGCAAATCTATCTGGAAGATATCTTGGCATTAGATCCTCTCTAGAACCATAAGCAGTTCGCTCTGATAAAGAACTGAAACCATTCAAACCAGTTGTCATTCTTCTAGCTTCACCAACACTTGAAGAAATATCAGGTATTGGAGTGCTTGACATTGCCGGTGGACCTCTAATAGACATTCCTCTGGCAAGACCACCTTGGGGCCCCAAAGTAATTGAATCATCACCTATAGGTCTTTGAGGCAAAGGAACTGACACAGGCCTAGCCTCATAAGATTGTCTATCATCCATCCGTACATCCTGAACAGCATAACCACGACTTTGAGAGGGCAATCCACGAAAACTACCCATCTGAGAAGTTGGGGGAGATAACATATCTGATCTAGGACCAAAATCCATAGGTGCCCTTCTTGACGAAGAATTCATGCTGGAACCTCTGGTCAGCCTACTAGTTTGAGCCTGCCGTTCTTGAGCAGCATCTCTGTGCACTTCCTCAATCTTTTTTGGCCCTTCAACCTTCCTCCTCTGCTGCCACTTATTATTCCTCAACTCAATTGCATCCTTCAACATAAACCTAACTCTAGAAGATAACTTCATATTGTTTGACAGCTTCGCCATCCTCTCAAAATATGCTTCCATATACTCTTTGGCTTTGGGATGGTCTATCATCTCTCCTATTGTGCTCATCAATTTACACAAAGCTTCAACATCTTCCTCATCAGGACTCTCATACTGACCCAGCAACTTCTGAATACATTCATGCATTATTCTCTCAGTCAACATTTTCTTCTTGTACAACTCACCAATCAGTCTAATGTTACCAAGCATCCGCCTTCGTGCCTTAATTCTCTTTTCTTCTCTTTCCTCATCAGACTGCTTAACCTCACCTTCTTTGTCAGCTTTGTTAGCTTCTTCTTGCTCTCTCTCCCCTCTCTCAAATTCCTCTTGGCATTTGTTCAATAGCAATCTCTTAAAAGTAATCTTTTCATTGTTTTCACTGAAATCAGGCAACTCCCCAGCAAGATAATAGCAGAAGTTAGCATACATCTCACAGAATGTAGGCTCCATTAAAGCTTTATCAAAAATTTGAGAGATGACACCAGTGAGCGTGACAGCATTGTCAATATTTACTGCTTTTACTTGCTCAAAAAGTTTCTCAAAGTTCTGAGGTGTTAGCTTGTTCAGAATAGCTTTCAACTGCCGCTGTTTGGCTTCTTCCTCATCTGTCACTTTACGCACTTCATACTTCTTCTCTGCTCTGTGCATGATCTGTAATGGAGTTGGAGAAGGAATTAAACCCTTCTGCTGTAAATTTGTAGCACGTTGCCACCTGTCAGCATCAGGACTATTTCTTTGCATCCCACCCTGAGGACCCATGGATTGCATAGGCCCGGATAAGATCCCTCCAACATACGGCACAGGCATCTGGGCGCGTGGATTCCTTAGAACACCATAGTTGACTCCTTGGCCAGGTCGAAATCCTGCATTACCATAACCAACATCCAGACGCATATCCCTCCCCAAACTTGGACCAGGTAATCTACCCCACCTGTCATCATCAACCACAACGCTACCACGACGATCCAGCCTTGGTCCCCCAGTCTGCCTGTCCATTATTCTTCCAGGACTAGGGTATGAATCACGACCAACAAGATGAGATGCACTGATATTAGAAACCATCAAGGCCTCTGCAATATCAGATGCAATCTCAAAGCCCTCTGGAAGATCAGTACATTGCTCAGAAAATATCATGAGGAAATCTCTGGAGTACTTCTTTCCTAGGTTCTCATCTCCATTGTCCTCATTTTGCACCAATGATCTTGAAGACTGTTCCCCAAAACCTGAAGGTTCTAATTTAGGTGTGGAGATGTCAGCAGCATCTTCCCAATCATCAGGCTCCATTTTACTCTGCACAATTTTCTCACTTTCTACAGCATCAACAGGTGACTGATTTAAATTAACAATAGTAGATGAGTTGTCCGTGGATTCTGAAGGCATGACAACCTCTTTCTTCTCTTCTGGAGCCATATAAGCCATGTACAGATTAGGAGGCCCGGCAGCATCTGCTTTCTGAAAAATTTCTTTCTTCTTCTTCTTCTTCGCCCCAGAAGTAGAGCTTTTTGACCTAGTTAATTCTGGTACAGGCTTATCTTTGGAACCAGCTGCAACCCCCATGTTCTCAAGACCTTCCCCTTCAATTTTCATAATTTCTTCTGGAGTTTCTGGGGTCGTAGTGTGAACAGAGTTCTGATCTATCGCACTACTTCTGCTTGACGAGGCATCCACAGTTGAGGTCTTATTAGCATGCAAACTTTCAACATCTGTTGAGCCTATGGCTCCAGAGGTAGACGTGTTTTCAGATACCCTGCCAGTGCCAGCTTCTGTACAATAACTTGCAGGTTCATCCAACTTTCCCTCACTAGTTCCAACAGTTGAAACCTCATTCCTGATAGCTGCTGTCTTCAACACAGATTCCTGTTGAGTTTGGCCATCAAGTTCAGCAGATTTTGAAGTAAGTGGTTCAGAAGAAATATCAAGGCTATTACTATCATCTTGCTTGGACCTTTCTGGAAATGTCTCTTCCACCTGTTCTTCTGTTATCAAGGATTCCCGTGGAGAAGGTTCAACAAGCTTCGTATTAGCACTTTGAACAGCATCCATGGAATTATCGCTGTTCGCAGCACCAGAAATTTCAGCCTTTGACTCAGGAGCAGAAGTCGAACCATCAATGGTTGACACCAATTCTCTGGTTACTTCTGACAAACCTTCACTAGTTACTGTTGTAATAGGATTTGTTTTCGCTTCTACAGAATCAGAAACTTCACCGCTGGAAGATACACCAGGTTCTGAAGCCCGCAAAGCCACGCTTGATGTCGAAGTGGATACTCCACCAACCTGCACAGGAAAATTTAAATCCACGGAACAATGTACCATGCAAGGTTATTATAGAAACTATAATTGAAAAGAGTAGTAATTGCAATAAAACAGCATTACCTGCTGCAGTTGGATCTGTCCTTTTTTGGCTGGTTTCTTTTGATGATCCTTGATAGAGTTTGACCTACTCAAGCTTTCCTTTCTTCTGCCGTCCAAATTGGTAGCAACTGGTGCAGGCTCATCAGATAGAGCAGTCGAACCAGTGTACACAAAATTAGTTGTCAGGTTCTCAGTAGAGATAGCAGCAGAAACTGCTGAAGACTGTTTAGTAGCTGCTGGCAATGACTTAGAGACAGATGATTCACTACCTTCCCCAGATGGCCTTGAAGGTTTTGACAAACCAACCTTTCCAACAGCAGGAGAGATATCCGAAAGAGAAGAGTCTGCAACCTTTTCTCCAACAGATACTGTGGCTGGTTTAACTGTCACCTGTACAGTTCCTGAAGGAGCAGAAGAAATTATGTTATTCACATCACGAGAATGATCCAAGTTTGGTGGCTCCACAACAGCAGGCATTGCAGTCCCAGTTTTACTAACTGGCAAGGAGCCAATGGTTGTTGGATTTATGAATGATACATTAGCTGGAGCCTGGCCAACAGTATAGTTATATCTTGGTGCCTGAGAATTGGGAGTTATCTGGCTACTTGTTAGTGGCAGAGAACCTGGAGTTGGAAAATACATGGAACTGGGATTGTAGGAATTGGGAAAATAATTGATCTGATGAGCAGGTGAAAATGATTGAATTGGCTGGGATTGAGGAACGTTGTTGTGGGACCTAGGGACTGAAACCCCACCATCCGTATGAGTGTCTGTTCGTTCATTAAGTTTGACCTCCTTATGTGTATCCGGATGCGTAATCTTCACCATGGTCTTACGAGGACCAGCAAATTTTCCTCCCTGCTGTTGAGGGTACTGTGGTGTAATGCCAATTCCCATATTGCCTAGCTGGGGGGGACCCATCTGGGCTGTGAAATTTAGGCCCTGTCCCTGATGCATGATTCCCTGCGGCTGCATTGGATGCGGTTGGAGACCTGTAACAAACATATGCTGCTGCACTTGGGGAGCATTTCCCATGGGTAATGCAATGGGGAGTGGCACTTGAAGTGAGGTGCCAGGTACATTCTGCGACTGCGTCTGTGGGTTATGCCCACCAAACTGCAAAGATACCTGTTGCTGATGAAATGGCATTTGCATAGAAGCCATTGACATAGGAATAACAGAAGGCTTCTGTGTTTGATTTGAAGTAGGAGCATGCGAGATTTGCACTTCCTTTTTGGTTTTTGTCATTTGATGAACATCCCCAGTACTAAATTGATCAGTAGTACTAGTATCCTTCCTCGGCAACTGCTGCTTAGGGACTGATGGTGTTGGCAAATTTGGCATTGGCACTGACCTGTAACTATCATGGCGTGCCTGCAAATCATATGTCACAATCAGCTTCATGATTTGATCATCTAAAACAAGAAGTCCAATAAACTATAACTATCTGAGCATTAATGTCAAGATATATTTGTAGGTAAAATCCCGTCCAAAAACAAAAATTAAAAATAGATAAAGGTCAAATCTATGATCTATATCATGAAAATAACAGAACGAGCCCTTGAGAAAGAAAATGAACGCACCTGATCACGTTTCTGCTCATCCAAATTTGGGGGAGCTGAACTAGTTCGAGGTGGAATCTAAAAATAATATATTTCTATTAAATATAACAATCGTTTGACCCTATTAAGTTTTTTGCTTTACATAAGGTGTAAAAGTAATATAAAATTACCTGCATCCCAATCGAGCCAAATTGAAAATGGAATTCCTTGGATGCATCTCCTTGAGCTAAGTCACAAGGTGAAAAAGTAAGCATACAGTCAGTCACGTCAATGGAGTCACACATCATACAAAGTTGCAATATATAGCAGCATATACTTGAAGCAACCAGCATACAAGCACACAGGTGAAAAAATAAAATAAAAGGATACCCTTTGATTGATTCGCAGGCCCAATACCGTCAGCATTCACGGAGGCAGGTTGAGAAGTTGGAGCCTTCGGAACAGCTCGGGTGCCTCTCTGAGTGGTGGACGATTCAACTTGCTTGGCAGCACCGCTACCAACCGGTGCATCAGATACTCCTATGACAAATATAGATTTAGAAATCCTGGTATGATTTTCACATCTAGATCTCTTTTCCATAATCAAAAAGACAGATTTCGTGATGTGAGAGATAAGCAAAATAGGTATTTTTTTTTTAATGGGAATCATACCATGTAACTGAGGCTGTAAATGTGAACCGTTCTGTACATTACGCGATGCAGAAGCATTACTACTAGAATCCGAAGAATGGACAGCGGGCACGTTTACCCTAGATTGACCTCCTTGTGCATTGTGAGACTTTTTAAAACTATTATCAACAACCCAATAAAAAATCAAACCCTAATTTGATAATCGAGTGATGGAAACCCTAAAATTGGAGAATGAAAATCGAGATTAAAAAAAAACATGTACCTGCGATTGGAGGAAACAGAAGGAGAGGAGGAAATAGACGGTGAAGGGGCGGGCCCACCGCCAGCGCCCTTACCGTAAGAGCCTGAGGAGGTCCGCTGCTGATTAGAGCCGGCGGATCGTCCTGATTTTCGATACTGTGTCTCGCTTCTATCGGACCTTGATTGATGGAAGGACATAAATTCCTACCGTCAAATAATTCCTTGAATAGTTTTGCTTTTCTCTGCAACCAAACAAACAAAATAGATCCACACATAAAAAACACAGATTTTTAAGATGATAATAGTATAAATAGTAATATATATGTATGTAACGAAGAGTAGGGTTTGATTGTGAAAAAGTTAAGAGTGCGTAGAGCGAGACCTGTGAGAGTGAACAGTGAAAAGCGATAAAATTAGGGTTTTAATGGGTGGAGATGACGGTACTCGGATACAGAGAGAAGGGGGGAGGGGGGGAGAGAGAGAGAGAGAGAGAGAGAGAGAGAGAAAGAGAAGAGAAGATGAAAAATTAAAAAAGAAAAAAATATTATATATTTAAGAGAGAGAGAAGGGTAAATAATTTAACAAACTGACCAGGAAGGTGGTCAAAAGATAGGTTTTTTAGGAGACCTCTTCGCTTTCTTCCTTTTACTTTTTTCACTTATCTCTATCTCTCTTATCACTTTTACCGTCTTGCCCACCTCTCCTCGCACACTTACTAAGCTTTTTTTTTTTTTTTAACTTGTAACTGCATCACGCGCCGTCGCAACGACATGCCTTAGATAGTTGGGCCGGGCTGGACTGGGCTGGGCTGGGCTGGGCTAGTTTGGTTGGTGGTAAGTGAAAAGTGAATTTTTTAGAAAAAGGTTGCTTTGTAGAAAGGAAAGAGGTTTTGTTTGTGTGGTTAGAAATATAAAGGCAAGCTTCCATTTAGAATCTTCCAATAACAAGAAAACCCATTGCATTAAGTAATTCTTGATACTTTTGTTGTGTGCATATATCAAGTTATAGAATAAATGAAAGTGGCATATCAAAAGTCAATTCATTAAATCTTTATACAATGTTTTTGCAACTCAATAAAAACACATCTTATTGAAATGTTTTTAATTATAATGAAGGCAATGTATTTTAATAAATGTTTGGTTTCATTTTGAAAATTAAAATCAAATTAATCACCATAATTGTAGAACAATCATATATTATTAGAAAGTAATGATCTGTACTTGTTATTTAAAAGTGGGCCGGATCGGGCTTCCTTAGCGAGGCCTGTAATGTTGTTTCGTTTTGGAGCGTGGCGGCTTCCTTTTGAGTAGACTCACATCAGTACATCCCCTAACTTGATAAAGACTTGTACCGACAGAAAGCCTTTTACAAGAAGTTATAAAATTCTAATTGAAAAATGGATGTCATTTATAAATTAAATCATAGATTAGTACGTATATATACATATATAAATATTTATTTTATGCGTAAAATATACATATAAAGGCCCAAACTTAATCCATATGGTTAATGGATGCATGTTTTATGGGCCCAAGCTCATTCTTTTATTTTATTTTATATTAATATAGCACAAGAAACATGTATTTATCGAGTAAGTTCATGAATCATTATTAAGTGTATTATCATTTTTAAAAGGAAAATTGAAATAAAAGACCTAGGCAAAACAAGATGTTGTTTTGGTTTGCAGATCGAGCATAGTGAAAATGAAGCATTGATCCATCAGTCTACTTATCTAAAAAATATTTTGAACCGTTTTAATATGGCAATAACTCACTCCCTTGAGTATCATAATGGTAATCCAGTCTTTCGATCATAAAAAATATCAATTTTTCCTTAAAAGAGGATAATTAGAAAATATTTGGTCCTGAGGTATTTTATCTTATTGCTATAGGCACATTGTTATGTTTGGCACAATGTACAAGATCGGATATAACATTTGTAGTAAAATCATTTGCAAGATTTAGCTCTGCACCAATTCGGCGACATTGGAATGACATCGCAATATCATGGCATTTTACAAAACAAACATTGATTGCTACTTCTTTTAATCATTTGGAGATTCTTCTACTTCATAAAACTAGAAGAGAATGCGTATGTTTAAAATCTGATATCCATCATATCTAAAGCACATGCAAGCTGTCTTTTATCTTAAATACTCATACTATCTTATATGAAGATAATGCAAATTGTATTGCTTAAATTAGAGGAAGATATATCAAAGGAAACAAAACTAAATATATCTCACCAAAATGCTTTTATATTCATGAACTCTAACAGAATCGAGCAATTGATGTCAAACAAATACGCTTCAACTTTTGAAAAATTGATATATTGCATCGGTATGCAGTAACTTAATAAGCAACCCAGTAAATTTAGTCATTATCCGAGGAGTGATCTGGGGAAGAAAATTTTGAAGAAAACTATTTTACTGAACGTATATGTATTGTACTTTTTTTTTTTTACCAAGTTTTGTCCCATTGATTTTCCTGACAAGGTTTTTAAATGAGACTATATTAAGCACGTCCACATCATTATACACTTCATCAAATAATTGTATTTCTTTATGTGGTTTTTTTTTTTTTTTTTCGGTTAAATGGTGAGACTTAAGGGGGGGAGTGTTGTGAGTGGCTTTCCACTACCTTGGAAGAGGTTTACACCATCATCTACAACATCATCATCGCCTTAATGCTTGCTGTGTGACATGTGAAAATGTTTTGCCTAGGTAGTAAGATCTATTTGCTATGATGGGAAGTCATACACTATATAAACCCCCGTTTGCTTTTATGATGTATTTGGTTGGGGGTAATGCGAGATTATTGGGGTTACTATGATGGGAAGTCATACACTATATAAACCCCCCTTTGCTTTTAGGGGACATTTGGTTAGGGGTAATGTGAGATTATTGGGGTTACTATGATAGGAAGTCATACACTATATAAACCCCTTTTTGCTTTTAGGGGACATTTGGTTGGGGAAATGTGAGATTATTAGGGTTATGTCATCTTATATTACTTGATTATCACGTTTGGTTCTCAAGTAATATAAAATTCCAACAATCTTCAAATACTAATAGTAGTTATTGACTTAATGTTGGTAATATCGGAGGTAATCTGATTACCTCAATTTTCTTAAGTAATGTAAGATTACCAAGACAATCTTTTTTTGTTATAATTATATCCCTTATTAATAAAATTTGAGGACAATAATGCCCTTATTTTAAATTTATTTACATGAATGTTGTTTTTACTATTTCACCCAAATTAATTTACTTTTTGGACAAAATTACCGTTGAATTTAAAACAAATTACAGCCCACCCAAGCCACTACCCCCACCCACCTGCCGCCGTCAGAAAGGCACACGGAAGGACGGAAATGGCCACCATTAAAGGTACAAAAGGTCATTAACGGTTAGATATGTCACTATCTGGCCATTTCCGACAAGATCTCTGGCCGAAAATGGCCATACGACGCACAAATGCCATTTCCTGCCTTCCGTGCGCCATTAGGTTGCCGGCGGTTGACAGTGGCCGGGTTGTGGGGGTGCTTTATTGATTTTTCAAACTTTTATTATGGGGTTGTTTTTGTTAAGTTTTTAAATGCAGGGGGTTCTAATAATCCAAATAATAATCAATATTAAAAAATAATATAATAATAATATTTAATTAGAGGACAATTCAATAATTTAAATAATATAACCACTAATTTATTCCTCCCAACCAAACATATTAATAAAACATACCCACTGATTTATTCTAACTAACCAAACACATTTTCTTAAAGATTCCCAATAATCTTCAAGGTAATATAACTTTCCAGTAGTTCAACATTCCCTAAACCAAACACACTCTTATAGTTTTATTCTTTGCTGTACCAATTTCAAATCAAGTGAATTAAAAAGAAACACTCTGTCCTTCTATTCTTCTTTTGTTCTCCAAAAGTCTATTATCTTTCATTTATTATGTTTTAATCCTTATTATATTATATTTTGCGATTATCATACAACAAATTAATGATTTATTTTTTTAGGTTGATTTATGAACCCCATAATATTAGACTACCATTCACCTTTTTTTTTTTCGTTGTGTTTTGCAAAGTTATAGTATGTGTAGGAAAAATTTATAAAATAAATCTATAAATAATTATGTTAATTGTATTTATAATCACAATAGTGGGAGAACGACTTACACATACCCAAGATTTACCTAAACGACAAGTTGGTACCTAAAAGGTTTTAAAACGACAAATAGGTACCTTCCGTCATGTTCTGTTAGTGATTTTCGTTTGATATTAGTGAAAAGACTAAAATGCCCTTGAAAGTTTAATATTTTAGTTTTTTATAAATTTAAAAATTTCTAAAAAACTCCCTAGGTTTGCTAATTTGACTAAAAACCCCAATATATAAAAATTTTATAAAATAACAAAAACACCCCTGCCACCCGCAATGCCAGATTCTGACCACCAACGCCGAAATTTGGCCGAAAAATTGTGTTACGACACACACCATATTGGGGTATTTAGTCAAATTAGTAAACCTAGGGGGTTTTTAAAAATTTTTAAATTTATAAAAAGCTAAAATATTAAACTTTCGAGGGCATTTTAATCTTTTCACTATTATCAAACGAAAATCACTAATAGAATATGACAGAAGGTACCTATTTATTATTTCAAAACCTTTTGGATACCAACTTATTGTTTAGGTAAGCTTTGGATATGCATAACTGGTTCAGCCTCACAGTAGCAGATGTTTTGGAAAAAGGAAAGGCCTGAATTTTGTCGTGAGTTGTGAAAACATTGGTCCAAGGGAAAGGGAGATGGATTTACACACCTTAGTAATCATGGGTTTTTAAATAAAAGTTATCACCAAGTCTTGGAAGTTGGAAATCAAAAGGCTTGATTTCAATTAACATTGTCGTCCCATTCGTTTCTTCAACAAAATGCTGTATATAATTATACGCCACGCCTTTATATGTCCATTTTATTATTACATCAAATTGCGCAATTTCTGTGTAACGATGCTTCATTACCATTGAAATTCACAATCCTGACCACCTTATCACTTTTTGGTTTCCTAAATTCAGATTTCAAGTTACGTTTCCAATTAATACTTTCATTTCATCAAGAGATTTAATTATTGTTTATTTCACTAATTAATTCAACAACGTTAATTAGTTTTTTTTTTTTTTTTTTTATCGTCTGCATACCTTAAATTCTATGTCAGTTTTATCACATGTTCATTGTTTAAAATTAACATGATGTAGTTGAGATTTGGACTTTCTAAAGCCTTATTTATTTTGGCTTTAAATTCCCATCAGTCGACTTCTAATAAGTTAGGTGGTCAAGTAATTCAACTTGATTAATGTTGGTTTACTTAATATTATAATGTTACCAATTTAAAACGCAATAAGTGTGAACTAAGTGGTTGTGCATAGATTCAACCCATAGTTTCAGGTTTAATTTTCTGTTGGACGTAAATAGTGGTGGATCCAAAATTTCTTTTGAGGGTGGGCTAAAATAAAAACTAATTACATATTAATATTTTTGTCTATTAATATTTTTGTTAGGGTGGGTCAAAATCCAAAAATTATATATATTAATATTAAAAAAAAAAATTTTGAGGGTGACCCAAAAGTGGGCTGGATTCGCTCCTAGACGTAAAGATAGTACCTTTGTTTATAATTCACCTGTAAGTCGTGACGGTAGATTACTGTGAGATAACTTCTATTAAGAATTAATCGATATGCACATAAACTGGTCTGGAATTCTGGATACCCCAATTACAAAAAAAAAAAAAAAATAAATAAATAAAAATAAAATTGTTGTTATGGTTGAGAAAGAGAAAGGAACCTAATTAAGAAAGTCACACAAGTTACTCTTATACAAATTCATTTTGTATATTTTGTTTATGAAAAAAAGAGAATATTAGTAATGAGAAGATTAAGAATGGACATTCCAGAAGGTGATTGGATGACTTTTAATTTCGATTGGTTGACAAACGAGCAAAAACACAACTTGGCAAACGTCGTCGTGTTTGACCCATGAGATGACGTTTTAGTTTATTTATTGAATGGAAATCTCAAGATTTGTCTTTATTTGTATGAATTTTATGTTTAATAGTGACAGAAGACAATAACTCCAAACCATGTGGATGTTGAATTGTTCATGTGGGTACCAGGTTTTAGTCTTCTCGTATTGGTGCATGGATTAGATTAATCTCCTTTATTTAACACTAACGCAGTACCCAGTAAATATTTACCTATATAAATCTGAAAATCTTTTATGATAATATTGTGGGTGGTTTATGCATTTGAGCTGGACTTCACATTATTATAATACCAGTCAAAGATTTTGTTTTTCTTGTGTAATTAGATATGGAGTTTATTTAAGGTAAAAGCAGATGAGATGTTGAAAGAAAGAAATCCAGGAAGGAAGGATTTCCGAGATATGATCATCAAATCTTAAACCCTTTTGCCTTAAACATCTGATTTTCACTGCTATATCTTTTAGATGAATCCCAACGTATCTAATTTCTGCAAATTGGGTCAGAAAGTAAAAAGCAGGAGAGTTTGTCGTTTTCAGTGTGGGTCCAACTTTGAAACTAGGGTTGGCGTCAGGTCAATATTCAATAGAGTTGAGAATTTGTTTGTCAGCTCAGAAAATTGTGACAGCGTACTTATCTTTATACCAAATCACTTAAAAAAGATTGAGCGTCAAACCCGTGAGAAGAGAAAGTCTTCTTCTTTATTTGCAAACTAAAACGCCATTCAAGTCTCACCAAACAACTCGCCAACTAAACAAGAACCTCTTTTATGACAAAACACTCAAGGTCAATGACTACTATTTAATCTCTTGTCTCTTCATTTTACCTGTTTTTCTTCTTTCACAAACGTCTCTCTCCTTGTTTTGACTCTGTCTCCACTCTGTCCTTTCATTTGGGTCTGCTAGTTAACTTGAATTCATTAACTTTCTCAACAAATTCTGCTTCCCCATCTGGGTATTGCTATGATATATTTTCCTTTTAATTAGTTTATTTTATATGTTCTTGTTCTTCGTATAATTGTTGTGTTTTTCAGCAGCAAATAATTTGAGGAGTTATCTGATGAAAATCAACAAAGTTGAATCTCTCTAGCAAATATTAATCTCCCTGTTGAATAAATAAGCATAAGATGAAGTGCTTTCACTACTTCAAGGAGAAGAAATTCAGAATCAGGGAAGAAAGATCAGCTCCAGAGTTGAAAGAATCAAGAAGATCTTATGATTATTCGGGTGGTGATCGTGTGGTTAAGTCTTCATGCTCAGCAGCTTCTCCTCGTGGTATACCAGAGTTGTATGAAGAGAAAGCTCATAATCTCCGAGTATTTTCTTTCTCCGAGCTCAAGCAAGCCACAAATGATTTCAGTAGGCTGCTTAAGATTGGTGAGGGTGGATTTGGGATTGTCTATAAAGGTTCAATCAAGCCTGCTGATGGGAAAGGTGACTCCACCGTAGTGGCCATTAAAAAGCTTAACAGGGATGGATTACAGGTATGGGTTATAGTGAACAATATCTCATTCTTGTCGTTTTATTTGCAGGTATTATGTTTGGATTGGGATGTTTAAACGGTGTTTGGAGGATTAAGTATTGTTTTTCATGACTGTGACTGTGAAGTCTGTTCTTTGATGCGTTCAGGAAATAACGTTTTTAAACTTCTCTCAGTAAAAATATGGTTTGGAATGCTTAGATTATATCAGTTTTGCTTGAATTCAATCTTTTTTTCATCCATTATACGCAGTTTAATTTGTAATCCTCCATTTAATTGCCGAGCTCCTAATATTATGCAGTATCAAGAAATGATATAACCGTTGTTTACCTAAACCGATCTAAAACAGATAAATTATTTAATCTAAACTAAAGTTATTTTTGTGAATAAGCATTATGGGTTTGTTTTCCTGAGTAAGTTGGTTTTTATAATGGTGATGTAGGGTCATAAACAGTGGGTGGCCGAAGTTCAATTTCTTGGTGTTGTGGAACACCCGAATCTTGTCAAACTCATAGGATACTGTGCTGTTGATGGAGAAAGAGGAATCCAGCGTCTACTTGTGTACGAGTTTATGCCAAATAGGAGCTTAGAAGACCATCTTTTTAGCAGGGCATTCCCGCCTCTTCCTTGGAAAACAAGATTGCAAATAATACTCGGGGCAGCTGAAGGATTGGCTTATCTGCATGAAGGATTGGAAGTTCAGGTTCGTTTTAGATATTAACTTCACTTACTGTGTTCAGGATTTAAGTGATTCTTGTTTGTTTCTATCCATCTCAACATTGGTAATTCTAACGGTGAAGGTGATATTTCGAGATTTCAAATCTTCCAACGTGTTACTGGATGAGAATTTTAAACCCAGGCTTTCAGACTTTGGGCTTGCAAGGGTAGGGCCATTGGCTGGGCGTACACATGTTTCAACAGCAGTAAGTCACTTTTTTTAAATTGCTCCTTTCTATTGTCAATTATTTTGGAAATATGTTGAAATAATGCTTAACTAGGGTTAATTTGAAGCATCAATCTGAAATAAATAATCGTAGATTTCTTCATATTCATGGTGGTAGTGGTTCATTTCAGATAAATAAGTTAGTTTTGGTTATGAATGATTAGGTGGTGGGGACATACGGATACGCAGCTCCAGATTACATAGAGACAGGGCATCTGACAGCAAAAAGTGATGTATGGAGTTTTGGAGTGGTATTGTACGAGATTCTTACGGGGAGGAGGTCTCTGGAAAGAAACCGCCCAAAATCGGAGCAGAAGCTTTTGGAGTGGGTGAAGCAGTATCCTGTTGATAGTAAAAAGTTTGGGTTAATGATGGACCAACGACTTGAAAATGAGTACTCTATCAATGAAGCTCGCAAAATTGCCAAATTAGCAGACAGTTGTTTGTCAAAGAGTGCAAAAGATCGTCCCAAGATGAGTCAGGTGGTGGAGAGGTTGAAGCAAGTAGTGCAAATTTCAGAAGAAGTTGACTCTTCTCCTTCTCATAAGAATTTGGAGCTGAGTGAAGACGACCCAGTAACAGAAAATAAGACCACTCAATCTGAACCTTCTGAATCATGGAAAAGACGGATGGCTCACCTAGCTAAACTGAGTGAACATGTAGACGGAGCAAGTAGAAGAAGATTGATGATCATGCAGAGGGCCAAAGTGCTTTGAAACTCTATCTAATGCAAATTTGAGAGTGAAATGAACTGATTTTCCTATGCTGAACATGGAAATTTCAATTGGATAAAGATTTGACTCGTAACTTAATTTTACGAATATTTTCTTACAATTTCGACATGACAGTTCATAATTGAACAAATAAGACCGATAGTAAATAGACAAGATTCATTTATGAGTTGTCCAATTATAAGTTACATATTAGAATTATAAGAGAAAATTTGTAAAATTAGATTATAAGTATTGTATCGTGTATTTCAATTTGAAAGTAAGTAGAGCGCTTCTAATATAGTCCACCTTGTCTTGTACAGGCGATGTAATGACAAGTGTTATATGACAGACTCTTGTTTTTACATTTTTTTTTTTATATATATATTCGGAAATAACTTTAACCTAATTTGTATTCGTGGCATGTGGCAAACCAAACATTTCTATCGTTTCAAAGGTGAGAATTGATCAAAAGCCGCCACCAACTTACCAATAAGAAAAGCCCTCACTCTGAAATGTTCAGATAATTCTTCCCTACTTGGGATGATTTTTTCTCACAGATGAAAAATCGGGTAAAAAATAAATTTCATTTGGATCTTCTCCAATGTCGCACAATGTATACAAAAAAAATAAAAAATAAAAATAAAAATAAAAATTGAAGAAGTTCCTCATAGTCTGCTACTGGTTGCAACAGGCAAATGCTGATATTTTGATATACCCATGATTATGATTGCTTTGGAAAGCCGCCTATATGCAGAGTGTAGCCACTACATGAATTGTCACTGCAAACTTCAATAATTGTTTGCCATCGCAGGGCAGATATACCTTCTTCCACTTGCAACACCAACTGCACACAGCAACAGAGCATATGTACCTCATTGTTAGTCACCAATTTTCAGCATCTCTATCTCTTCTCATGAGATCTGGTTCTATTCTATAGAATCGGTTTTGTTTTAGTTCACATTAAGGTCACAATCCACAGTACAGAATTTTAAATATGTACAGAGGAGAAATAAAAAAAAAAAAAAAAGGGATAGAGGAGCAGTTATAAGCTAACCTGTTACTTATCTACTCTGTCATAGTATATCATGGAACTCCCTCCATAAAACATGATTAAGTCACCTGCTAGAAATCAACTGCAGTCAGCATTATACATCTCATTAATATAATTTTCTTGTAATGGATTTGATTAAAAAAATAAAAAATAAAAAAACACTTGCGCATGACATACTAAGTACTAACACACCAGAAGAGCCGTCAGACAACTTTTCCCAATGGATTACAGCTACTCTGATAGCTCTACCCCAAATCTTTCGATTTCCTTGCTCTTGCAGTACTTTCAATTACAATCTTGTCTTTCAATAAAATCACCAATCTCTCGTAAAACCATCTCAAATGAAAAAATTCACCTCTTCTCACCAGAGCTGCTGTTTGTACCACCATTATGCAGAAGAGTACGTGCACAGAATGCCATGGTAGTCCTGAGACTGCCATATGCCAATTCATGATTACACAAGTGATCCAGGGAGGCACAGAGAATGGAAGATGCTAAAAAAAGAACTATGAGTCAACTTTCAGGATTCACTTGAACCACATTCAATGAGTTTAAAAGGACTCTGACTGGTTTTCCCATGAGGTCTGTTTCTACATAAATAATCATATGTAATGTACATGAGGAAGTCCAAAAAGAGGCTCTTTCCAGATGTTTCTTTAGCAAATTCAGTATTTCCTTTGATGTTATTGTAGGCTCTGTTCATTATTATATAGGAAGTCTCATCAAAATCGAAGGAAATCTCACGTAGCTTCTGACTCCACAACAAAGTCTTCTCTGGCATGCCCTGCTTGCAAAAGTGGGACAGCAACGTATTAGTAGTAATGACATTTGGAACAAAGGCCATCTTAAGCAATTTTGCAGCTACTATCATAGCTCGATCCAGTATGTCATTACAAACACCATTCATCATAGTGTTATATGTGACTGTATTCGGAACAATACCGGCTGTAATAAGCTCATCCAGCATAATCACAGCTCGATTCATTTTTCGAATATTGCAGAAACCATGGATCCGTATGTTATAGGTCGTAATATCAGGATACCAACCATTGGCATACATTTTACTCACAAACTCATCTGCATTAACCATGTCTAATGCTTTACAGTACCCACCAATCAAAGTGTTGTATGTGGTTATATCAGGGACTAACCCAGTCCGATACATGTCCATAAATGCATCAATTGCAGATTTCATTCTGCCTTGTTTGCAAAAGCCATTAATGATTATATTCGCAGTAAAGATATCTGGAAGCAGACCGTTTTGCCTCATCTCTTTCTCCAATTTCAATGCTTCATGCAACTTCCCATGGCTACAAAACCCAGAAATTAAAGAGTTGTATGTAAAGTTATTTGGAACAAACCCTATCGTTAACATTTCTAAAAACACATTATATGCATCCTCCACCAGGCCTGCCTTTGACAGTCCATTAATGTAGGCTGAGAAGGCAACGGCATCAGGAAACATTTTCCTCCTATCCATCTCATTCCACATATTTTGAGCTCCCACTAGATCCCCCATCCTAAAGTACCCATCCAAAAGCATGGTGAAAGCCACTTTATTGACGGGAAAACCCTTCTTTATCATCATACACAAAAGCTCCCAGGCTTCTTGCAGTCTCCTCTTCTTGCACAAACCAATGAGCAGAGAACTGCACGTGGATGAAGAAGGAGTCAGACCAAACTTATCCATAGTTTTATATACTTCATAAGCATTTTCTTCTAAACCTTCCCTGCTATAAGCGGCAATAATAGAGTTGAAGGCAACAACACTTGGAGGTATTCCTTTCTCAAGCATATCCTCAAAAAATTCCAGAGCCTCATCCAAATGACCAGCCCAACATAGTCCTGCAACTGTAATATCATACAATGAGCAATCTGGAAGCAACCCCGACACTGACAAATCCCTTAACAACCCGTCCCCATCTTCTTCCCTACCATATTTATAATGCCCGAAAAACAAAATATTAAAAGTTACACTATCAGGAGCTATACCTCTGCTCTTCATTTCTTCATAAAGCATGATAGCCTGACCAATGTCCCTTGCTTTAACATAACCGTTAATCAGGGTATTATATATTACCACATTTGGAGAAAGACAAGCATCTTGAATCCCATCAAAAATCTTCCTTGCTTGCCCCGTGTTTCCCTCTTTGCACAAGGCATCAATAAGTGTATTGAATGTAACAATGTTTGGTTTGCAGCCCCTTTCAACCATCAAATGCATCCAATATAGACCATCTGAACTCTGCCCCCTAATGCAATAAGCATTGATCAGAATGTTATAGACATATGTGTCTGGTACACACATATACTTTTGCATCACATGAAACAAACTCTCACCAATGCTAACATACCCTTTTCTACAAAATCCAAGTACCATTACATTGAAAGTATAATTAGAAGGCCTAGGCCCTTTACCAAGCATATCCCTAAACAATTTCCACACACTACCATAATCACCAATTCTAAGCAACAAGTTGAAAAGTGTACTAATTGCAGACAAGCTCGGCCTGACTCCCTCTTCCCTCATTCGACACAAAATCTCCATTGCCTCCGTAGCCATTTCCACACGCAAAAAGCCACGCATTAGCGTATCAAGTACAGAGAAATCTGATTCGTATTGATGGTGACCCCCCCACATAATCTCTACAAAATCTTTACTCCTACGTACTCCAATTCTACTTATAACCCACGTAACTATATCTTGTGCAAGAAAGCGGAGACTCTCTGCCGCTAAAATATGCGCAGCAACACAACAAGACCGAATTATAGACTCGGAATCATCGCGAAATGCAACTTTGAAGAATGCAAATGCCGTCTCTTGAGTTTCTAATAGTTTCATTATCTTAACTAGTAAACATGGGCAAAATTTTTGTGAAAATCCTCTCAAGATATATCCTTTTTGATTTTTGATAAGTTTTGACAACCCCAAAACGATTTTCCGCCGCTCATTTGAATTTATAAATGTCAAAGAATTTGACTTGGGATTACAGAAAGGTAAAAACTGATTTAGATAATCAAAGCTGTCACTGTTTGAAGAAGCATATGAAGAAGAGTTTTTTAGGGTTCGTGAAAAGCTTGAGGTATGCGGTTTTGATGAAGAGAGAAGAGGAGATGAAAACTGTACCTTGATAGTATTGCGCACCCGGTGCACGTTAGATGACATCCGAAGTTTCCGGAGAAATGTCGGAGACGAATTTCCGGCGAAGGGTTTTAGAAAGGTTTTGTTCAGTTCGGCGGGGCAGTGTATCAGCTGCGGAGCAAATGTCCGTCGCTTGGCACTACCAGTCGTGCGCGCTTCCCTTTTTTTTTTAAAGCCCAAAATGAGTTTTTTGGGCCCAAATTAAGCAAGTTGGGCTTATGGAAACAGTCACTTCATATACAAATTCACTGTATAAATCGATGTGTTTTAAGCAGGAATACTAGACTTACCGATCCAACTACCGACTTTGACATACCGACCCAACTATCCAAATCTCAAAATTCGACTCAATTCACATGAGTCGGTATGTCAAAGTCGGTAAATCTAGCATTACTAGTGTTTTAAGATGATTTAATAATTTTATATTTAAAAAAATTAAATAATTAAAATAGATTGTTGCTACATCTTTTTTGTAAGAAATAATTTGTATATGTAACATGACTCATATAAATAATATAAAGGCTTCATTCTCCGATCATATGATTCATTATCTTCTAAAACAATAAATTTAAAGAATATAAATTAAAAGCTCCTTACCAACATTACAAAGAAAAATATAATCATGTTTAAGTTCCGTGTTCTTAGGTTTTTTTTTTTTTTTTTTTTAATAAATTTATTTTAGAATCACGTACCAACTGCCCTGATTGGAACAAATGTTATAGGCAAACAGCGAAATAGAGGGTGTGAATGTTATGTGGTATTGGTTTTAGATAAATCCGTTTAACTTGTATTAGTTAAATTTTGAGTTATTTGGTTCCCATCCCTCTGTTCATAAAATGGCAATGGGTTGGGTGGTGGGAATTTCGGGCATATATTAGACTCGAGAAACTTTTTATCGGGTTATTAACCATCTTAACATCCATCAAATATATGGAAAAATTAACTTAACTGCCAGTCTGTTGTTGATTGCGAAGCTGAAAATCACGATTTCATTAAACAAAAAAAAAAAAAAAAAGTACACAGATCATCCCTTACAAGGACGCTACCGTTGCTTCCTCTTAAATCTTATGAACATTAATCCAAAAAAAAAAAAGAAAAGAAGCAAAATTATGGGATTGGTTTTGCTTCGTCTCTCACCCACTCACAATTCACCATTCACTTTCAGATCGAAGTCTGGATCATAATGGTTTTACTATTACGTGGGAAAATGAAAAACAAAATTTAGAGCGTTTGTCATCCATGGCCAACTGTCGTTGGTTTAAGTCTTAAGCCTTAAGCCACAGCTACTGTTCCAGTCCGTACAGTTTTGTTGGGTGTAGTAGAATTCTTAGATTCTGTTTTTCTGATAGATGATGAAGACGACCTTTTCCAGCTCTTCTCCTTCGCCTCATCTATCTCTATCTGTTCTTGTCTGCACTCTTTGCTACAAAAAGGTGTGTTTCCTCTGCAAAATTCCATAAAAATCCAATCAGTAAATCATACTTAAATCGAATTTCAATAAATCAAAACTATTATTGGATCTAGATTTATATGATTTTCTTAATTTCACATCAAAATCAAATCTAACCTGTACATGAAGATGTCGGAGTTATAACCAAGTGGTTTCCGGCAAAGAAAACATGCATCAAGAAAGTGAGGTTCCTGATGATGGTGATCTGCGCACCCGGCGTAGTAGTAAGACATCGTAGATGAATTTGAATTTGAATTTGAATATGAATACTCGGAAATGGCTAAAATGCGCCGGTAGTCACAAGCCCGCTAATGGAAGATTGAAGAACGAGAGAGGCGGAGAGAAAAAGTGAGATTGGTAGCTCTATTTATGGTGACATGGCCAAGAAAAAGGTTGTTGACTTGAGACAATCCTCTACATTAGTCACCACTCTAAGAACATACTCTAAACTAATTAAATCGCTTTAATAGTTTTTTCGTACCAAGTGTCATGCCTTTTATTGGGTGATGGATAAAGTAACAGCTATACAACGGGGAAGTTTATTTAAAACCAACGGCGATTTACAGAAATCTGTGCGGATGAATCTAGTGGCGCAGTACATGAATGATACATCTCTTTCACAAAAATAAAGAATTATTTTTATTTCCAATTGGTCCCCTTAATTTATGATTTCTTTTAATTGTTTGTGTACTATTTAGATTCTATTCTCATCACCTAGACCCTTCTACTGGCAACCACACCACTCTTTTTTTCCACAATCTACTTTTCTTAGTCCAATCTAATCGTTTTAAATGAATTTAACATGATACTTTTTTGTTCAAAGATGCTCAATAAACAACTTTTGTTAGGAATATATGTAAATCAAGTAAATCATTTGAATGTAGGTCTACCACAATATTTTTAAAAATTATAAAGAACAGGAGCTTGAAGAAATGATTAAGAGCTTGCGGGGTTTTAATAAATTATAAAAAATACAGGGTTGAAATAAATTTTGTTAAAGTTTTAGGACATGTAATAAACTTGTGATGATCTCTCTAGAGTCCAAGGACCACTTTTGTCGTCACTTTCTCCAACTAGCAGTTAAGTGTGTGGGATGGCCCACACTTCCCTAAATAACAATAAACCGAACTTGGAGCTGAGTAGACTGGGACCCATCAACCTCACAAAAGCAAACACATACCATTGATTAATGGGACTATCTGACGCATAATCTTGCTGGCTCATTTTCCAAGGTCATTGTCCCCCCGGCCCCACCCTGCTACCCGTTTACATTGGGCAGCTTCTGCCCTGTACACGTGTGCCATATCTTGTAATGTATTACCAGCGCAGCATCGTGTAATTATTAGCACGTGCTACGTGGCAAATTGATTAACAAAAAGAAAAGTAGTTTCTTTTTTTGTGTTATTGGAAGAGTACGTTTAACGAGGTCAAGAGATCTAGCGGTGTATATTTGGCCACACCCACATATTATTTGATCTCAATTATTAAAAGGATATATTGCCTCCCCCCCACGTTGGAGCATCAACGTATTGTCGTATATTTTATACAGCTTGTTTGATGGGAGTGAGGTGAGGCCTAAGGCTAAGAGTGGGAGCTTACGTGAGATTTGGGAGTTGGAACATGTGAATATTACATGAGCAAGATTCTATAATCTCATTAACATCATCTTTACTAAACAACGATCGATATCGAGTCACTTGTCTTTTCTTAATCAATTTTACTTTAATTATTTAGACATGTGTTCCAATACAACTAAGTCCAATTACCATATTATTCAACCTTAGTTACTTTATTTGAGCTTCAGCTTCTGAGTCCAAGTTCCAACATGCCGGTGAGAGACTGGACCACATCCCAGTTTCAAGATCAAAAGTCTGGCTTAAGTTTCCCGATCTTGGCCCGAAGCCTGTTCAAGAATCCCTAAAAAAAACCTATTCTCACGAATTTCTATTTGGGTTTTTTTGTATTTTTGTATACTAATTTTATTATCCTTTTCTTAAAATACATGTACAATAAAAAAAAAAAATTAAATAACCTATTATATATTAACGAAGATTATAAATAAAGCATATTATGTATAAATTATGATGTACAACATATATATGGTATATACTATATGTTATATACTTATATATTTATATACTATCTCTGATATATAATATATAATATATAATGTATAATGTCAAATGTATACCATATATAATGTGAATGTATAACTTTTGTTTCATAACATTAAAACATATATATATATATATATAACTTCTCTATAGTCATAATAGTGGGACTAACTAATTTTATTACTATGAGAAGGTTATAACTTAATAGAGATGTAGTTAAAAAAATTTCTTATTTCATAATTCATGTTTTAGTAGTACAATATTAGGATTTCAATTCATGTTTTAATAATATTAGGGTTTCAATTCAACGCTTCAATTGCTTACTTTTGAAACGGATAGAAGATTGTGTTTTGAAACCAACAAAGATAATTGTCCGCGATGGAATTGTAAATGCAGTTGCTGCATGACAACTGATGTGAAGTCACAAACAATTGCTAATTGTTTTAAGCATTACAAATTTAGGATCCCCAATATTGATGAATTGCAAATTACAAATAAAGTATATGAGAAGAATCAAAGAGTCATTGTAGAATCCAGTGATCAGATTCAACAACTTCACTACACTAATTGAATAAATATTAATGTCTTCTTTAATCATCCAAATGAGTAATAAGTCATGTATGTTTTAACAAAAGAAGAAATCATTTCTACAATTAAACAAGAAGAGAGAGGAAATAATTATAAGAATGATAATACAGAAATACAAAAAAGTTTCATGTCAAGAAGATGTAAACATGCTTGAGAAGCTATAAATGTTTTGGCTTTAACAAGAAAATGTCCATGCTAGCGAATAATGTATCCACAAGTTAAAAGATGTGGTAACAACTCTAAAACATAAATTATTGTCCCAAACAACTTCAGATAAATATTTTATTTCATCTTAAACCTTTAATGTAAAATAGCACATATTTTTTCTATAATGTACAAATAATTATTACTATGTGGAGGCAACTTTCCTTAAGATGAGAATTAGAAAAATTATAACTTATTACAATGTGGAATTTATTCTTATTTATAACTATCTCAAATTGGGAATATAATTTTTTATAGCTATGTAGAATTTATTCTTATATAGAGTATCACTATAGAGAAATTTTACTATATATATATATATTACAAATATTTATAATGATTTATTAAATTTAATCTAGTTTTATTTATTACCTATTTATATATAGTTTCATAAAATACTTACACAATTATAATTTGTCATTGTATATGTATATTTGATTTTCAAATATTAAAATTAAAATTAATATATATAATATATGGGCTGGGGAATTCGGGGCCGGGGCGGGTCGAGGCAAAACCTATCCCGGCCCCAGCCCGTCCCTGAATTTCGGTGCCAATCTTAGGCTTGATCCCACCCCAAAGCCAAAACGATTCAGAAAAAATCTGTCCCGTTCGAGCCGGGCATGGGTGGGTCCCCGCGGGGCTGGGCTTTGTGCCCATCCCTAACCACATCCCAGTTTCAAGTCTCGCTTAAGTTTCCCTGTGGAAGCCCAATGCAGTAACAATAAATGGCCCGGACCCATATGGTCGAACATTGGGCTTGCTGGCAGTGACTCTCTCTAATGGGTTTATTACATTATCTGGGTTGATCTAGTATAGGGCCTATGGGCAAATGGGTTTTGAAGATACTTAGAATAGTAATGGTGTATGTCACACAAAAGTATTAACTCTGTAGAGTGTGCGCGAGGTTGTTGCTCCCCAATTCTATGGAAGACCAAAGTGCAGGAAGAAGAGGCAACCTGCTGCCACAAGTGTTATGGTTCTTCTTCATCGCCGCATGCGTAAAGCTTCTACTTGTCCCATCATATCACAGCACTGACTTTGAAGTTCACCGCCACTGGCTAGCTCTCTCTCATTCTCTCCCTGTCTCTGATTGGTACTTGGACGAGACCAGCCCTTGGACTCTTGATTACCCTCCATTTTTCGCCTACTTTGAACGATTCCTCTCCATTTTTGCGCACCTCATCGACCCTGAGATTGTCGATATTCAAAATGGTCTAAACTACAAGGCCAATTCGGTTATCTATTTTCAGAGAATTAGTGTTATTTTATCAGATTTGTGGCTATTGTTTGGGGTTTATAGATTGAGTAAAAAATTGGAGGTTAAAAGGCGAGATTTGATGTGGGTATTAATTATTTGGTCTCCTGGGCTGGTGATTGTGGATCACCTGCATTTTCAATACAATGGGTTTTTGTTGGGTTGGTTGTTGCTCTCGATTTCGTTTCTACAAGAAGGGAGGGATTTAATGGGTGGGTTTGTTTTTGCGGTATTGTTATGTTTCAAGCACTTGTTTGCTGTAGCTGCTCCGGTCTATTTTGTTTATTTATTGAGACATTATTGTTGGAAGGGCATGGTTAGGGGATTTAGCCGTCTTTCTGTAATGGGTGCGTTGGTTGTGGCGGTTTTCGCAGCGGCTTATGGGCCATTTGTGTACCATGGGCAGGTAAGTCTAACTTTCTTTGTGGCTCAAAATCGTTGTGTAGTTTTGATTATGAATTTAGTAATAATTTTCACTTGAATGTGCTTTGATTTTTAATATTTCTAGCCTGAGTCCATTTGGCATAAAGGATTAGATATTTAGGTGATGGAATCATTTGATTATCTTTGACTGTGGTTTTTTTAATTTGTAAGGGTGTCTGTTCTGTTTTATATGTTCCACCTCCTATGCTTCTCTTAAATATGTTTGTTTTGCCTCTTTTTTGTTTATGTAAAACCGTCTACTTCTAAGTATAATCATGAGTTAATTCTTCAACGGGAGACTATAATTTGAAAGTTGAAATCACATTCCATGGAGTTTTTTTCAGGCTTTTTAAACACAATAATTGCAGTTTTACTTTTAACAAGCTTTTGAGCTGATACTCTTCTATTTTTATTTCATGGAATATTTAAATAAATTCAAATGAATTTCATTTGAGTCATCCTATTCATGTTTGCAGATACAACAAGTCCTACGCCGCATGTTTCCCTTCGGCAGGGGACTTTGCCATGGTTATTGGGCTCCAAATTTTTGGGTTTTCTATATTCTATTAGACAAAGAGCTTGCTTTCTTTCTCAGAAAAGTAGGTTTTAATATCCAAGTGCCGTCAGCTTCTTTCACCGGTGGCCTTGTAGGAGATTCGTCACCTTTTGCTGTACTCCCTCAGGTAATAATAAATAATCAACTTGACAAATATGCACAAGAAATATGACAATCACCCTAATTACTTGATGAATGGGGAATGTTTACCTTTTGCAAACTCCTCATTTGGTAATTCACAAGTTAGTCTCCTTTCCAGTGTTCGCTTTCTTATATTGGACTCAGAAATCTGACCTAGCAGAGGGAGGAAGATTGTGTATTCGTTTCTTAAATTACTAAAAGGAATTGTGATTCTGTTTTTTGACCATAAGAAAATATGCTTCTGCTATATCTGCACATTTATATTCCAAGTGCTGGTGAGACTTATTTTCAGTATACTATAAAATGAAATGGCAGATCACCCCAGTAACCACCTTTATCATGGTTTTGCTTGCCTTGTCTCCTTGTCTGATCAAGGCTTGGAGGAATCCCATACCTGGGATGATTGCTAGATGGATAGCTTATGCCTACACCTGCGGTTTTTTATTTGGGTGGCATGTACATGAGAAAGCATCGCTTCACTTCGTGATTCCCCTGGCTATTGTTGCAGTTCAAAGTTTGGAGGACGCAAGGCATTACTTCGTGTTGTCTATAGGTATGCAATTTGCTTAGCTTATGAATCATTAGCTCTTATAGTTCTTACATGCAGCAATTATTTATATGCTGATGGGGGATGTTATATTTTGTATGTCATGCAGTATCTTGTTATTCACTATTCCCACTGCTATATGAAGCCCAAGAATATCCAATAAAAGTTCTGCTGTTGCTGTTGCACTGTGCTTTGATGTGGATTGGTTTTTCTGCACAATATGCTGAAGATGCAGTAGCTAGAGCAACTGCAACTGCAACTGCACCTGCACCTGCACCTGCAAAGAAAAAAGTTGCTCAATCAAAATTGAAGGCTGCTGCTTCTGATGAAGGTGGATTTGTTATTGGGTGGATTGGGAAGATTTATCTGTTTGGTCTTTTGGTTGTTGAGATATGGGGTCAGTTTTTACACCCTTATCTTCTTGGTGACAAGCTTCCTTTTGTACCACTAATGTTGATGTCAATATATTGTTCACTAGGGATAATGTATTCTTGGATTTGGCAGCTGAGATGGATAATTAAACCCACCTGATTTCAATTCCCTGGGTGATGTTTGTATACGAACGTGACATCTTAACACATTTCTTGTATTCATATGGACAATTTTGGTAATCAAAAGATTTGTAACAAAAAACAAAAAAAAGCTTTGAGGAGTACCTAAAGAAGTCTTTTCCTTACTAGAATTCCGCATGATTGTGCTACAATGGAGTTGTAAGATTTATCTGCTGCATTTGGTTATTTTGCGTAAATTTCAACGGGCCAGTGTCTCGACTTCAATATGGTTGTTGGTCATTACTTTTTTGTTTTTTAATGAAATCCCAGAGATCTGGTATCAATGGCGATGGACAATTGTAAGGATATTTATTGCTTTTACCTGTTGCGTTGCTGCGTGTTCTTTATTGTGAACGTTTTCATCTAATATTTTCTGGAACTTCAATTTTACAGCTATGTTTAAATTAATTCAGTGAACATATGGGTTGCATTATTAGTGAAAAGCAATTAAAGTACCAAGGCAGAACAATTTAGTTATGTTGTTCTGAAATCCTTTTATAATGTTTAACACGACTTCCCTCTAGAGAAGACATCTGTAAATATATTGTTGAATTTTGATATCGTGTTGAGAATTGGATGGTAAAAGAATTGAACGAGTGTTGGGGGATTTATCACTTTTTCCCTCTTCTCTCCTCCTTTGTGGACCTATTTATATATTATTCTTTGAAACTTTTGCCAATGTTTTCTTCTTCAACCTAATCATAAAGGAGAGTATATGAATCTAAAAAAGAAAAGTAATTCTCTTTCTCAGGTCAAATGTGTGTTGCTAAATTTTGTTCTGTCCAACCTTACATACATCAATAAACGTGGGGGAGAAGGAAGTATCTCTCAACTAATTTCTTAAAAATAGAAGAAATTAAAATGTTAAAATGGGATAAGAAAAAGGTATGAATGTCAAGTTATTTAGGGACATGCCAAGAGTACAAAGTAAGCAAAGTTTTATTAATTGTTACTGTATTATCACTTTAACCCTTTTACTGCTGTGTGGATCATTCATTTATTCTATTTCTGCTTCTGGTGTTTTAATTAAGAGGTTTGTTGAAGAATTGAATGCCCCATTTTAATGTTGTGTTGAAGTCCACCTGTTCCATCTTCAGTCGTATCGTGTTGGGGCATGGCGTCAATTTGAAAGTTTGTCATGTGTCATCATTCTGGTTGAATGGAATTAAGGTGGCCTAACCTAACCCATTTGGATTGAGTTCACCTTTTTCACGTTATTATTATGATATTGACATTGATATAGGTGAGCTAATTGCATATTGTTATTTTAGTTTTGACTTGTACAATGTTTTAGGTCACCTCTATGTTTACATCAATCATTCCTTTTCCAACCAAAACTAAATAGTTTAAAAGGTGGCAGCTCCATTTTACTGATCATATTCCTGATCAAATAAATATTCTTAGCTTTCAGAGCATGCCAAGAGTGTGAAGAAAGCAATGTACTAGTAGAATATGCACGCGCAACCTACTATTTTTATGCTACTAATATATCATATTCATATATAACAAGGTTGTGTTGTGACACAGTTATGCTTTTTATTATATGATTATGGAACGCCGCGCTTCTTGGTTTCCATCATTCCATTCCACGTCCATATCCTGTTTTCCCATTATTTTCTATCTAATTAATCTACAACTAATATAACGCTTCTCATTAAGACATTAACCAAGGTTGGTTCCTTCCTTGTTTCAATTCATTCAAGTCCATAACTACTTTTTTTTCGTCGAGAGAATGAGTACACCCCGCCTCTGCCCGCATTTACTTCCTTCATCTTATTTTGGCAGTCTGAATGAATGAAGTTTTAATGACTTGTTTTCCTCACGTGATTTCCACGCCTCCACCGCCACCTTCATTCCACTCCCATATTATTTCATAAACTCGCCACTCACCCCCCCTTCTTTCTCTTTAGTCTTTACCTCGCTCTCTCTCTCTCTCTCTCTCTTCCCCGTTATGTCAACTCCACCTCCTCCATATCTCAATGTTATTGGAGCTGATATTAACACCAACGATGGAAACACTCATCACTCTCATTCTTTGGATAAATTCAAACCAAGTATTATCATTATCATTTTAATCCTAGCCATTACTTTACTTCTTTCTATCTCTCTTTGTCTCCTTCTTCGTCATCTCAACCGTCGCTGTCTCCGTCATCTCTCCACCGTCACTACTGTCTCAACCAATAATACCGACTCACGCCGTCTCTCTAGTCGCCGTGTTTCACCTGAAAATCCTACGTTCTCTATCCTTGACTCTCTTCCGCTCTTCACCTTCTCCTCCGTCACTCACCGTTCCTCTTCCGGCGGAGATTGTGCTGTCTGTTTGTCAAAATTTGAGCCACAGGATCAACTCCGTCTCCTTCCTCTTTGTTGCCATGCGTTTCATGCTCTATGCATTGACACCTGGCTTGAGTCCAACCAAACTTGTCCTCTATGCCGCTCGCCGATCAACGCCTCTGAATCTGATGTTTTGAAAGCAATACATCCTTCTTCTGCAGCTGTTGGGGGTAACGATAGCTTTCGTCTTGAGATCGGCTCAATCAGCCGCCGCCAAGCCGTTCCAGAATCAGGTGAACCGCAGCCAAGATCATACTCTCTCGGTTCATTTGATTACATTGTTGAGGGGGATTCCGATATCACAATGAACCAAACATATCGGAGAAGTGTTTCCGATAAAGAGGACATTGTAGCAGAGTCAGTTACAGCTGCTTCAGAGGCCAACTTAGCATCCGAAGTAGCCGTGGGAAGGAACTGGCTCAAGGACTACGTTGACAGGCTATCTTTTTCTCTTTCATCACGAACGATATCGTTCAGGAGCTCTGGAAGGTTCTTCACTGGAAGCAGTCGGCGGAGCGATGTCGCTGGTGTTGGAGATTATGACTTGGAGGCCAATCGTGTGGGCGAAGAAATCAGCGAACTGTTTCGTTGGTTCTCAGGGGTATGAGCGTAAATATGCGTCTTATTTAGGTGTATTTGTAATTTTGCCTTCACTTTGGCTAGGATCACTCTGTTTTGCTTTATCCACTACACACACGAGCATAATCAAGTTCAGGTGAAGGGAGGGACCGGATAGAGCAAAATTGGAAGTGGATAGAGCAAAATTGGAAGTGGATAGAGCAAACAGAGGGACACCATTTATTTCAGTTTTATCTTGTATAGATAGAATAGTTGTGGATTATCTTCCAAATTTGCATTTTATAAACAATTGGGAAGTTTAGGAATTGTTACTTTTAATGATCATAATCGGTGTTTCGTTTGCCGTAAATCACGGGAAATTTTACTTCACTCTAGTACGAGAAATTAATGATTTGTGTTTTATGGAATTTACTTGTTTTTGAGGTGTTTTATGTTTACACTTTACGACAGATTTGGATGGTAGTTGAAACAGATGTTAAACTTCTTTGCTTTGTTCTTCAGACCAAAATAAAACCACGTGTAAATATAAACATATTTTGGCTAACTAAATCCGCTACATAGAATGTTCTTTTTCTTTCCAGATGTCGTGTTCTTGGCCCTCTCGGGTATCACCAATCGATAGTAAGTCCGAACCTTTTTTGTTTGGGTCATGGATGGGCTCACTATGGTTGAGCCCATCTGACTCTGACGGCCTGACCTGACTCATAGGAAAATGTGGATACAAAATTAAAGGTGAAAACATATGGCAAACAAACTTCCAGTTCCAGGCATAGCACGTGGTTTTGGGAATGGTCAAGACCATCTCAAAGATTCATACTCATCAAAAAACTGATAAAAAGCTGAAAAATTATACAGGACCTTTTTCACAGTGTTATTATCCCCTCACACTAAGTTGCAGTAACAATTTTGTAGAAAATAAAAACATAAGAAAACCATGGTCATTATATAGTTGTTAAAAAACAATGTCTTCTCTGCTCCAGCACCACTGCATGGATATGTACTTCCACTGAAGCACCCTTTCTTTTGTTTAATCCCTTGACCTTGATCTTCCAGAACAAATGTGGAGTTTGTGACACCATCACTAAATAAAACACACCAATAAAAACGTTTATGATACCCAACTAACCCCACTCCTACCTCTGTATGTGATTTATTTCTCACAAGAGATAAAGTTTTTTTTTCTTTCACCAGAACATTTGAAAACGCTAGTGATGGCTCAACATGTTTCGATTGACAACCAACAATGTGGCCTGTTATGGTGCCAACAGTTGCTAGCTCTACACCACAGTTGGGAGCAAAAACTTCTGTGAAGTCATCTTCTGGTGGTTGACAGTTCACAGCATTTCCATTACTGCAGTTCCCCTTGCATAATTCAACATATTGCAAGGCCATGCAGCCCAGACCAGGACTGTCCTTTAGTTTTGGGAGTTTTTGAGATGTTCGGTTGTTGTTAATGATGTCGACAAGTTCATTTGCAGGGTTTCCTACAGATTAAACAACATTCAACTATAAAACAAAGTGTATGCTCAAATATATTTGCTACACGCATTCAACTGTTTTTTTTTTTCCTCCTATTAGCATACATAATCGAAGCATTCTCTAAACCAAATATGATTCAGTATTGGGATTAAGAATATCAAAAAGCAACAACATATGGAATTCAGGGACACCAAACACATGCTAAATTCTCTTTAGAACATTTAATTACAGCAACAAATAAATTTCTTCAATGTAACTAAACGAATTTTTCCAAATTTTGGGTCTGTGAAAGGTAAGGTATTTTGCTTCAAACAACAAAAGAAAGAACATGTGAAGCAGAAGGTCATGAGAGAATTGATGTAACAAGCTCTATTTGGCTTTATGCTGGTTATATCTAATCATTGAAGTTCAAATCATGAAACCGTTCGATGAACATAGACAGAAAGAAGCTGGTTATATCTAATTACCAGTATATTCAATCAAAAAACTCTCCAGAATCCAAATTAATGGTGAGGTGGGTGATCTTCTTCATAGTGACGAACTGATATTCAAAAACCCTAAACCCCAAAGCACTCTAGCTATCAAAAAGATTATAGGTTGCAATTTCTGTCTGTCTTTTCTCTCTCTGTTTTTTCAGTTTTGGGAAAAACAAAGGGCTTTAATCCATGTCAATTCTATCAGTGAAGGGGAATGGAAACCATTGATCTGCTTTATATCCAAAGATTATTAAGAGCCATATATGTGGTTTCTCTTTTGTGATGAAGGTAACAGTTAAAGGTGAGTATTTACAAGATCCAAATTTCATTCCTCACAATGTATATAGTAACAGTTAGGAGGAGAGGCATCTGGCATTGACTGAGAGCATTCTAAGTAAACAAGCATAATATCTAATCAACAGACAATCTCAATATATCAATCTAACTCTCACTCATGCGGTTTTTCCCGTGATGACAAGCTGAGACAATTGTCCCTGGCTACTGAGTAGTCATTCTACTGAACCCAGCATCACATTAGGCCCCTTACAGGAACTCAATTTTGCACTCTTCCTGGGCATTGTATTTGCCATAAAAATAAAAAATAAAAAATCTTCAAATTTAAAGTTTAGCGCACACTTTCCCAATGTTTCTACCAGTACTGGCACAGTACCAGTCATCCTCCATTTTTTCTTGTTAGTTTTCTTGGAAAACTCAAAGTCTTTGGAGTCTCAAAATGAAAGAAGGGTTTTGTTGTCTAGGTCCTAAATACTAACTAGAGTCTTAAGATTCAAAACTTAAACGTCAATCCTTTTGCCTTCAGCAAAAGAAACAGAGCATAAAGAAATACAGACGCAATAACATTATGTACAGTTGCTACAACTATTTCAAACTCAATTTTCAAGCAACCACACGACACAATAAGGAAAGTAATAGTTCAAGAAAGCAAACAAATAGAAAGTGAAGAGCTAAGTGCATTACCATGTTTCTTGGAGAAAACAACAAGAGACAGCACTAGATGACAGAGAAGAATGAACTCACAAAAACAAAGCTTCCTCACCATTATAATGCAGGGTTTGTTAAAGGAAATGTGAAAAGGAAAACCCTAGGACTGAGAAAAGGGTAACTTCTTTTATAGCGATGGAAGAAGAAAAGAAAAACGAATGGGTGAATTTTTTTTGTGGGAAAAAGTTGGGGATAAAAGTGTAACAGAGAAATAGATTACGGAAATGGTGGTCCCGAGTGGCCGTTTGAGTCTAAGAAATGGAGCAGACATTCAATGGCTGGATACTTGGAACGGGACCCCATCTCCACTTAAACCCACATTTATTGGCACCATTTAATCAATAATTAGCAAGAGCTTCAACCTTCAAGCATCACTTCTGCTTAAACCAAAGGAGAAACTTAAAATCTGCTTAAATTTAACTTTATTGATACTATCAATTACTTTTTCCACTTTCCAGCTGTTTTGCTTATTCTTATTTTGAAATTAATTTTAAAGGTTATCAAAATTAATGTTTCTTACGCAATAAATGATAAATATAAAACTAAAATCTAAAATTAAATTTTCCTTTTTTAAATGAAAATTGTATTTATTTTTCTAGATAAATATCGACCTTGCAGTTGTAATACAGAGTAAACGACTTTTTCCCACCCAAATAACTGTCTAATAACCCTTTTCCATCCAAAACATTTCAAAATACAATTTAATTACCAAAAACACAATTCTATTAATAAATTTCGTTGTGAAGAAGGGCAACGGTCAAAATTCTATTATAAATAAGGGGCAGGATGGTCAATTAAAATGACACATGATTCAGCGACATCGTTCGACACGATTAAAGATTTTACGATTGATCTCAATGTCGAAAATTGTCTCCAAGTCCACTACTAAATAAACTCATTGGCGTTCCCCCTTCAAAACCTCTAATCTTCCCACCACTCAAAATCACAACAAATCAATCAAACAATCAACACACTTCCAAAATCAATCAATATTGACACCAATTAACAACAAATCAATCTCTAATTTTACCCAAAAATTAACAAAATTGCGAAACACTAAGGGGAGTGGTGGTTGGCGAGTAGTGAGCTACCATGGTCAAGGATGATAGGGGTTTGGTAGGGGTTGGCCAATGAACACAATGGGTCTTAGGGAAGGTTTCCGATGACGGAATCAGTCGAAAAAGGGGAATATTCGCACGACACATATGGGAGGGTAGCAGTCGACAACGATGGGTTTAAAAGGTCGAGAAGGTTGGGGGTTTTGTTGGGGGATTAAGGACTTGAAGATGGTAGGGTCAGGAGGGTACCAACGATGCTGAATTAGGTCAATTTGGCTTGAGATATGCTAATCAATTCACCCAAACGACTTCAAAAAAACCTTCAATTGAAACCCAAACACACAATTCACATAAGAAACCTTAAAAGAGGTCTCCAATGAGCTATCACCGTCTAAATTGTTATGACTTTTGAAGAGGGATGATCGGTGATTCATTTGGCGGTGGAAGGTCAAATTATGGTGGTTGAAGTCGACCGAAATCATTATAGAAAGGGCAGCAACTCTTCCACGAAAACTCGTAGATGCCGATGAATGGTGGGTTCGATGAGGACAATGGAAGATAGGTTCTAATAAGGGAGGCATGAGGAACAAGATGATGGTGGCGAGGAGTCGCAATAATGTCGGAATCGGTTGGCGATGTAAAAATGACAATTGCAATTAGAGGAGGGGGATGAAGAAGAAGAAGATGGGAGTGATTGTGGGTGGGGTGAGAGGGGTTTTGGTGGGAGGATGCCAGTGAGTTGAATAGTGGTGATGAGGTTGATTTCTGGCACCAAAATTTAGGTTAAGATGCGCGGAACTTTAATTTATGGTGGCCAATGATTGGAGGTTGGTCTTTGATAGGGAGTATTCTTTTTGTCTTCAAAATGGATATCATTATGAGAAATTACTAACGAAACAAAGAGTTTGAGTAATAAAATTATATTTTGATACGTTTTGGGTGGGAATAAGTCCTTTGCTCGCAATATGGAAAATGATAGAGTTATCGAAAAGTTTATACCAAATTTATGCACCGAGTAACGTGATAAAATCCTGACCGTTGATTAATATTAACTGATAATAAATTAATAATCAAGATTTTATCACGTTATTCGATGCACAAATTCGATGTACACCCGTTGGTAACTATAACATTCTCCTCGCAATATACATAACATGAAGAGAGAACGTTCTAGAACTAGAAGGTGACACGTGTATATTAATATTATTATATAGGCGAGGGTTTCAAAATGTTTCTTCCTAAGCACAGCCTTTAGTTTAAGCGTCGTCTTGCAGTCTCTTCATAGTTGGTTTAGTTCCTTATCCATGGCGTCTACATTTGTTTCACTACAAAACCCTTTTTTATCTTTTAACAAAATCGGCATTCCTTCTTCTAACCAGAGGCTATTGGGTAAGACCTCTATTACATAATCTTATCAGCTCTCTTTTTCTTTTTCTATTTTCATTTCGTCTAATAATTAATCTGATTTTCCTGTATAAAGGGACGCGAACGCAAGCTCTGAGAATCAGTGCAATTTCTAAGAAATGGGAGCCAACTAAGGTTTTTATCTTATTCTTCATTTTTTTTTTTTTGTTACATCTTCCCGATAATTTTGAGATTGTAACCAGTTTAAGTGTTTAATTTCAAAGGTGGGTTCTTTGATGTTAATTTTTATGGTGATAATTTTGGGTTTGCAGGTTGTTCCTCAAGCTGATAGAGTCCTGGTCCGTCTGGAGCAGTTACCTGAGGTTTGCCTCTTTCTTTTACCTGCTTTTTGGGAATCCAAAATGTCTAATTATCTTAAAATATATAAGACTTTTAATCATGGGAAATGGGTATTTCTTATAAATCTTGAAGTTGTATTGTTGTGGAAGTAGCTCTTATTTTTCTTTTAGTCGCAAACCAAATCTTGCATTTGAATTTGTTTGTCTTGTTATTTTATTTTACCACATATGTATTTGAAATCTTCATATATCTTATATATCCTGTAAACTGAAAAAGACATAAGGCCATATTTGTAGTCTTAGACTAATTGTGAAACCTGTTAGTTGGACATAATCTTGTCTCCTGGCAAGAACCTTATTTTTTAGAATGGTCGGCACTATCATGCTTTATTTTTGCTGGTGTTATCTGATACAAAAAGTGAGTAATATGATTTTATCATAATGTTCTCTCGGCCTTGTCAAGAGAGATCCATCTTGATTTGTTGTTCAATAGTTATTGTAGATATGAGAGCTAAGAGTATTTTCTGTAACAGATAAACTTGTGTACCTTAAATTACATGAAAATTAGCACTGTGCTTTTTCATGCTGATGGATGAACTATTTGCATAACAGAAATCAGCTGGGGGTGTTTTGCTGCCTAAAGCAGCTGTTAAATTTGAGCGGTATCTCACGGGGGAGGTAAGATGCTAATCCTTTTGTGTATATGTTTTGGTGTTATGATTCTCAAGATGTTTATATGAATGTCTCATTTCTTTCTTCAGATTCTCTCTGTTGGCACTGATGTTGGAGAAGTGGGTGCTGGAAAGAAGGTAATACCTCCTCCAGTTTTCATGGGCCTATTATAATTTTCTGCCCCAAGTTTTATCATTTCCCCTCGTGGTTCTTGTCTTTTGAGGTTGTCTAAAAGATGTATGTGCTTCTCCTTACGCAGGTTCTTTTCTCTGATATAAGTGCTTATGAAGTAAGTACCATCACTTTAAAGTTAAATTCATCCTATTTATAAATTGGATAATTTTTTCTTGTGGCCTTGTGCTCTTGAGATGCTTAAAATTTCATGGTTCTGCCATGATTGGACCATGGACCTGACAAGCATGTTTATTTCTTATGTATGTACCAACATCTTTCCAGTATCATAATTACCTTAAACTAATGCATTTTGGGTCTTGCCTCAGGTTGATTTGGGAACAGATGACAGGCATTGCTTTGTTAAGGAGAGTGATTTGCTGGCTGTGGTCGAGTGAAGTTACATTGGTTTTGTAGGATATTACCAACTATTGGCTTCCCTAGTGGCTAGTGTTGTAGTATCAATGTCCTCAATTGTATTAATTTTGAGGGATATTTTCCCTTACTTTTTAATCTTTCAGAACTCTAGAATAATGAAATGAAAGAATTTGATGCGACCATTGTTGTGATTTGTTCCAAGGTTTAACCTCTTCTATTTTCCTTTGATATTCATTTGTTTGTACCAGTGCTGATATTTAGGCTTTACCATAATCATCAAATGCTCTATTCTATTCGGCTGGGCAATGTCTTGGTACTTTAGAACGTCGGGGATAGTCAATTTGCCCGCTAATTTTGGCTTTCAGCCTAAGACAAACCGCTACAACATAATTGATTTGCACCATTCAATATAAATTATCAGGTTAAGGATGAAAATAAATGGCTTGTTCACCTTCAGATGTAAAATTTCCTATGAAAAAGTTGGGAGTTTCATACAAAACACTTGTTAAGCTACAGAACAAAGGGAAATGTGAGTTAGAACTCAAATAGCAGTAATTCAATCATCCCTTCCTTTCTTTTTGGTGAGTACCAGGCAACAACTTTGCCAGAGCGAAGAAGCCTCAAGGAGTAACTCAAGCTGTATATTAGATCCTCCATATGTGGGGCATGTTTCTCTAATGTAGAATCAAGCAAAAACTGAGAATCAACACGAAAGACGATGGGCCCTGCAACCTGCAAGAGTTGGAGATAGTAACAATTAAAGCTTGTGTGCCACATGTTCCTCATATGTATCGAGGATTAACAAATCAGACGTATCATTGAGCATGCATCAAAAGGTAGTAAACTCCAGCAGTGGAAATTGAGTAGGGATGGCAAAACTGATTTTGATAATTCTTCCCATTTGCTGACAGTTTTTGTGAAAAAGTTCATCTAGCTTTTCTAACTTAACACTTTTTAGTTCATGAATCTTGTTCCATGTGCAGGTGCCTAATTAACAACAGTTTGCATTTAAAATTTGAGCCACAACTACAGAATTTGGAAAAGCAATATACCTGCTGTTGAAAGATAAAATTTAGTCTGGGGGAAGACAGTGAATTATCTGCATTGCTGACTGAAGAAGTCTTGAAAATATTCAAAACCTTTTTGCCAAGCCCTGAAACTGAAGATATATCCAGACGAGCATCGACCCGGGTCATGTCATTAAATAGTTTCCTGAACTTCCCATGTTGAAAAGTACAACATACGGAGCCAAATAAATCAGCATTCAGTGGACTTCTCTTTTTAATAGTCATAGAAGTATCTCCATCCTGAGATTCAATTGCCTTCGAGTTCTCCCTGCCCCCGAGCCACGCCGCACAGGTGCCCCCTGACATTTTATGTTAAAAGGTAATAAGAAACATAGGCAGCCTCTCTTCAAAATGGACAACTATTGCATTATGTAAAATGATATGGCCAAAAACATCCCCAACAAAATAAACAGCAATTCAACTTTTATTATGTTTCATTCAAGTCTCAGCCCTTATTTTGGAATTATGATTTTTGCAGGAAAGGACGGGGAGAAAAATTGTCTAATTTGAAAATTAACTACATGCACCAAGTGACAACTGCAGAGCCAAGAAAAATTACCAATAACTGCAGAAACAGTAGCATGAGGTTCTTTAAGACGGACATCATATGCTGGACACCAAAATTTGCCCCTTTTCGTCTTGAGAACGAAATCTTCTTTAGTCTCCTTTATTCTCCATATGTCTTTACTCTGCTCATATGAAAAGGCAGCCTTCGCACATAATCCAGGCATTAGAGCAACAGGTGCCTCACCATTTATGGCATTAACACTTTGGGGATGACCACTGTTCTTGTGCAAACCAAAACGATATTGCAACGGAGAATCTGAAGCGACTGATGACATATTTAAGGATATTGACTCAGGAACATCCCAATATTCTCCTTTATGGTCAATGAACAGCTGGGGCCATCCAGCCTCTAACGTGATATCATGATTAGGAAGCTGCAGATACACAAAAGTGTTGAAGAATGTAGATGTGAGTTTACCCAAAGAAAAAGCTCGGCGATTGAAGTTCAAGAGTGGAACATATAATGTAGACACCTATATTTAATACTTCCAAGTAAAATTAATAGTTAATCTCCCTATATAAATGCGATAACAACATTCCACATTTCAATATTAACAAACTGATTTAAAAAACAAGATAAATTCTTTAAAAATGGGATCGTTAATAGGAATTAAGAGAAATAGAAAAACCATGCCTTGTGATAGAGCATAAACTTGTGGCGAAGTCCTTTCCTTTCACCATGGCGTTCAGTGTTCCACAGCAAGGAAGAAGAGGGAGTGAGAGCAAGCTGTGAGCATACACCAATTGAATAAAGAGACTTGTCGAAGATGTGCTTTGTTGTATCTCGGAACATAGACACCTCCAACTCATCAGCATTTGAAAATTCTCTTTTAACATTAGAAATCAGCTTCTTTGGACGAAACTGTCCAACTAATCCAAGCCACCTATACAACATCAACAAAATAAAAATTAATAATAATGCATAACAATTCTCATTACGAAGCATCATATGGTTAAGTTAAATTTACCAATTAGAGATGGATGGTTTGAGCAAGAGAGACTGAATTGAGAAAGAACCTAATTCCTTTTGGGGAAGATTAGAGTAAGAAGGAATGAGACCCAAAGGAAACCCTAATCCCAAAAGAGAGAGTTGTTGAATCCTAAGGGCTCGGCTAGCTCGAGTAGCGTCAAGTGGAAATGGCTGTCCAGGAACCGAGTTAGCAGTACCTTCTAAGGTTAGTGGGGATGAGATTGGCTGGTCCCAGAAGGCGGAGTCCATTGCCGTCCTTAAGTTGGCCATTTCTCAGAGAATATGAGTTGTGGTTCGGCTTGGGTTTCCTTATCCGTGTTGTTTCATATTTTTTGCAAATCAAATGAGTTTCGGGTTGGGGTTTTCTTCGAGGTTTTAGGGTAGACATTAACGTGTCCCCTGGTATCATTCATTCTTTGTAATACCTACACAAACTATGGGCTCGGCTGGCCCTGCCCAGAACAGCCCAATTATATTTTTGTTAATATTTCTTCACTATAAATCAGATTTTAGAAACGGGGAAGCAACAGGTTTAGTGCTTGGACGGTAGCGCATTTTTGTTTGTAGGTGTAGGGTCATGGTTTGGATGGGCAGCGAAGCATAGAATAGAAGAGAAACTTGGTAGTCAATTTTGAGTTCATTTAAACTTGGAACCTAAGATGAGACTTCATTCAATCACCTACTCGTCAATAAAAACACAAATTTCTCAAAATTAAACAAAATCATTAATCTTTAATAAACCATTTTAAATTTTGGTGCCCGCCCATATATTCTAGATACCTTCTTTTGTCTTTAACCTCTTGTTCTTCACTTGAAGCCTAAGAATGTTGGCTTTTAAGATAGAATTTGAAAGTCAATGGTGATTGCTAGAAGACTCCTATTTAAAATGTGTCTTTCAAATTACCAAGACTTTGATATGTCTTCGTCAGTTGTGTGAAACCCACCTTTGTATAATCTGCAAGCTAGCTCTGATGGAAATTTACCATCATTTCAAGTAGCAAGAAGGATAAATTAAACTTCCTTCAATTCATCTTCCAGTATTATTTCTGATTGTCCATGCCCATTTCTATTGAATGTATGCGTGTTTAACTCCACCTACTTTCTTATTACTGGAAAGATATATCCACAACCAACAACCCATCCCTCCAAAACACTATATATTTCTTCAAGACAACAACAAATCATATCAATACAACAACATAATGAAGCTCAACTTCTCTTCACTTTCGCTTCTCTTCTTCTTCTGCTTCTTCTTCTCTGATCATCTAATAACTGCCCACGACTTGGTCCATCAAACTTGCAAAAAATGTGCGCAAAATGACCCTAACCTCAACTACAACTTCTGTGTAACTTCCCTTGAAGCAGTCCCAAGTAGCCACTGTGCAGATCTTCGCCAACTGGGTATGATCTCAATCAACTTAACTCGACGCAACGTCACAAACACAAGGTCATATATTAATGAGCTCTTGAAGAACAAAAAGTCGGATCCATTCATGAGCTCATGCTTGACTGATTGTTATGAACTTTACTCAGACGCTATTTCAACTCTCCAACAGGCCATCAAAGACTACAAATCTAAGCAATATGAGGATGCTAATTTTGAAATAAGTTCAGTCATGGATGCTTCCACCACTTGTGAAGATGGGTTTAAGGAACAAAAGGGCTTGGTTTCTCCTTTAACAAAAAGAAATAACAATAGCTTCCAGTTGTCTGTCATAGCCCTTTCTATTATAAATATGCTCGATTGATCTCATTGTTGTCTTTTGGTATATATATTTGGTTTCATATTTATAAATATTCGTGATTCTTGATAATCGATAGTTCTTGTCATGATACTTTCGAAGTTTTATTGTACAGCTTCTTGTAAGTTGAAGGATCATATTTCAGATGAAGTTAACACCAAGAAAGAGTGACTTCTAATTAAACTTGTCTTGGAGTTTAATTTTAAATTATCTAGATTTAAACTAAAATATATTCTGCATTATGATTTCAGGTAGCAATTCTTCACGCAGACTGGATTTGCAATAAATTCTACATTATGGAGTTCAGACTCAGGCATAGTCATCTATGGCATTTGCCTCCACGCAGGTGCTGATTTGAATAATTTCAAATCTCAACGAGTATGGTTTTGTGGTTTACATGACAAATTGGTCAATGAAAAGTTATGGCCGAGATGAGAATGACAAAATGCTTCCCTTTATTTAATATGAAAACGTTGGCAGGGGCATTTAAATAATTATGTAAACCAATTCATAATATGATTGAAAATGACTTCTACCAAACCAAGGCGAAAGAAGATAAGATCGTAAGAATGTGGTCAAAAATCAAAATCCATTAACTTAGTATTAAAAATTTCAAATCAAAATCCATTAACTTAGTATTGAATTTTCAAAACAAAATCCAGCTTAAAGTCACAGTTGAAATCATTATACAACGCACTAAATTTGGCAAGAAAGAGATGGTGAAAAGAAAGGGGTATCACAATTCCCCAATTATATTTCATTTCAAAACAGTAGGATTTTCAATGGCATACGTTGCAAACTGCAAAGCACTCTGCTTACGAAGCAAAATCTGTGTAGACCAATTCCAATTTCAAACAAATTCAGTGTAATAAGGCCACGACTTTGATTCCAAGACACAATTCATGCAACTCTACATGCCAAAACCATAATTATAAATCAACACAAAAACAAGTAAGCATCTCGAATGTCACCCAAGCAAATCATTGCAAATCCAAGGATAAAAAATGTTAACAGCATAAAATAACAAAGTCGTGAGATACAAGTTCTGCAAATTGTATTCTTTATCAGACAGATTTCGATTATTTTCCAACTTCATTACAGGGATCGAACCCATACAAGCACCCAAAAAGTCAATCCAAATGAGGATAGAGGATGATAATTTCTTACTCAAAAGGAAATTCAAAGAGTGAAACCTCACTACTCAAATTAGCTAGCCATTGGATGGTTAGAGATGTATTCAATTGCGAGATTACATGAATCAATCTTATCAGCTTCCTTGTCAGGAATTTCCAGCTTAAACTCCTCTTCTAAGGCCATTACAATCTCCACATTGTCCAAGCTATCCAGGCCCAAATCCTTCTGGAAATGTACTTCAGGAGTCACCTGCATAAAATTAAAGGAAAAAATATATATTATCTTGGTAAAAGAACCGATCAAATTATAATTGTTATGAAGCATGAGAAATCAACAAGCACAATTACAATACTGAAAGAGTTCACTAGATAAATAATTTCAAAAATACTAAAGAGAAACATAAAAGAAGTAGACAATTGTTTTCTTAAGATAGTTCGATACAGGTGCGTCCTAGGAGTGAAGCTAAACCAAATGAATGTGGTGAGAAATAGCCAACAAAAAAGAGGTATTATCAGGGCAACTGTCGGGGAAAGTAGAATACTAGAATGAACTCAATAAGCAGCAAAGAACAAATAAGATCTATGTGTTTTTTGAAACTTAGATCTGTCGTGTAATTTAATTTCTGCTTCAACAAATAGAATAAATGCAAAGAAATTTACCCATATTGACAGGAACTTGCGAGTAAGAAATTATGAGCAAAAACAAAAGGATGAATCAATGGTGAGACTGGCATTAAGATATGGGGTTAAAGCACCATCAATGGACTGTGCTTTGGAAGAAACAATCTACTAACTATGCGTCTGACTGGAAATAACAACAGCTTCCCGATCTTACTTAAGTTCTTTATATTCAACCGAGTTGAACTCCAACTTTTAGCAAATGCTGGGTCATCCATTATGATTGGAGCGCCTAGAATAGAATATTGTGCTATGGGGATGATTATGATACCATAGTACAGTTTCCAGGGAAATACAAAATATTCAAAGCATTTAGCTAGGCATAATCCCTCAAACATTGCTTGAAAAATATAAATCAAGCAGCTAAATAGACCCACATTTAATCAATAACCAAATAGGAACTAATTGACTAATCCTGAACTAATCTGTTGTTATCCGAATCCCAAATCTAGGTTTCACGAAAGAAATAAGCGGCCTAGACTGTTCAAATCTATCAGATAATAAAACTTATTGTTGAAAAAAAAAAATCCAGATTAATTGCAGTTAAGCAAAGAATTGAACATAAATGATTTTTTGGTGAATCGACTGACCGACCTCGGCAGGATCGACTTTGGGGAAGCTCTTGACCACAGAGAGGACTCTCTCAATAACTTCTGCTTTGGTAATATGATCATCGTGCGATGACATGAACCGTAGACTCCATAGCTGTTGTTTGGATCCGTTTAGGGTTAGGGTTTGAACGGGTATTCGAACATGGCGAAGTACGGCTGTTCTCAATGCCATGTCTCTCGCTCTCTCTACACGCTCACTCTCTTTGGAAGTGAAACAAACCGCTTAGTAAACTTTGCTGGAGTATCACGCCCGTTGCACGTGTTTAACATCATTTCCCCTAATTTTAACCTTTTTTTTTTTTTTTAATACAGTATTTGACTTATTACTAGTTTATTACATGTACATTTACTCATAAGCTTGGCTTAAAATATTTACTAATTAATTTGTAAGATTAAAATAATATAAATAAAGTTTATATATTATATGTGAAGGAAATGTAATACCATTATGTTTCCCTATAACAATTACAGATTAATGTTTTAATCTTTTTCCTCCTTTTTTTTTTTTACGCTAACTGAAGTATTTGGTTCAGTTTAAAACGTTTCAACTCTTCTTTGGGAGAAACTATCCCACAATAATCCATCACCACTACTTCTCAGGTAAATCATTGACAAATATACTACTCTTATCCTTAATGAAAAATTAAACCTAGTAAACACAATCCCCTTAATTCACTCTTACATTAAGTTACCCATAGGTGGGTCTTTTTCCCCTCTTTTGCACTATGGTTAAACCATTAACCATGAGATTATGCTACACTCACTATAAATAGTTTTTTTTAAATGCCATTTAAGATATATAGAGCTAAGAAAATATAGGTTCAAAATCACAAAATAATTTAAAAAATAAAATAAATTTATTACTTTTCTTAAAAAGTGAATGACCAATTACCAAATCCCCGCGGCCCCTGTGAAACGAAGATGACCAGAATTGGTCCGTTTACGTTGTTGATTACTTAGAAAGTGGCTTCAAACCTTTCACGCGCAAAAGACAAGCGCCGAAGCCAAGCCTGCCAACCCATTTCTAGACACCATTTCGTATAAATAATAATCTCTCTCTTAAATACTTGAAATATAAATACCCGCTTGCCCAAAAAGACCGAGCCTCCTGGATCTCGATCTCTCCGGTTTAATAACTTCAATATTTCCGGCCGAGATCTCGATCTTCCCTAATTTAAGTACATCCGAATAATGGCTCCGGTTTCCGCTCTCGCCAAGTACAAGCTGGTTTTCTTAGGAGATCAGTCTGTGGGCAAAACCAGTATTATCACTCGTTTCATGTACGATAAATTCGACAACACCTATCAGGTTCTTATTTATTCAACTCAATCAATCTCCTATTTTTATTTTTCAGATCGGATTTTCAAAGTTAATTCATACTTATCTCTGTGGATCTGAATCTGATTGACTTCTTATTTGAATTCGATTTATTCTTACTCGATCATTTATTTTTACGGCAATACAATTGTGTGTTCTGATCTTAAATCGGTTAAATCTTGATTTCGTTTTGGATCTGCCTGGGCTTTGTTACGAATACCAGTATTTACATTATAGTGTCAAGATTGAATGTTGTATATGTTGATCTATCTCCTATTTTTGAAATGTTAAGAGGTGAATATGTTGCCGCCTTTTTACTTTGTAACAAATTGTCCACTGTCTTTGGTCGCGTAAGATGATCTAATGTTGAAAACAGATATGGCTATTGCATGACCTAGTAATTGATAGAATGGTGTTGAGTGCAGTTTGGATGGGCAAATTGGTTAATGAAAGATTTCTTCTACTTGAACTTTGCAGTTGATGTTCATAGAATGTGCAAATGGCTGCATTTTTATTAGCTTTATGAACTTTTGGGCAACATTTTTCTTCTAATTATTTTTTTAGTTTCTTCAGGATTGTGATGCTTTCATCTCTGTTGCTTTATTTTTGTTTCTTACATTCATATACTTGCTTTTTGTCATAGTCCCCAGTTTAGAACACGGTGAACATATAGGGCCCTTGTGTGAAATGATCTTCCTCTGCTTGAATCAGCTAGTTTTCTTATTCTGCCCTTAGATCCCAGATATTTGGTTTTCCTTTCATCAAAACTATCCTTTTGAACCTCACATTTTTTTTATTGATCCTCAGGCTACCATCGGTATAGATTTTTTATCAAAGACAATGTACCTTGAAGACCGAACAGTTCGATTGCAGCTTTGGTGAGTTTTTAGTACCTTATCTGAACTACAATTGTTTTTTCAGTTGTTATGCTTGGTTTCATTATTTTAGTACCCAGGTCAAGATTGGTGCTTTGCATGTTTAGGCATGTCCTGTTGAATAATTGAGTGTTTGAAACATAAATTTCTGGAATTTGTGGCAGGGATACTGCAGGACAAGAAAGGTTCAGGAGTCTCATTCCTAGTTATATCAGGGATTCTTCTGTTGCTGTGATTGTATACGATGTTGCAAGTATGTCTTTCTTGACTTCTTTTTGTGATTTGGGACTTGTGGTCTTGATATCTGTTCGCTCTTTCATGTCTTGTTTATGTGTACGTACATGGTGAAATACAGTTTATATTTTGACAAAATTTGTAGATCATAAGAAAATTGTTTTTTTTTTTTTTTTTTTTTAATGATTTCTATGCTATGCTAACTTTTTTGATAAAAATTGCTATCTAATTTGGTGGTTGCTTATGGTTTAGGCAGACAGTCATTCCTAAACACTTCTAAGTGGATTGAAGAGGTTCGCACTGAGCGGGGCAGCGATGTTATCATTGTTCTTGTTGGGAACAAAACAGATCTTGTGGACAAAAGGTAATGAATTACTGTGTTGGTTGAAATTATTATTAAATGAACTTGTCTGGATTGCTTGTTACATTTCAGTTGCTTTATTTTTCAATGACCTGACTTTGGATGTACAGTAGAGTGTGGAATTTTAGTTGTGTGAAATCCATGGTGAGAAGTAGATTTTCTGAAAGTAAAATTATTTAAGGCTCTTTCATAGTCTTGGTTTTAAATTTTAATAAAACTCGTTTAATTATTTTAAACCAGAATGGAGACTGTTTTAGACGTCCAAGCTGGATCTTTTTTAGAGAATGTTTTAGCGAGCAGTGCCAGTTAAAGGCATGATTGAAAACATTGAGCCTCTACATTTATTTGTTGCAACTCTGTTTTAAATATTTTTTTTTAAATGCACATGCTGGACTCTCTTTTAGGAAAAAAAAAACTACAAACATGTGGAATATGGTTTGTGGTGCAGAAATAATGTGTTTTATGTGCTTGTACATGAAACCAAGCAAGAGGAAACTACATTTTCCCTAAATGTAGATTGGCTTATCATTCCGCTTCTTGTTGCTTGACAGGCAAGTTTCAATTGAGGAAGGAGAAGCCAAAGCTCGTGAACTAAATGTTATGTTTATTGAAACTAGTGCAAAGGCTGGCTTCAATATAAAGGTAAATCATATGTTGTTTATTATTAGGAAGTCACTTCATAGAACCATGGTCAAACTAGACCTTAAGTGATATTGTGTATGATTGTGGCTGGGGCTTTATGATTGGATATGGTGAAAATTTTGTTTGATATGATTCCCTTCATTCATTTATTCTGGTTGAAGGAGGTGTTTCAATGCTCTAGTCCAGAATATTCTTATGGTGCAAAAAGTGACCTATAGAGTTTTTTTTGGTTTATCCTTTCTAGGCACTGTTCCGGAAAATCGCTGCAGCATTACCAGGGATGGAAACACTTTCTTCAACAAAGCAAGAAGATATGGTTGATGTTAATCTGAAGTCTTCCAACACAAATGCATCTCAGTCACAACCTCAGTCTGGAGGATGTTCTTGTTGATGTACATGGTCAACTGAAGCAGTTCCTTCTTTGCGATAATTTCCCTATATTCTTCAAGTGTCTGTAAAGTTGTGTCATTATCCCCTTTTTTGTAGCATTTGGCTTTGGGGTTTGGTCGAGTGGTAAGAGATTTTAAATTGGAAGAGGATATTAATATTATTGTGGTAGTTAGGCTAGTCCTAACCTGCTCCGATGTATACACACATATATGTTTGTTTTGGAGTAAGAGATATTTGTGCCAAATTTTCTCTTAGAAATGTATCTAGGTTTTAGTCGTGTTGAATAAGTTGGATTTGTATAATCATTTTTATTTCCCATCTTAATTACGTTATTATACCGTTTAAGATCAGAGCCTGAGCTTCTTCCTGTTGTGCAGTGGTAGTCTAGTCCTGTAGGGGGGACTCCACTACCACTTTCTGTTTCTTTTTCAGCATTCTCTGTCCATTGATCATTTGAGTTGGAGATGTGATTAATCATATAATGGGTTGAAAAGGCATTTTAACTTTGACAAACTGATTCGGATTTGTTATGATTGATTGATTATATATCCCTTCTCGGTAACAATATAAATTTATCTTTGGACCCAGGAAACAATGATGTAAAAGAAATATTAAAAAATTACTAATCTCTAACACGATTATTGACAAATTTGGAACGTTACAGTGTGGGTGAAAGTGACAGAAAGTCTTTGAATGGAAATATTACCAACGCGAATGACAGAATAAGCACAGATAAGATTTCATCAGAAGAACCTTCCTTTTATGCAAAAGAAAATAAGTAAAAAGGCACCACTCAAAAGCCTTAAACTTAAAGTATATAGTTGTATTTTCCGTAGTTGTTGTAGCGTACAACAGCCCACAAAACGAACCACCTCAAAATTCAAATCTCGGTTGGGTCGGGATCTCTGAACCCGTGAATACTGAACCGCCACCACTCACCAACTGAAGTCTGAAAATAAAAACAAATTTACAAATTACAACATCCTCTGATTCCATTCCATGTATGATATAACTCTCCTACCTGTTTTCGATTCCATCCTTCTGTCAAGTATTTTCCTTGTTTTTTGTTTGCTATGTAACATTTTTTTATAACGCCTCTTTTCTTTCAAGGGTCGGTGCTCCTTTCAGTTCTTCCGGTTATACACGTATAACCACCATGCCAGGTCTCTCTCTCTCTCTCCCCTATTTCATTCCTTTCTTTTCATCATTTAAATCTGGGTTTGGGTTTTACTTGTACATTTATTAGCCACCTCCAGTTACCGTCGACTTAATTTCAGTCGTAAACTGGAAAAATTCTATTTTCTTGTCTTTTTTCTGTTATATGTTGGTTTCTTAGTAACCAATCATATGATAATCAATTTTCCAAGGTTTGATTGAATGTTCACTGAAACTGATTTTTGTTTTTTTAATACAATCAGCTTGTTTTGACATCTAAGAATTGTGCATTCTGTGTGTTTTGACTTTTATGCTCAGCGCTTCTAATTTGTAATTTGGTGTTCATCTCATGGAAGTTCTTATATCTTTGTGATTGAAATTTAGAGAAAACCTACTCTTCAAATGTGGATAAGAATTTTTTATATCAAACCTGGTGATATACAATTTGTATATTGTTTTAGGGAATGAAACAATTCTGTGGAGGAGGTAATTAGTAATTTTATCAATGTGTTAATTACTAAGCTGTTGACGGTGTGTGAATTTGATTTTCTTTATAGTCCCTGCCTAGAGGTGACCAAATATATAAGCATCAAGTATAAACTTTTGTTGTCGCAAGAATTTGAATAAAGTTGCTGCTGTTTGTTTTCTTTCAGCCTCTTAGGTTAAGCATGAAATATATGAGTGGCATGTGATATGAAGGAGATAAAGGATGGATTGCTTAAGAATGTCTTCTATTAGACTATTAGTTATTATGATATAGTAGTGGTCTAACCTTAGTTTATTAGATATGTTTTAACTATGCAATGGCTTCCATGTTTCATTTTGTACTTTGTATCACTTTTAGGAATTATAGCTATTCTGGTGCCCCTAAGATCTGGATTATGTATTAGTGAGGTCTATTTTTTGTCTAAAACCTTTATCATGGTCTTGGAGTAAAATATTATTTTAGTTGATGCACTACCTTGTAATGTTTGTTGAACTCTTCTATGATTCTCTTTGCCATATGCATTATCTAATTTTAATTTTTTATGATCAAATTATATTCATTTTCTTCTAGTGGAACTAAATCTGTTTTCGCATTTATTTTACATCTGTGTACAGATAACCAAGAACTGATTTTGATCAAGGATGATGTAACCAATCAATTACCATTTCTTAAACTCAAGCGCTGGCAATGGTGGGTTTTGGTGGCGGTCAATATATTCTTCCTTGTTGCCGGACAGTCTGCTGCTGTCCTGCTGGGGAGATTTTATTATGACCAGGGTGGAAATAGTAAATGGTTGGCTACCCTTGTCCAAACTGCTGCATTCCCAGTCCTTTTCATTCCCCTCTTTTTTCTTCCTTCTTCTCAGGAGGCTTCATCTTCTTCCAGATATCCTTCTTTTATAATTCTTGTCGTGGTCTACTTCGTTCTTGGAATTATCTTGGCTGGTGACAACATGTTGTATTCTGTTGGGCTCTTGTACCTTTCTGCCTCTACTTATTCCCTAATTTGTGCGAGCCAATTAGCTTTTAATGCAGTTTTTTCATACTTCATCAATTCTCAAAAATTCACTGCTCTAATATTCAACTCCGTGGTTGTCCTTTCATTGTCCGCTGCTCTTATAGCAGTCAATGAGGATTCTGATACACCATCTGAAGTATCGAGGTGGAGATATACAATTGGCTTCATTTGTACCCTTGCAGCTTCTGCAGTTTACTCTCTTTTGCTTTCTCTAATGCAGCTTGCCTTCCAGAAGGTTTTGAAATCAGAGAGCTTTGGTGTGGTTTTGGAAGTTCAAATTTATACTTCCCTTGTTGCCTCTGGTGTTGCCATTGTGGGTCTTTTCGCCAGTGGGGAATGGAAGAGTTTAGGTGGTGAAATGGAGGCGTTTGGTAAAGGAAGATTATCTTATGTGATGACTATAGTTTGGACAGCTTTGTCTTGGCAGGTTTGTTCTGTTGGTGTTGTGGGATTGGTTTATGTGGTTTCTTCTCTCTTCTCCAATGTAATTAGCACAGTCTCTTTGGCTGTTACCCCTGTTGCTTCTGTGATATTTCTCCATGACAAGATGAATGGTGTGAAGGTAATTGCTATGCTTATGGCTATTTGGGGTTTTGCCACATATATTTATCAGAATTATCTTGATGATTCTAAGGTAAGGAAATTACAAAGTGATGTTACTGAAAGCCATGATGATCATTCTTGAGTATGATATTATATTAATTAGTGTGGAGATACTGCACAGAAATTCTTTGCTATGGATGATTTTTTATGAGTTCTTTTTCTTTTTTTACTGCTATCGATGCCAATTTTTTTAGCTGATTTGATTAATTTTTAGTTTGATAGGAGTACTAGAAATAAATTATGTATGCAGGACAATGCATAATTAAAGATTGAAACAATAAGGAGAAAGAATATTGATTCCAGTACGGTTGTCATTCTTAAAAAGAATCTGCTGCAATTGGATGGAAATACAAGATTTATGTTGATGTTTGGAGTTTAGTAGAGCCGATTATTCAATAGTTAGTTCTGTTGTGATTAATAGTATCTCTCTAGAGGGTTGTGTTGATACAATGTATTCACTATAGTATTGTAAATTGTAATTAGGCAAGAATGATTTATTATTTTCACTGTTTTTGGTACAGTTTAAGGAAGATATATGTTGTGATAGTTGTGTGAACAGACCAATGGGTTTGATATATTCCAGGTTGTAGGCAATCTTCTTTGATGCTCCAAATAAACATGCTTAATGACGTTCGCCTTCAAACTCTAAATTCATTGTTTATATCCATCCAGTTCCCATAAAGCAGTCAAATATTTGATGTAGTTTACAATAAAGGCTTATTGCTTTTTCTATAACTATTCACCAGGAGTTATTATTGAGTTCAACGTACACACCGCCAGGAATTCCTAAAAAAACAAAATATATCTGATATTCTAAGAAGAATGATGTTCATGTGAATGGGACATGTAGGAATGATTGAAGCTTTAAAGATATTTTTATGTGTGAAATTGAAAAGAAATGATACTATTTTTGAGTCGGCCTAGAAGATGTTGGATGTGGACTAGGAAGGGAATGAGTGGAATCATAAGAAAAGTGATGAATATAGTATGGTATTTTAGGTTTTATTTTATGCTTTCCCAGATAAGGTGTTAAGAATAAGAATGCATCTCAGCGTCACATCTTGGCAACCGTTTACTTAAGTGTGAGGCCCCAGTGGGTTAATAGCCCTTGTACTCGAAACAGAAATTTCAACTACTAAAAAGTCAGCTATATTAACTATTTTCTTAATTAATATGGGAAGAAACTTCCAGTCCACGTGGAAAAGTCAGACAATTTAAATACCCACATTTACGCTTTCGCTCTTTTCAAAAGCCAACATGTGATTTTGATTTTGATTTTGAATGAATATAAATATAAAAATGGCGCTACTTCTACTTGAATTAAAAGAAAAAAGGAAAAAGAACATAACATTTGTTTAAAAGTAAATGAAGAAGAAGCATTAAATTGAAAGTGTGTGTATAGCCCGCTATTAAAATTCAATACCCCCACGCCTTTAATATCTATCTTATATACATTACACTTACACCCATGGGAAAGAGATCCCACCACCACCCACCCCTACTCTACTACAACTCAATTCATTCTTCTCCTCTTCTTTCTTTTTGCCATTCATTCTTTTAACATAATCTACTGTTGTTATAACACCAGCTACAACTCACTCAAATCAACCAATAATCATAATAAAGTCAATGTATTTGTACATTAAACAAACAAATCTTTTTTCTTTTTTCTTTCTCTTTTCGATTTGTATAAACCATGTCAATAAAATTAAATTAAAATTAAAAACACCGCAAAATGAGTAAGGGTAAAACCGTACATTTAAATGATACATAATCACAACCATGGTAATGTCAACGCGCATCACACTCAACGGTTTTGATTCCCTCTCCCAATATCAGCAAGCTTCCTCGACCGATTAGCACAAAACGACGCCGCACTCGATAGGTGCGGCTTTACCGTGCCCCTTATCTCGCCCGAATATCCAATGTCTGGTGGCAAACCACCCTTCTGGTTCCACTGTCGACTCGGACTAGCCCTTACCAACGGACTCAAACAAAACGCCAATCCAGACACGTTCCTGTTATGTCCCGTTCGCGTCCGTCTCACTGCAGCCGGCGCTGTCATCGGCGTTTTTCGCCAATCTTCCGACGATTCCCAACTTCCCGACGGCGAACGATCGCAGTCTTCATCATTATCTACTCCGCTCTCCGGGGATATTCCCCGATTCGATACTCGACAATCTCTCCGGCCGCCCGTTGTAGATTCTTCTGGATAACAGAAAGTCGATTGCTTTTTCCGGCGAGAACGAAATATAGTTGAGAGGAAGGATGAGGATGAGGATGAAGAGTCGCAGGAATCCCTATAAGGAACAGTAGGATCCGAATTCAATTTGTCGGATCTGGACCTGAATAGATTAGAAAAAATAGAAAACTTGCCGTATTTCTTCCTAGCGGGGAAAGTGGACGTGGTGGAGGTGTCGAAGGTGGGGCCCACTTGAGGAGTACTGTAAAAACGGTTATGGTGGGACCAGGCAGTGGTGTTGTCGTCAGATTTTCGACGAGTGACGTAAGGAGAGACGGAACGAGGGAATATAAGAGGGGGAGGGTCTTGTTGTTTCCGGCGATCTCGTTCTAAGGAGGTGCGTTGAGCTTGAGCGTGAGCCTGGGCCTGTGCAGCTATGAGAGCAAAGAGACGTTCTCGGAGACAAGAGGCGCAGACGCCGATGGTGCTACTGAGGTCGGATTGATGTTTTTTACACCTCATTTACTTACAACTGAAAATCTAAATCTAACTAACTAACTGACAATCAATCAAATAGTAATGGTAAAGAGTGGAAGTGCATATGATAAGATTTGAGTAGGGCTAGTCCATTTGAAGGCTGAGGTGTGTTTAGGTGCAAAATGAAGTGATCTGATGAGGAAATCAAAGGGAAGGGTTTGGGTTTGTGGTCTTCTCCAGTTTGTGAGACTCAGAGAGAGTTGGGGGTTCTCATGTAAGAGAGAGAGAGAGGAAGAAAAAGGAAATGTAGTATGTTTTATTTATTAAATTTGGAGAGAAGAGAAAGGAGTGAGTCAATGTTGTATATGATGACACGCTGTCTGCAAAACCAAGATCTGCAGGGTCATTTATGTTAACTAATTATGTTGATTTGTAAAATATATTTACAAAATGAGAGGTTGCTTTAGCTATACTGTTGACTCTTTAAACTTATTAGGTGGATATTAATGATTAGCTCATCCAATACATTTACTACACATAAAGATGAATCCAGCGTGGCAACTTATAACACACGCCTGCTTGTCGGTTTGTAAAAAAGGAGTGGATAATGTATTTACACATGGGCTTGGGCTTTTAAGTTATAGTGTTGGCAACCAAACGGTATTTTGATAATTGACCCGAGGGTAGGGTGGGCAATGATTTATTGACTTTGTGATACGTTACGTGAGAGCAGAGTTTCTTATTATCTTTACTTAATTGTGACCAATTCCAAGCATTAGAGAATTGAAAAGGCAAAATGATGTGAATCATTATTCTTTTCGTAGTGAGATCCAGCGTGAAGCATTTGCATATATATTCAAGGTCAAACAACATATCATGTTACCCTTCTTTTTCTTTCTCTCTAATGTGCCATTGCCACTACCAATACCTACCGTCATATTCCTATTCAAGGTCAAATAACATATCATGTTACCCTTCTTTTTCTTTCTCTCTAATATGCCATTGCCATTGCCACTACCAATACCAATACCTACCGTCATATTCCTATTTATAAATAGTTACAACTGAGAAGACTATTCTAACAACACCCAAATTGTGGGTTATTTAAAAGTAGTCATTGTCATATTATTATATTGAATAAGCATGCCTTTTTGTGGTTGTGTTCTTTAATTCAAAAATTGTTAGACGTTGTCCACGCTTTTTAACGCGTTACAATAAATCAAAACTGAATCCAGAGTAAAACCATTGATTAGGTCACAGACCATCAGCAACTGGTTCGTGTGTGAACTGATTTCATTTCATCTCATGTGCGTTTATAATAATTTAACAAAACAAGAGTGTTATTGTTTCTGAAAAAATAAAAAAGATTTAAAGACTTTAGGCAGATTACCAAATTGGATGGTTTTTATATGTAGGTCCGTCAAGTAATCATTATATATTTTTCAATCTCCTAATTGATTGATATAACATATGATTAAAGTTGTACACGCAATGCCAATAGGCCTAATGGATCCCTTTTTATCAAATTATAATTAATTTAACTAAATAACTAACTTATGACTTCGTGTAAACTAAGAAATTTGAAATTAAGCATTCATCACGCATACCATTATCACAAATTGAATAAAGGATGATATTCTATTGTTAAATTGTGTTTACTTTCTCCAAGAAAGACACCCTAAATTTTAGGAACCATTTTTATAACATTATCCACCACACCACCTCAATAAACCATATATTTTTTTATGTATATTATAGGCGTGAAACGTTCAAAACTTGCCAATAATAGGAGCTATTTTTTCTTTTAAAATAATGAATTGTAATTTACAGGTCAGCATATGATATTTTAAATTTATCAATTCAATCCAATTTATTCATCTAACAAGTTATCGATGTAACGCAAATAATAAAAATAAAAATCATATATCTTTTACTTAATAATTAATAACGGAAAAATATTTATTATGAAAAATCATAGGACGTGATTCTGATCATACAGAAGGTAATTTACATTGAAAACCTCTTAACAAAATTAAATGACACTAGTAAATATCCAAAAGAATAAAAGGCCGACCGACTTATGCATACCCAAGGTTTGTCGAAACGATAAGTTGGTATCCAAAAAGTTTTGAAATAACAAATAGGTACCTTCCGTCAGGTTCTGTTAGTGATTTTTATTTGATAATAGTGAAAAGACTAAAATGCCTTTAAAAATTTAATATTTTAGTTTTTTATAAATTTAAAAATTTTTAAAAATCCCCCTAGGTTTGCTAATTTGACTAAATACCCCAATATATAAAATTTTTATAAAATAACAAAAACACGCCCGTCACTCACAGTGCCAGATTCCGACCACCACCGCCGGAATCTGGCAGAAAAATTGCGTTACGACACAGACTCGTCGGATTCGTAACGCGTAGATCCAACATTTTCTGGCAAGATCCGTGGCTGATCTGGCCGAAAAAGGTCAAATTTACTGTCAGATATGACCGAAAAATCGTGTTACGACACAAACCCGTTGGATCTGGTCGGAAAATGCCAAATCGACGTATTACGACACAGATCCAACAGGTCTGTGTCGTAACACAATTTTTCGGCCAGATTCCGACGGTGGTGGCCGGAATCTGGCACTACGATGGTAGGGGTGTTTTTATTATTTTATAAAAAATTTATATATTGGGGTATTTAGTCAAATTAGCAAACCTAAGAGGTTTTTTAGAAATTTTTAAATTTATAAAAAGCTAAAATATTAAACTTTTAAGGGTATTTCAGTCTTTTTACTATTATCAAATAAAAATCACTAACAGAACCTGATGGAAGATACCTATTTGTTATTTCAAAATCTTTTGGATATCAACTATTGTTTCGACAAACCTTGGGTATGCATAAGTCGTTCGGCCAAAATAAAATTGAAAAGTCGTTACCGGCACTGGCTGTGGTCCTGTGGACTTTTGGAAGCCGCGTGGCCTGGTGAGAAGTAAAAGATTTTGACTCAAGAGTCAGATGATTGGAGTTACGAAAGAAGAAAAACACGAAACTGTAGCGATAGCTCTTGTCAGTTAGTTCTTACTCTTACTCCTTCGGTTCCTACTACTACTCCTAGGGTTTCAATTGTTTTTGGTTGCAACAATCTTGGAGAAAATGTCTCAGATCAGAGCATCCTCTTCTCTCATCCGACGACTCAAACAACGATTCGTAAATCCAGCTGTGTTAATTCATACTACATCTTTTACTACCGCAGAAGGACATCGCCCCATCATTGTACATAAGCGTAGTCTTGATATTCTTCACGATCCTTGGTTCAACAAGGTTATTCTCACGATTTCTTTGTTTCTTCAATTTACTAGTTTCAGTGCTTTAGCACAATTCTTTTCCGATCAATTTAATTCAGATTTGCAGGTTTGTCCTTCTTTTCAATTTGTTCGGGATTAATTACATTGTTTTAAGTTACCTCCGAATGACAACATCAATCTTTGGACCTGTTACATTTTGGACTTGCAACCGATCTGCTTTGAATTTGAAGTTGTATTTGATTGTTTTCGATTCATATGTCAGGGAACCGCATTTTCCATGACGGAACGAGATCGTCTTGATCTTCGAGGACTTCTTCCTCCAAATGTCATGTCTCGAGAACAACAAATTGCGCGCTTCAGTGAGTTTTTACTCTATTCTCTTTCCCCCTTCTGTTCACATGTTGGTTTACCAAATTTAATGTAGGCTGTTAGTTAGGGTAGGATTTTATAAATTTTAATTTGTAACTCTATGAATATCTAATCTATGCCATTAGCTGGAATACAATTAGCTTCTGAATTCTGAACAACAAATTAAGCATGGTGATGCTGTAGATTATTTTGTATTTTTTGTTGTTGTTTCACCATGTCAGTTTTCTCATCTTCAATCTTTATCAGTTGAAATTTGTTAATTAACAGTGGCTGACTTGAAGAGGCTTGAGGTGCATGCAAGAGATGGACCTTCTGATCCAAATGCTCTTGCCAAGTGGCGGATACTTAACCGATTGCATGATAGAAATGAGACAATGTACTATAAGGTAAGTGCTTTTTATATATTCTATTATGCGTGTATGTATAATTTCATAGAAATCATTGTCTAGAACCTTTATTTTGATTTAGAATATGTTGGTAGCTTTTCTACATTGATACGTCATATGTCCTACACTTGGTTGCACCACATCCATGCCCATGTTATTGAACTTGGGTTCAAATTTTATGCCCTGTTTTATTAATTTCTTTACTGTATAGGAATAGTAGGTTCTGTGCCTTTCTTTTTTCTTCCCCTGATGATTGTTATTACTAAATCATAGATTTTTTTTATGATTTTTCTTTAGCACTTCTGGTGGTTGAATTGTTTGCAATTTATGCTGGTTGGGGTTGTTAATAAAGTTTAGCGGATTTGAGTATCGGCTGCCGTTGTTTACTAGATATTTCTGATGGTAAATTTACTTCAAATTTGACAGGTTCTAATTGCCAACATTGAGGAATATGCACCTGTAGTTTATACCCCAACTGTAGGTCTTGTTTGTCAGAACTACAGTGGTTTGTTTAGAAGACCAAGGGGAATGTATTTTAGTGCTGAAGATCGCGGAGAAATGATGTCAATGGTTTACAACTGGCCTGCTGATCAGGTGTTTATTACTGTTCATATGTTTAATTGATTTCGTACCAACTTCTGTGCTTATTGCTCTGTTTATTTGTTTATTTTTCTTAAGTACAGGTTGATATGATTGTTGTTACGGATGGAAGCAGAATATTGGGTCTTGGAGATCTTGGAGTTCAGGGAATTGGAATTGCTATTGGGAAGTTGGATTTATATGTTGCTGCTGCTGGGATAAATCCTCAACGGGTAATTTCTTGATGAATATCTTAATGCATCATGGAGTACAACAAAGTTTATCCGTAATTGAGTTTGGTTTGTAAACACCGTTTTGGGAATTGGATTAACAGATCCTTGGAAAAAGCTTGCATTTACTTTCTAATTTATGAGTGCTCTGAATCCATAATTCAACTAAGCCCGTTAAAGTGAAAATTCAGAAGAAGTAGTGAATTGGAATATGTTTACTTTTGGTCTGCATCTATCATATCATTTGGAGGCACATGATATTAATGTTTGAGCTTCAATCTCCACTTCTTTCTGCTTGTTATATTTTGTCCACCTTTTGCTGCTGATTGCAGATGTCTCTACATTGTATTAGATGCTTCTTGACTATTTACTCTGGTTTTTTCATGATGGCATTTACTGATTTCATCCTTCCTTCCCCCATATCCCTGTGGCATTAGGTGCTACCTGTCATGATTGATGTTGGAACTAATAATGAGAAGCTGCTTAAAGACCCCCTTTGTAAGTATATATATATATATATTTTTTTTTTGTCCGTTTCTTGGGGTCTCCTAAGAAAATGTTGTAGCAGTAGTACCTGCGTTATTCATCCTAACAAAAAGTTGATCATTTGTTCTTTATTATAGATTTGGGCTTGCAAGAACACCGTCTTGATGGTGATGATTATGTTGCTGTCATTGATGAATTTATGGAGGCAGTATTCACTCGTTGGCCACATGTGATTGTGCAGGCAATATTTATTGTTCCATTATCATGTAAGCGTACAAATGCATTTAAAAATTACCTTTATTAAATATATGATATCAACTTTGGGTTCTGCAGTTTGAAGATTTCCAGAGCAAGTGGGCCTTCAAGCTGTTGCAGCGGTACAGAAATACCTATAGAATGTTCAACGATGATGTCCAGGTAATCGTAATTTCCCTGTTATTCTTATAGCTTTTCTTATTTATGAGTTAATCTCCTATTTAATATGTGCTCAACTTTTTCTAATGATTTATCATGCAGGGTACAGCTGGGGTTGCAATTGCTGGCCTTTTAGGAGCTGTGAGGGCACAAGGAAGGCCAATGATTGATTTTCCAAAGCAAAAGATTGTTGTTGCTGGTGCTGGAAGGTCAATTTTTTATTTTACCTTAGGTTTTAAGAGGCATCTTTTTTTTTTTTTTTTTTTTTTTTTTTTTTTGAGAAGATGAAATGGTTACGAGGTGATACTCAGTAAACTGATATCAGCAATGGGAGCCAATGGATTTTGTATCTATTGATTGGTGTCATATTATTTTATTATGATTTTTTATTATTAAAGCACAGCATGTAGCTGCTAAAAAGCTTCAGCCATAGACGAGATCTAGAACATGAATCATATTTCCGCCTTGCTGGATCGGACATATTCAATGATCTATGCAGAAGTGAATTCGTATCAGAAATGTTATACAGGAGTAGTATTCCAGGTCTTTTAAATTGAAGAAAACTACCAGGCTAAAAAATGAAGCATGTTTGTAATATTTTTATTCTGTGAAGTGGCTAGTAAGATCCACTGTAACATGTGGATCTTATAATCTTATTTCATTTGTTTGTGATGCTTCATTTTGTTGTACATCTTTTTATATCTAGTGCAAATTGAAGCATGCTTGATGCAAATTATCACAACTTTTTTGCATGATCTTTCAACTGTTGCAGTGCTGGCATAGGGGTTCTGAATGCTGCCAGGAAGACAATGGCAAGGATGCTAGGGAATACTGAAACTGCTTTTGATAGTGCACGGAGTCAATTCTGGGTAGTTGATGCCAAGGTGAGCGGTCGCCCTGACTGTTCTAACTTAAATATGGAGATTTGACTCTTTTACTAATTGGGCGGCAGCCACCTATTATTGGGGACAGTTGTCAGGTGTTCCCTGGATGGGTAGTGGACCCAATGTGTTTTTATTTGGAATATAGTAAAACTTTTTCTTGTGATATCTTGGCTAAACTATGTAACCTTACTGAGGTATGAGGACCTCATTTTTCTCCTAGTGCTGGCCTTTATTTTGATGTGTTAAAATGTATAAATTGTATGCACCCTTTACGTCAAGCATTCATATCTTGTTATGTGAACGGAGATTCTTTTCCAATAGCCTGAAATGATAATTACATTGGTTTTTCCTTGTTACATCCAGGGTCTTATCACAGACGAGCGTGAAAATATTGATCCAGATGCCCTGCCTTTTGCAAAGAAGGTGAAAGAAGTTGGTCGTCAAGGATTAGGGGAAGGCGCAAGTCTTGTTGAAGTGGTTTGTGAAATTTCCTGACACAAATATAATATTGTTATGTAATATATTTCTATTAAACTGTAGTGTTAATATATAATGTATATTAAACAGGTGCGGCAAGTGAAGCCTGATGTGCTTCTTGGGTTATCTGCTGTTGGAGGATTGTTTTCGAAAGAGGTATAGAATGACCGTGAAAATTATTTACATAAATCTTCTTTTTCTACTGTTCTTTAACAGGATAGTCAAATTTGCATTGAAACTTTTAAGAGGGGTTTAAAGATTATGATATTTGATGGGAGCAAATATATATAAATTGGGAATGCCCATTGGAAATTAATTTATTTTTACATCCCAGAGCTGTGTCATTTATTGTTTGTCATGTTCATTCTTACTTGATTTAGTTCGTAGACAATGTAAAAGTTGATGGATTTATTTTTACATCCCAGAGCTGTGTCATTTATTGTTTGTCATGTTCATTCTTACTTGATTTAGTTCGTAGACAATGTAAAAGTTGATGGTCTGAAATTGGATACTTAGTGAGGATGGAAAAAATTAGCCTTGTTGGCTGAATGTTATTACTATGACTATACTCGTATATTTATGTTCTCATCTGAGTACATCAGAATGTGATCAATAAGTCATTTTTGTAGAATTTGTTAGCTTAGATCTTTATCAGAGTTTAAGTATTCTTCTAGTTTATTTGTTTTGCAAAGTCCATGACATGCATATGCTATCTTAGGTGTTAGAGGCTATGAGAGGTTCAACTTCAACTAGACCAGCCATCTTTGCAATGTCAAACCCCACAAAAAATGGTATGGCTTCCTCGTATTATTGTTTAAAAAAAAAAAAAAAAAATTATGGTAAATTATACTATTGTTGCCAACTTTGAATCAGGACTATTTTTCTGATTGTCTTTCTGTTCCAACAGCTGAATGCACACCAGAAGAAGCATTTTCCATTGTTGGTGACAATATTATATTTGCAAGTGGCAGCCCCTTTAAAGATGTTGATATGGGTATGTATGAAGGCAACTGCATTGGATATTTTGCAACATCTTTTATATTTCATAGCTATTGTAATTGTCTCCTGATGTTGGTGGAACTATGGTTCCGTCAACTAATTTAGGGCCTTTTGGAATTGTAGAATAGGTAGAGGTACATACATGCCTTGATAACCATCTTGATTGACAGACATGGACATGTCACATGTCACATGTTACATGCACATATGTTTATGACTTTAAGAGCTTTGTTAACCACAATGTTGAGTCTTGCAGGAAATGGTCATATTGGGCACTGCAATCAGGGAAATAACATGTACCTCTTTCCAGGGTCAGTTATCCTATTCCACTTCTTAGTAGTCAATCTTAATGGAATTTGTGTGCACAACAGATCTAGGTGTTTTATTTAGTTTTGTAATTTACAAATTTATTCTTGCAGTATTGGACTTGGTACTCTTTTATCTGGCTCAAGGATTATATCTGATGGCATGCTACAGGCTGCAGCAGAGTGGTATTCTCATCTGTTCTCTCTGAATTAGCTTCTGTTGGATGGATATTTCTGTAAATGCTGCATTTTTGTTTTTTTTTTTTTTTTTTTTTTTTTAATCTCTGATTATAAATATTCTTTCTGGCCTTAATGTGATACAGATGTTTTTTGCTGTGGATCCAATAAATGTCCAAAATTATTTTATATTTTCGTTTTTGTTCTTTTTCAACATGCAAGGAAATGCTTTTGCCATTGCATTGATTTTTTGACATGGAACTGAATTACAGCCTAGCTGCGTACATGACGGAAGAGGAGGTTCTCCAGGGGAAGATATTCCCGTCAATATCTAGGTAAATAGTTGTTCTTTTCCCTGTTGAGGTAGTTATAACAAATTTTGGCTCAGTACATTGAACTTATTATTTATGCAGCATACGAGACATAACAAAGAAGGTAGCTGCAGCCGTTGTGAAGGAAGCTATCGAAGAGGGTTTGGCAGAGGGTTACCGTGAGACAGATGCCCGAGAGCTGCAAAGACTTAGCCAGGTATTATTGCTATTACAAAAATAATCGTGTGGTACATTGGGAAAAACGTGAGTCCAGGGTTCCAAAATTTGAAAGTTTGATGGGAGAACGACTTACACATACCCAAGGTTTACCAAACGATAAGTTGGTATCCAAAAGGTTTTGAAACGACTAGAGCGGGTATTTGGGACCGGGCCCAAATACCCAGCTCTAAAATCTGGTCCTAGGACCGGTCCTTGAGAGGACCGGACTTAGGAGGCCTGGTCCCAAAACGAGACCAGGCCTAAGGAGGAGGGCCCGAGCCCTCCACTGGGCCCTCCTCCAAGGCCTGGGCCTGGGACTGGGCCCAAAAAATGTTGTATTTTTTTAATGTAATCCCCTGCCAAATCACATAAAACCCCTTGTTAATTTTAAAATAAATATAAATTACGAGGGCTAAAATAAAATTTTACAAAATTATAAAAAAAAAAAAATCTTCCAGGTCTAAAAAATTTATAAATTTTACCCCTAAAAAATACTAAAAACCTCCTATAAAATTTCGTTTTGCCCCAAAAATATAAAAAAAATTGAGGGGGGAAAAATGAAATTATCTAAGGCCCATGTGACCGGTCCTGGGCCCATGGGACCAGTCCCGACCAGGCCTAGGGCCTGGTCTGGGTCCTGGTTTTTCTCATGGGCCTGGGATCGGTCTCAGGCCCATGAGTGACTGGTCCCATTTGGGACCAGTCCCAAGGGACCGGTCCCTTGCCCAGCTCTAGAAACGACAAATAGGTACCTTCCGTCATATTCTGTTAGTAATTTTCGTTTGATAATAGTGAAAAGACTAAAATGTCCTTGAAAGTTTAATATTTTAGTTTTTTATAAATTTAAAAATGTCTAAAAAACCCCATAGGTTTGCTAATTTGACTAAATAACCCAATATATAAAATTTTTATAAAATAACAAAAACACCCCCGCCACCCGCAATGCCAGATTCCGGCCACCACAGCCGGAATCTGGCCAGAAAATTGTGTTACGACACAGACCTGTCGGATCTGTGTCGTAACGCATCGATCTGGTCTTTTCCAGCCAGATCTTCCACATATTTAGCGGGAAAATGCCAGATCGACGTGTTATGACATAGATCCGAAGGGTCTGCGTCGTAACACAATTTTCCGGCAAGATTCCGGCCTCGACGGCCAGATCTGGTCGTAGATCTGGCCTTTTCCGGCCAGATCAGCCACGGATCTTGCCGGAAAATGCCAGATCTATACGTTACGACACAGATTCGATGGGTCTATGTCGTAACGTAATTTTTCTGCCAGATTCCGGCGGTGGTGGCCGGAATCTGGCATTGCGGGTGGCGGGGTTGTTTTTGTTATTTTATAAAAAAATTATATATTGGGGTATTTAGTCAAATTAGTAAACCTAAGGGGTTTTTCAGAAATTTATAAAAAACTAAATATTAAACTTTCAAGGGCATTTTAGTTTTTTCACTATTATCAAACGAAATTACTAACAGAACATGACGGAAGGTATCTATTTGTCTTTTCAAAACCTTTTGGGTACTAACTTGTCGTTTTGGTAAACTTTGGATATGCGTAAATCGTTCAGCCAAGTTTGACAAACATAAATATTTCACATTTGCAGCTGCAGGAGGAACTTCTAGAATATGTGGAGACGAACATGTGGAATCCTGAATACCCTACATTGGTTTACAAGGAGGATTAATCCACACGACCCAAAATCCTCACAAGATAGATTTGCCCAAGAACAAAATTTGAACAGTCGACTGATCTGAAGCAGTTGTCAAGATCTTTGTACGAGAACAAAATAACAGACAAATACTGTTGCCAGAAATATGTAATTGTTGGCATGGTACTCTTAAATTGTGTCAATGCGGCTGTATCTAATTCTTTATTTGTAGATGTCAACTGACTTTGTTTATTTTTTTAACTGTTTAGAATGCACGAGGGGTTTGTGTTCGACATCAATCCCGGGGTTGAATTAATCTTAAATTATAGTTGAAAAATACTGTGTAGAGCTTATTAAATTTGGTTGGCTGTGCTGTGATACTGCCACCTCATCGACTTAAATTGCATAGCCAATAATTACGACTTATAGGATATTGTTTATCAGAATCAGACAACGTTGAAAATATCGTGACACCTTTTGTGTCATTAACATGTCGATGCACATTTTGTTTAATCTAAATGTCCTAAATGAATAATTTACTTAATGAACAAGAAGTCTAGAAGTTTTATAGACCGTTGGAAGATTCTTTTTGGGTCGCTCACAGCCGTCCATTTTGAATGATATGATAGTTTACAATTAACTGTAGGGGTCCACATTTTTTGAAAATTCAAAATTCAAACGCGTGAAAGTAAACTTTCCCGTTTATACAATTTTTTTTAATTTAAAGAAACAAAAACAACTAAATCCATAGGCCACTAATTACAACGGGTAACCAATATACCATGCTGACTATATGTTTCACCAGCCTAAAACACGGGTAATGTTTCTCTGTGTCTATCTCAGACTTAAGTGCTACGCTATCACTTCCTCCAGTCAAAGCCGTTTCTTCTTCTAGGGTTTTCTTCTTCTACGCTATCACAAAGCTTATCAGATCTCAGGGTTTAGGCAAAAACTAATTGGAGTTGAAAATGACGACGATGGAGAGCTTGATTGGACTGGTTAATAGAATTCAGAGAGCATGTACTATGCTCGGAGATTACGGAGGTGGTGATAACGCTTTTTCTTCTCTTTGGGAAGCTCTTCCTTCTGTCGCCGTCGTTGGCGGCCAGAGTTCTGGAAAATCTTCCGTGCTTGAAAGCATAGTTGGCCGAGACTTTCTTCCCAGAGGATCCGGTTCGTTTTCTTTCTTTATTTTCCTTTGTTCGCTGATTTTATATCTGACAAGTTAACTAATTGTTAAAAATATACATTGATTGCAGGAATTGTTACTAGACGGCCTCTTGTTCTACAGCTTCACAAGACAGAAGATGGTTCACAGGAGTACGCTGAGTTTCTTCACTTGCCCAAGAGGAGATTTACGGATTTCTGTATGTCTAATCTCTTTACTTGTATGAAATTAAAATCATTTTTAAAAGCATGTGAATATTTGCAACTGAATTTACTTGTATGAAGTTAAAATAAATTTTGGTTTTCAAAGTATTTGGATGTCTCCTACTAAACTTGTCTTATTTTATTGTTGGGTACAGCTGCGGTTCGTAAAGAAATTCAGGATGAAACAGATAGAATGACAGGGAGGACCAAACAGATATCTCCCGTTCCTATCCATCTTAGTATCTACTCTCCCAACGGTCTGTTTTTTTATGTTTTTAATTTCTTCGCTATCTGTTTATTTTTATTTTTAATGTTTTTATTTTATTCACTATCTTTATAATATATCATTTTTTTATGTGTTTCTTGCTAACACCACCCTTAACTTGCAGTTGTCAACTTAACCCTGATTGATTTACCTGGTCTCACTAAAGTTGCCATTGGTATGCTTTCTATTTTTTTATTATGAGGTGCACTTTCTGCATTTTACTAATTTAACTAACAGTTTGAGCTCGCATGTTATTCTTTTCAGAGGGGCAGCCTGAAAGTATCGTTCAAGACATTGAGAGTATGGTGCGAACATATGTTGAGAAGGTAACAGAACTTCTTTGTTTCTTTATATTGTCTAATGTGATTTCTGTCTGGTGGGATCTTGTACACGAATTTAATTCATATGTCAAATAATGTTAATTTTTTTATTTACAGTCTACTGCTTCATTGTTTTATTATATAACATTTGCTCATTTGATTTTTGTAGCCTAATTGTGTCATACTAGCTATATCTCCGGCTAATCAAGATATAGCAACTTCTGATGCCATCAAACTCGCTAGGGAAGTTGATCCAACTGGTATGAACCCATTAGTGTTTTCAGTATCTGAATAATATATATATTTTGCTGAAACTTCTCTTGCAGTTTGATCTTCAAATTCTAATACATTAAGTAACTGTCCCAGGTGAACGTACTTTTGGGGTGCTGACAAAGCTAGATTTGATGGACAAAGGAACAAATGCATTAGATGTAAGCTCTCAGTGTATCTTTGTGTTTTTGATATCCTTATCTGATCTCAAGTTCTCAGTTGTTGGGATGAACGTTCGGTAATATTTGGTCTATTAGAATTAATCGGAGATACTTTATATTATCACCAGAATCTTTATATTTTCAGGTTTTGTTTCTCTTTTTAATTTAACCACTTAATTGTTGGAATATGTTCCCTCCTAAGGTTCTTGAAGGAAGATCTTATCGACTGCAACATCCCTGGGTTGGAATTGTTAATCGCTCGCAAGCAGATATAAATAGAAATGTTGATATGATTGTTGCTAGGCGCAAGGAGCGTGAGTATTTTGCTACAAGTCCAGACTATGGACACTTAGCCAGCAAAATGGGTTCAGAGTATCTTGCAAAACTTCTCTCAAAGGTTTGATTTAGAGCATCTAGTAGTTGGAGATTAGTTTTTTGTTTTCTTGAATATCATTTTGATTATGTGCTCTGTTTTCAGCATTTGGAGTCTGTAATTAGGGCTCGAATACCAAGTATCACTTCCTTGATAAATAAAACCATTGAAGAACTTGAATCGGAAATGGACCATCTCGGTCGGCCTATTGCTGTTGATGCTGGGGTGAGTGGCTCAAACCTCATAATTATTTTTTATTAAGTTGTATTTTTATGCTTTATTTTATAATATATTGTAGGCTCAGCTATACACTATCTTGGAACTATGCCAAGCATTTGACCGGATATTTAAGGAGCATCTGGATGGAGGGTAAATTGCCATCATCTTTAATGCTTTCTCTCTTGAGTTATTTTCTAGAACTCTTAGAGTTTTCTAGCAGATTAATTCTGGTGGTTAAGGGTTCCTTCTTTCTTTTTCTTTTCTTTTAATCTCTGGCATGATTTTTGGCTTGAGCAGTTGTAAATCATGCATTTTTGAGTTGATTTCATATACTGAAATTCTTTTTATGGAAACCTTTTTCTTTTGCTTTCTGTTCTGGCCACTAACTGATATAATTTCAAAGAGATAGCTTCTTGTTGGGAGATTTTGGATTTGGTTTATTAAGAATTCGCAGCTCAAAAAACTGTTTGGCAATCTGTATTAGTTATTGGTACAACCCAAACATAGTTTATATCTTTAACATCAATTGCATATATAGTATCTAATGCTCTGATAGCTTGCATGGGATTGATTTTTTATCTCAGGCGACCTGGGGGTGATCGTATTTACGGAGTCTTTGACAACCAACTTCCAGCTGCTTTAAGGAAGCTTCCATTTGATCGGCATCTTTCTCTGCAGAATGTAAGGAAAGTGGTGTCCGAGGCAGATGGTTATCAACCTCACTTAATTGCTCCGGAGCAAGGTTACAGACGCCTAATTGAGGGGTCACTAAATTTTTTTAGAGGCCCAGCTGAAGCTTCAGTGGATGCTGTAAGTTGTATTGCCTTCTGTAGTATGTACATATTAGGAGTTTGTTTCCTCTGAAATGAATGTTCCAGTTTATCTGGAAGCTGTGAAAATCTTAATGGAAATATCAGAAGATCTTTATGGAATCCTAAATTATGATGCAGGTGCACTTTGTCTTGAAAGAGCTTGTGAGGAAGTCAATAGGAGAAACTCAGGTGAATCTTTCAGAATTTGTGTGAGTTGTTTGTCTAGAAAATCACACCTATAAGAGGAAAATGGATTTAAGTCTTTACTTTTTGTTTGATAAACAGGAGCTGAAGCGCTTTCCCACTCTGCAAGCTGAGATAGCAGCTGCTTCAAATGAGGCCTTAGAGAGGTTTCGTGATGACAGTAAGAAGACGGTTATCCGTTTGGTGGATATGGAATCTTCATACTTAACAGTTGATTTCTTTAGGAGGCTTCCCCAGGAAGTGGATAAAGGAGGACATCCTGCTACCTCAACCGTGGATCGGTATACAGAAGGCCATTTTAGGAGGATAGCGTCAAATGTATCTTCTTACGTGGGTATGGTGTCAGAGACGCTTAGAAACACTATTCCAAAGGCAACAGTATATTGTCAAGTAAGGGAGGCCAAACAGTCATTATTAAATCACTTTTACACCCAAATAGGGAAGAAAGAGGTATTGTCTTGCTCTCGCCAGTGCATTTACAGGGGTGATGTTACTCAATTCCTAATGTTTTGTTAATTGTTTCAGGGTAAGCAGCTTGCACTATTGTTAGATGAAGATCCAGCATTGATGGAAAGAAGACAACAATGTGCTAAGAGGCTTGAGTTATACAAGTCAGCTAGGGATGAAATTGATTCGGTCTCATGGGCTCGGTGATGTTTATTTTTATGTGTACCTTGTATCATAGTCATCCAGATGATTTCGTTAACTATTTGGTCTGTTAATTTTTTTTTTTTTTTTTTTTCTTCCTCTCATTTTCTCTATAGTCTGTAATATCTTGTATTGTTGAGATTGGGTTTGGTTTGGGATGCCAGATACTTGTAATGTCTGATAGTATATGTTATTTTATTTGATGTTCTATCTTCTCCTCTGTAAGAAATTGACGGCTTCCCTTTTAAATATATATTAAATTTTGCTCATTCTTTTTATTTTTTATATTGTGTGAAGTTATACGTGTAGAATCACTTACCGTGGTCTTAGTTCTTTTCGACTTTTTTCATCTGATTTTTTTTGCTTCTTATGGTACATTGTGGGATATGGCAGACAACTGCTCAGCAATTGACAATTTCTCACCCAAGGTTTGATAAAATCCCAAGTTGGTACTTCTGGTTTCATTTATTCTAGATTTTCACCTTTAAAGTGACGGAAAATTGTTGGATATAATGGTTAAGCGGTAAATTGGTCATTTTGCATGAGTTAAGGAGGCACATATTAGTAGATCTTCGTCCTTAATAGTGCTCTGACACACATTAGTTGATGTCGTCTTTGATGTTTTTCACTTTTTTTCCAATGATTCTTTGACCCAAAATCACCCTTGTCACCACCATTCGAACCTTCATCCGCCCCTCTACAAAACCTTAAAACCTTACCTTCGGCCTTCACAACCCCTCATCACTCGTCGATCGTCAGTCATGACAACGGCTACATGCGACTGGTTTGTATCGGTCTCGACCGACGAACGACTATTAAATGGTTGTTAGGGACATAGGGGTTTTGTAGAGTTGGAGACTCTGGTTGCAGTGGTGATGTCTAATTGGATTTTCGTCACCAGAATCCAGCGAAGAACAGTGAAACCCTAAGCCTTACGGTGCCGGTGATTGGAGGGGCCAATGAGTCAGGAACTAGAAGGGTTTTGGACAACGAACGATAGGGAAGGTGATGGAGGTGACTAGAGGGTTCAACGCTGTTGGAAACAATCCAGATCCAACAAAAATCGAGAGGGTGCGCAATCACTGAGGGTGTTATTAAAGTAATTTGAACATAAGATGGTTACTTATAATTTTAGTAATTTAGAGGTTAAAACGTAATTTATTTATTTATTTATTAAGGGCATTATGGTAATAGCATTTTCTATAATCTAAAAATTGCTAATAGTGTTATTTTAAGAGTGGAAATCTAGAATAAATGAAACTAGAGATACGAAATTAGGATTTGGTCAAACCTTAGGTGGGAATATGTTTACTCTTTTTTTTTTTTTTTTTTTTTTCTAATAACTGAGATATCGAATACAATTATCTATTAAACCCGTTTCATCTTTAGGGTTACAGAAAACCAATGACCACATGGCTAAAAGCCACGCGCTCTACGATTAAGCTAAGACAGCTGTTCCCTTATTAATTTCGCTACTCAACTTGTCAATTTTTGCTTAAATTTGTTACGTAAAATGTTTAAATTAAATTGACAATATAATAATTTTTCAAAAACTCTATAATTATACCGGAAAAATCACATAAAGACAAGGTAGCTAATAGGGGATTTAACATTCTTAATGGGTCCTACTCTACTACAGATGAACATTCCATTTGGGCTTTGAAAACTTAAGTCTAAGCGAAGCCCCAGACCATATATGGGGAACTTCAGAGTACCAAATACACACTCCAGCGTCTGGGGAACAACATCGCATATGTATCAGAATAGACGCCCATAAGGTGTTGTGAGAATAAGAAGAAGAAGAAGTGGGTATCTGTATTTTGTAGTAACTGGTAAGAGAAGCTGTCGGCCTTCTTCGCCCGAGAGTGATAAACCAGCTAACATATGTTGTAGCGTTAAACCCCAAAGACACGGATATGGTTTTCTGTTTCAGAGGAGGTTTTACTCAGTTACAACTATGGCAGATTCCCTGTTCTAAAATTTACATTCCTACCTCTAAAGGTTCTTCTTTTCTTTTTTATATCTCTATATTCCCCTTCATTTTTTTTTTCTTTTATTTCTTCAATTTCACATTTCTTTTTGTTACCAGGCGCAACAAAATATCCCAACTTCTGGTTATGTAGAGAAATGCAAACCTCCACATCCACACCTCAAATTGTACACAACAAACCAAAGGTACATTTCCTATTCATTTCTTTTATTCATTGTTTTGTTAAGTTAATTATTTATTTATTTTTTTATAGGATAAAATTGAAAGTGTTGGTGCATTTCAAAAACTACCTATGGTGATGCCTTCCGTTGATATTTTGTATTCGGCTATGAGGAAGGCCAAGAGAGTCTCACCCACTAAAGGTTATTGGGTTTTATCTACATGCGTCTTTTTTTTTCCCTATTATTGATATGTAAAATAACAATAGGTGGATAATAGAATATATTTTGCTTTACCAGGCATTGCTAATATTGCAAAGCGAGAGAGAAACCGAGCTGCAAAGCAACTTGATGCACTGATGAAAGTATGCCCTGTCCTTTTATTCTTATTATACACATTTTATTTTCTATTAAAGCTGAAATCTTAGATTTTTAATTTTTTATTCAGGAATTGGCGGTTCCGTTGAGAAGTTATTTGGAAAATTTTCCCAAGAAAAAATATTTGCATCCTTATGAAAGATCTCTTATTGAGTTGACACTTGGGGATGGCATATATGAAGAGGTAATCAAGTTTTTTTAACTTGTTATTATGTTGAAATCATTTAGAATTTGTTGTTATATATGTCCAATTCAAATGCACTTATGCATTGGTAGGTTTTAAAGAAAGTGGATGCTCTGAGGAAGAAGGTGGTATCTGTCGGGAAAGAACATGCTTCTCTATGTGCTAAGGTTAGCCTCTTACCTCAAAAACTGAATCCTATTCATTATCTTCTGGGACCTCTCCCAGTTGTTGAATTGGTGGAAAATGGTGTGTAGTCCAGTACCATTAAGATGAAAATTTGAGCCTTTTTGGGGCTCATTTTTGCATGTTCATGCGTCATGCTTAGCTTCTAGTTCTCCCATTGTTTTCCTTAGATGCTCTTGGAGGCTGTCTGGTTAATTCATGATCTATCGCTCCTTTATTTGTGAAACAATCGTTTTTTTAAGTGACCAGTTAATTTATTCTGTGCAGTCTTTATCTAAGCGAGAAGCAGGTGAGCGATTGGGTGAGGTCAGTTATCCTTGTGCAAAGTAATGAATACATCTTCTGTTGATATAAATAAACGTTAACCATTTTACTACTTTCTGCAGGGTATGGAAAGACTTGAGGACATTTTTAACTGTGAAGGAAAAGCTGTTGATGATTTATTGAATATCGCTAAGGTATCTTTCCTTTGAAATGCACTAGTGATTTATTGTATTTTGGGTTTTAGAAAACTATCGTAAGCTGGTATGTTTTCAGATGGATACATATTTCGATATAAGAAATTTATATTGAAAAATTTGGTATTAGTCGCATTTGATTTTTAATGAATCGCTTCATGACCAAGCTATTGGATTCATCATGCCAGAGGATGAATTTGTTACTGTACTATTTCCTTGAGGAGTCACTTTGAGAAAGTTCTCTTGAAATGGTATTAATTTGTAAGTGTCATGAGACATGACCTTCTTATAACTGTAAAATTTTGATCTTTTCCTAGTTCTAGTTATAATTTGAGGGAATTCATGGCCCTCCCATTGACATCATTTAGTAAATTTCAAAGTTATGTTGTCTAAATTTAAATCTTGCCACAGTTTCCAGTGAAGTTTGAAACGTTGATTTTCTGATTGCCCAAGACAGAGAGGTGGTGTTTCATCTACCTCCTAGTTTTATGAATTATTATCAGACTACACTTTACAGCTTTTTGATATACCTTTTCTGATTCTATGCTTTAGTAACCTCACTGTTGGCATTGGTAATATGGTCTTATCATGTTACAACTGATAATATCTGCTGGTCTCGTTTATTTCATGGTTTACAGACTTTGCGGGCCATGCCAGTAGTTGATCTGGAAACGCCGACTCTCTGTCTTGTTGGAGCTCCTAATGTGGGGAAGTCGTCTTTGGTTCGTGTACTCTCCACAGGAAAACCCGAGGTCTGCAACTACCCATTTACAACTAGAGGAATTCTAATGGGCCACATTACTCTAAGCTATCAGAATTTTCAGGTTGTTATTTTATTTTGGCGTGGAATGCTATCAGTTTTAAATTTATATATCATGATTTTGTTTACATTGGAAAACTTAATTGATTGTAGGTGACGGACACACCTGGCCTATTGAGGAGAAGTGATGGTAAAACACACTTGTTATTTGTTGATTTTTGTCTAATTGATTGTGTGAAATTGTCTTAGTGGGTGTTCAAACCACAGCCCATCTCTTTCACTCTTTATCCATTGCATGTGTGTGTAGACACATGTTCATGCACATGAATGTTTTTGCTAATCTTGACTCTGCAATAGGATAATGGAGGACAACCAATTGATATATTTTGAAAGGGTTTCTTAACTTGCAAAAGAGCAGAAATGGAGAAATTTTTTGATAATATTTCAAACAGACCAAAAGATACATTTAGAATATATTGAACCATTATAAATTTTTCTTCTTTTTGTGTCCTTATCATGTGAGTTGTATCAAGAAACATCCAATGTCCCTTGATAATGTAACTTATATTTTATTACATGAAATATGATTGGTGTATTTAGCTGCACTATTGATCATGTTCATTTCTTGGTTTAACCTGCAGATGACAGGAATAATTTGGAAAAGTTAACTCTTGCTGTTCTCTCACATTTGCCTACAGCGATACTATTTGTCCATGATCTGTCTGGAGAATGTGGAACCTCACCTTCTGATCAGGTACTAATTTCATTGCTCTGATCACTTTGCCATATGTGAAAATGCTCATTTCAACTATATGTCCTCATCCGTGTTTGTTTGTTTTGGTCTAATATTGTATCATGCAGTTTAAGATATACAAGGAGATTAAGGAAAGGTTCAGGGATCATCTTTGGCTTGACGTCATCTCAAAATGTGATCTGCTGCATACATCTCCTGTTGTTTACATCACAGAAAGCGGAGATGGTGAGCATCTTGCAATGGCCAGTTATCGGAAAATGGGACCTGATGGAGCAATCTGTGTATCAGTAAAGAATGAAGAAGGGCTTGATGAGGTTATTTGACCCTTTTAATCTATATCTTTTATTAACATCATTGCATTGCTTCAACCCTCCAGTGAATGTCCTTTTTCAATATTACTTTTTAATTCATCTGCACAACCGTGTTGTGCTGGGACTGGTGGGTCCCACTGTGAGAAGTATTCCAGCCATGATTTTGAACTTTTGGTTTTAACTTTATATGGTTATAGGAGACTAGTCAATGGGGATTTTTCTCCCCTTAATATCCGCCTCAAATGAGGAGTTACATGATATGGAAATTTCTTTTATGTCTTAGGTAATTTCTGAATAAATTTTGCTTCAATGGTTTACATTTTCTTGAAGTTCTCATTAGATTGAATAACTTATTTGCTGCAGCTTAAAGATAAAGTGCATGAGCTGCTGGTTGCACAGATGGATAGAATTGGAAGTGGAAGCAATAGTGATAGTCCTGAAGTTGTTACATAAACCATTCCTCTGTAACTGCAAGAACATTGAGCTTTGGATTAAGTTTGATGATGAGATTACCGGCTAACTCAAACTCTGCCATGTTGTGGAAAAAAAGCTTGGGGAGTGGGAGTGAGATTTGGTGTTACGTACATAAAGCAAGGACATGGAGTTGATCATTCAGAGTTATCACATGCCNCTGTTTTCCATGTATAATGTCCATTTCATGTCTAGGAGAGACCCGGCATTAATTTGTGGTGCATTAAACTGAAAGCTAGGCTGGCCTTCTCATTGGCCTGACTGTATGTTTTCCTTTAAGTCATAGTACTACCAATCTATAACACAAATCTGACAAATAGAGAACTCATACATCCAACTATTTATTGCATTACATATACACATACAAATGTATGTGAAGAGAATTGCACCCCACAATTAAGGTGAAGAAGGACTCTTCAAGTGATTAAGGGTTAAGCAGACGAACCTTCCTTCAAGGTTCCACCCCCGATATCAAATTTGTATATATTGCCCACTGTTTTAAAAACCGGACTGGACCTACCGGTCCAACCGATTGGATCAAAAACCGGTCACGTGTCCGATTCGAGTCAACACCAAAACTGCCATAATGCAATAAGCCGCTTTAAGTCGTTTAAAACTGGATAAATTCAGGTTGGACCGGCAGATAAATCGATCGAAATTTTAAAAACCCCTAAATCCCTAATACGCAATCGCAGCCCTTTCTCTGTTTCTCAGCTTCTTCTCTCTCAGTTTCTCTGCGAAAATTTCTCAGCTTCTTCTCAGCTCTCTACGAAAATTTCTCTCTGAAATCTCACTCAAATCACAATCAACTCCACTCCCTAAAGTCTGAAATCGACGACGACATCTTCCTCCCTCGCCGAAAATCGACGACGACAGTTCAGTTCCTTGCTGGAAATCGATGGCAACAGCTCCATTCGTTGACGACAGCTCCATTCCTCGCTCCAGCTCCATTCCTCGCTCCATTCATCTTATTGAGAGATCTAATCAACTTCTCCTCTTTTAAATCTACTACCATTATTTTATTTCACCTTTACAGATGTTGATGCTTCTTTATGCATTGTGCGGATGTAGAATTCCATGATAACTTTATATTATTTGTTATGCTCTCGATAATTGATTTCCTTCTTTAATGCAAATGCCCTGATATTTTATTGGATTACTTATGCAGATCATATATTTCAGATACAAGTTAGCCGGCTCTCATGGGTACCGTTGTTGAGGATCCAAAGAGGGTACCGATTTCCATTTCCTTAACCTTAATTCCATGCCATCGTTTCTGATCTCTACTGTGATGATCCAATTTTTTTCAGAGAAAATTTTTATTAAGTAAAAAATCCCATTTTTAATTAAATATGTTTCTGAGGGAATTTTTTCAAAAAGAAATTAAAAAGGTCCAAACAATGATATGGAATTCTTTAATCTATCGTTTAGTAGCCCAAGCTACGGGATTGTTACTGGATCAAGTTATAAAGTGAGTAGACAAGTTGACATCTGAATCTTTTCTGTTTGAAAAGTCTGGCAAGTTGGGTGGATGCCTACTGTTACAAATTATAACCCTTTATCATTCATTTATGCCCTGCCTTGATGTTGTCATCTGACAAACATCCGATTGCAGGAAGCATATGGAAGTTTAGCCGAGAAGAAGCCCACTGTTGTTTTTGTTTGGGTAAGCATCTTGTACTAACTGTTACTAGAGTATTTGAAATGATTTCATTCCACAAGTTCTTTGACAAATTGCAATCACTTTCCACTACAGATACAAGGCCTCAACCCACTTTGTATATTATTTCTGTCTGAAATATTTGTAAACTATTTGATGCAGAGCAAACATTGTATAGAGAACGTTAATATTTTTTGTTGTTTATAATGTTCGGGGCGTGTACTATTTGCTTCTGATATATTCTTTTTCACATAAAAATTTTCTAGCTTATGAGTTTGGGTTTTCTTCTTTATTTCTTATTCTCTATATCTTCAGAGACTTCCCTGAGCTGGTATTTCCTTTCTCATTGATTAACCAGGTGGACCAGGCAGTGGCAAAGGAACCCAGTGTGCAAATATTGTCGAGCACTTTGGGTACACCCATCTCAGTGCTGGTGATCTTCTTAGGGCAGAAATTAAATCTGGCTCTGAAAATGGGTATGGCTTAAAATTATGTTGCCGTCTACATGTTGTGTAGATCTAAGACGTGGACATTTTGGATAAACTGTCTATCAAAAATCAATCATCATGCATGATTTATGTGCTTATTTTTGAAATATTCTAAAAAGCTGTATTTTGAATTGTGCATCAATCATGAACTCAGATGCTTGTGGACACTTAGGGGTCATCTTCTTATGAAATTTATGTATCAGCAGTGGCATTATAGAACCCATTACCTTTAAGATTTTTTTGTGTTTGTGATCCAATAGCTGCCACTTCCAACTTGTAATATGGGATTTAGACTTAGTTGAATTACTGTAAAAGCTTTATTATGAATTGTGCAACCCGCAAGTGTTAAGTTGTGTCACAAATGGTGTATGTTCCTTTGAAGTTGTCCCCAGGTCTTTTAGCCATTCTGCATGTGAGGGCATTCCATTCTATATCAGGTGTTAAATCAGAATCTTTATTGTGGAAAACTGGAACCTGTAGACTTTGCTATAAACATTTTCTTCTCCTGCTGTGTACAGTACCATGATTCAGAACATGATTAAAGAGGGAAAGATTGTTCCTTCAGAGGTAACAATTAAGCTTCTCTAAAAAGCAATGTTGGAAAATGGTAATGATAAATTCCTCATTGATGGTTTTCCTCGTAACGAGGAAAATCGTGCGGCATTTGAAGTTGTTGTAAGTCTTCTGTTTTATTTAGTATTGAAGATGTTGTTAGCTTACATATACTATTACATCAACAATTCTTTGAATTTAGGATGTCTTCTTTTAATTGCTGCAAATGTATTGGTCCTGCAGACTCAAATTGAGCCAGAATTTGTCTTATTTTTTGCTTGTTCTGAAGAAGAGATGGAGAAGCGCCTTTTGAGTAGGAACCAGGTTAGATGAACTTTACCTTTTTTGTTATGTAATTCCTGTTTTAGGTTTTTTTTTGTTTTAACTTGTTGCATAATACCTTTTCCTTGGTAATGAAGGGAAGAGAAGATGATAACATTGAGACAATAAGGAAGCGGTTTAATGTTTTCTTAGAGTCTAGTTCTTAATTATTAATTTTATTAACATAAAATAAAAATAAAGATGGGTGCGTTTGGCTCCCTATTTTTATCCATATTCCCAATCCTATTTTCCAAATAATGTTTGGCACATTATTCCAGAAATATTACCTTATTTTTTTAATTCTTTTAAACCCCATAAGGTTATTAATTTCACTAAATACCCCCTAAAAAAAAGTTTAAAAATTAACAAAAACACCTCCATCAACCCATACTTGCCAGATTCCGGCAACCACCGTCGGTGATTGCCGAAATTTGTACAACGGTCTACCTGCCGACCATAAATGGTTGAAAGTTCACCGATCTGACCGTCAGCGACGACCAAAGAAATGGCCGTCGTTGACTGTCAACGACGGCCACATCTTTGGCCATCGTTTTGGCCTTTTTCGGTCATCAACAGCCACAGCAGGCCGTAGATCTGGCCTTTTCCGGCCAGATCCGTGGTCAATCTGGCCGGAAAAGGCCATAACGACGCGTTACGGCGCAGATCCGACCGGTCTGTGCCGTAACAAAATTTTTCAGCTAGATTCCCGCGGTGATGGCCGGAACACCGGAATCTGGCACTGCAGGTGGTGAGGGTGTTTTTGTCATTTTATATGTTAGGGTCTTTAATTAAATTAGTAAACCTAAGAGCTTTTTCATAAATGTTTAAAGTTTACCTCGTAATACTCCCCTATCCAACAATCCAATACTATCCCCAAAATTCTATCCAAAATATTAAACCAAACGCACCCGATAATTTTTTTTTATTATAATAGTGCTGATGATCCGTGATAAAAGGTGTTAAATTGAAGTAAAAGTGTGAATTCTCATATATACCCCTACCGACGAGTGGTAGGCTAAAGCCTAAAAGGACTGAAGCATTCAAAACAAAGTGCGTATTTAAAGGAGAAGATCCCCAACAATTGGCATTCTTGTCTGGCAGCATTAGCATTACCATTTCCCTCCATTCTCCCTCCTATAACGCTACCATAATTTAAGGTAAGATTATATCTCTCTTCTCTTCATCTCCATCTCCATCTCCATCTCCTTCCCCATTTTCACTTAATTTTGCCTTTTGCATTCCGTATCTTCATAAATCTAAGATCTGTCTTTTTAAACCATTTTATTTGGATCTATCCCTTGGATTTTTTTTTTTTTCTGCATCATCTTATTGAGAGATCTAATCAACTTCTCCTCTTTTAAATCTACTACCATTATTTTATTTCACCTTTACGGAAGTTGATGCTTCTTTATGCATTGTGCGGATGTTGAATTCCATGATAACTATATATTATTTGTTATGCTCTCGATAATTGATTTCCTTCTTTAATGCAAATGCCCTGATATTTTATTGGATTACTTATGCAGATCATATATTTCAGATACAAGTTAGCTGGCTCTCATGGGTACCGTTGTTGAGGCTCCAAAGAGGGTACCGATTTCCATTTCCTTAACCTTAATTCCATGCCATCGTTTATGATCTCTACTGTGGTGATCCAATTTTTTTCAGAGAAAACTTTTATTAAGAAAAAAATCCCATTTTTAATGAAATATGTTTCTGAGGGAATTTTTTCAAAACGAATTCCCCCACCACCCCCCTTCAAAAGAAAAAAGGTCCAAACAATGATATGGAATTCTTTAATCTATCGTTTAGTAGCCCAAGCTAAGGGATTGTTACTGGATCAAGTTATAAAGTGAGTAGGCAAGTTGACATCTGAATCTTTTCTGTTTGAAAAGTCTGGCACGTTGGGTGGATGCCTACTGTTACAAAGTATAACCCTTTATCATTGATTTATGCCCTGCCTTGATGTTGCCATCTGACAAACATCCGATTGCAGGAAGCATATGGAAGCTTAGCTGAGAAGAAGCCCACTGTTGTTTTTGTTTTGGGTAAGCATCTTGTACTAACTGTTACTAGAGTATTTGAAATGATTTCATTCCACAAGTTCTTTGACAAATTGCAATCACTTTCTATTACAGATACTAGGCCTCAACCCACTTGTATATTATTTCTGTCTGAAATATTTGTAAACTATTTGATGCAGAGCAAACATTGTATAGAAAATGTTAATATTTTTTGATGTTTATAATGTTCGGGGCGTGTATAATTTGCTTCTGATATATATATATATATATATATATATTTTCACATAAAAATTTTCTAGCTTATGAGTTTGGGTTTTCTTCTTTATTTCTTATTCTCTATATCTTCAGAGACTTCCCTGAGCTGGTAGTTCCTTTCTTATTGATTAACCAGGTGGACCAGGCAGTGGCAAAGGAACCCAGTGTGCAAATATTGTCGAGCACTTTGGGTACACCCATCTCAGTGCTGGTGATCTTCTTAGGGCAGAAATTAAATCTGGCTCTGAAAATGGGTATGGCTTAACATTATGTTGCCGTCTACATGTTGTGTAGATCTAAGACGTGGACATTTTGGATAAACTGTTGATCAAAAATCAATCATCATGCATGATTTATGTGCTTATTTTTGAAATATTCTAAAAAGCTGTATTTTGAATTGTGCATCAATCATGAACTCGGATGCTTGTGGACACTTAGGGGTCATCTTCTTATGAAATTTATGTATTAGCAATGGCATTATAGAACCCTTTACCTTTAAGATTTTATTGTGTTTGTGATCCAATAGCTGCCAATTCCAACTTGTAATATGGGATTTAGACTTAGTTGAATTACTGTAAAAGCTCTATTATGAATTGTGCAACCCGCAAGTGTTAAGTTGTGTCACAAATGGTGTATGTTCCTTTGAAGTTGTCCCCAGGTCTTTTAGCCATTCTGCATGTGAGGGCATTCCATTCTATATCAGGTGTTAAATCAGAATCTTTATTGTGGAAAACTGGAACCTGTAGACTTTGCTATAAACATTTTCTTCTCCTGCTGTGTACAGTACCATGATTCAGAACATGATTAAAGAGGGAAAGATTGTTCCTTCAGAGGTAACAATTAAGCTTCTCGAAAAAGCAATGTTGGAAAATGGTAATGATAAATTCCTCATTGATGGTTTTCCTCGTAACGAGGAAAATCGTGCGGCATTTGAAGCTGTTGTAAGTCTTCTGTTTTATTTAGTATTGAAGATGTCGTTAGCTTACATATACTATTACATCAACAATTCTTTGAATTTAGGATGTTTTCTTTTAATTGCTGCAAATGTATTGGTCCTGCAGACTCAAATTGAGCCAGAATTTGTCTTATTTTTTGCTTGTTCTGAAGAAGAGATGGAGAAGCGCCTTTTGAGTAGGAACCAGGTTAGATGAACTTTACATTTTTTGTTATGTAATTCCTGTTTTAGGTTTTTTTTTTTTAACTTGTTGCATAATACCTTTTCCTTGGTAATGAAGGGAAGAGAAGATGATAACATTGAGACAATAAGGAAGCGGTTTAATGTTTTCTTAGAGTCTAGTCTCCCCGTGGTTCAATATTATGAATCTAAGGGTAAAGTTCGGAAGGTAATATAATTTTGTTTTGAGTTCTTTTAGTTCCCCGGTTTAATCTATTTTCAAGTTTAATGCAATCTCACATTTTGTTGCTTTTGTTGTCAGATTGATGCTGCAAAGCCAATTGCAGAGGTTTTTGATGCTGTTAAAGCCGTTTTTGCTGCAAAACATGAGAAGGTAAAGCACCATAGTCGTGTCACCCTTTAGGTTCTCTGTTTGGGACATGTATTTGGCTAGAATATGATTTATCATGTGTAAATATAGTGGTGGAGACATTGGTTTGTCTACTTATATTTCAGCAGGTGTATTGAGTAAAATATCATATATGTACTATTTCATTGCTGTCCTGATAACTTAAAAAAAGTTTGTTTTTATAGATATTTTGGATGGAAATGATGTAGTTTCTTGACTAAATAGAAATTGCTGCTACAGTTACAGAAAGGGATCTTTATCATTTGTATGCAATCATGAATGTAGGAGATTAGTGAGTGGCTATTAAAGTAAATGTTTCATTGATTCTGGTAAGGTAGCTTATATTGTTGAATGGATGCATGTGCTGATTTCTTTAAAGGTTGGGACAACAAACAATATAATGCACATGTCTGCACTATTATATTCAAATATTAGGGCTTAATCATAAAATAAATAAGATATGATTTTTTACCAACGTTCCTGCAGCTATTAGCAACAAAAATAAAACTGGCAACTGTTGATGGATTTTGTGTTTTTAAAATATGATTTGTTATATTTTTGTGTAATCCATCAATTTAGTAAATGCGTGTCTTTAATTGGATTGTGCTTCAGTGAATAGTTGTGTAGAATCTGGAAGTCATAAAAATCCGAAAGTATAGTTGATCCATGTTCTTGCCAATTTCATTCTCTATTTTTCAACTCTTTGCAATTAATAACTTAATTGAGCCACTTCTCTTTTTTGTATCAGACCTGTGTTTCAAGGAATCACTAAATGTGTGCAAAAGTACTTTGGTGTAGTAGTTTCAATTTAGAAAATTATCAAAATAAGCAAGCATTCATTTTCCACTTACGTGACTAATTGAATGCAACCATTTTATGTTCATTTTTACCCCATTAATTGATATTTATGTGTGCGTGAGTGCAGGTTGCTGAGTAGATTATCAGATTGCTCATATAAAGGTAACATTGGTACAGGTTATAACATGAAATGGTTTTCATTCAGTAAAGTTGATGGTTCTTTTCTTCATTATTTTTCATTTATTTATATTGGGGTAGAGGAACTCAGTGAAATTAGTAGATTATGAGAGTTAAATTTGTAATATGAAGGAGGAAATTTAGTTTGCAACCTGGGACGCAATGATTTCAAGTAATGGATTGTTAAATATGTTATTGACCATAAACTCCTTCACACGGTTATTCATAACCAGAAGGTGAAAATGAGAAATATTTGCAGCTCAATTTCAGATAAGGCATCTAAATTTCATTATGAAGCTTGGTTGATAGTGTAATGCTAAGAATAGTTTGTCCTGTTTTGTTGCAGGTGAACGTTATGTTGTGGATGGTCGCGTATTATTGTAGTTTATTGAGAGGTTTTAATGTCACATGTTTGTGAGGTGTGATAGAAGAAGATTATAGTATGTATCTGTGATTTTATTTATACCTCTATATAGTTAATTTGATGAGGTATGTATACCTATTTTTTATTATTATTGTGATTGTACTCATGAGATGATTGAGAGTAATAAAGAGTTGAAGAATAAATCCTTATTTTTGAAGTAGCAAATTGAATGAGTAGGTCGTGGGTGGCTCAAGGAAGAATCGTGATGTTATTACTCCACCTCTTATCATTAATTAAACAGCTATACTCGTATTCTTAAACTAAAGCCACCCATGTGACCAATTGAATATCGTCAGAATATAAAGAGATTTGACAAACAATAAGGCGAGGTGAAGGTGTCCGTGTGCATGAATGATTGAGGACTCTTGTTTTTAAGGTGCAAAACCATAAATAAAAACGCAAGGGAAGTATAGCCGTGGCTTGCTGGGGATGTGTTCAAGAGACAATTGAGTAGAGTAGATGTGAGTTGTGAATGTAATTAGTAAATTACTCACCCCATGCAAAAAGTAGATGGAACGTGGCAAATGCAATTGTATATAACATACCCCATGCATCATAGATGTTCATTCCCTTTTCCCAATTTCCTCCAAAGTCGGTCCTTAAAGATATATGTAACGCCAATAGTAGGTAAAATTGGATACATGCACGGTTGGACTGAATCAACGTTTTTGTCTTCATAAGTAAGTAGGAGTAGGAGTAGGACTACATTATGATGAGTCAAAGTTGCGCGTTTGTTTTAACTGAGACACAATTCACAAGAAAAAACAAAATAAAAGTTTCGATCTTATTTAATCGACTGTGAATGGTAAGCTTAAAAGTAATTAAGGAGAGAACCAACCTTAAGAATTTGCAAAGCGAAGGAAGGTACAGCTGTTCCTTCAATGTTTGTGTTCATGCGTGGTTTCTGCTTATTGGGTTGTTGAATTTAATCCACATTCTTTTGACGTGAATGCAAAGTTATCAACCTTCAATCCCTCCCTACCCTACGTGATTTATTTTTGTATTTTCGAACCTAATTCCTATCTAATCCCCCCACCACAATATATCAAGTTAAATTACAACAAACGTCCACTTCATTCCCTCCCTCTTTCTGATTGGACAAAATTATATATTACCATCAACTTACTTTCTCTCTTTTAATCCCTGTCTTTCTCTCTCACTTATGGTATTTCAATTACTTTTGATGATGAGGAGCATATCCGATTCAACCACCTTCAACCATATGATTTTCATCACAATAACAATCATGTTTTTGGCGTTGATCCGCTTTGCTGCCAAGTGTTTTTGGTTCAAGAATTGGGACTCCCCTAACAAATTGGAGAGCCGGCCATTTTGTACGGTGTGTCTTGATGAGATAGGCTATGGTGACAAGTTTCGGCGGCTTCCCAAGTGCCATCACTGTTTCCATGTTGAATGCATCGATGCGTGGTTCCAGTCTCGTTCTACTTGTCCCCTTTGTAGAAACCAGGTCTCTCTTCCTCATCCTCATCCTTATCCCACCTTCTTCTATTATTTTCTATCCTTTTTACAAACTATTGACAGAATAATCAACAATGTTCCTCTCAATTTTGAGACGCCTTAAGTTCACCCCTCAATCTACTTCCTTTTAGTACTTCTGTTATCTTTATTTTGTTTTTTATGGATCAATCTTTCTTCATCTTTTAAATTTAGAAACTAAAAACGTTTAACAACTACTCACTGCATATATGGGTTGTACATGTTAATAATTTATCCTGTAATGTCGACCGCCCAGATAGAGGTTTGCATACAAACAAAATCAAAGATTTAGTGACAACAAAGCAAATTACATTACAGTCCAGATTGGATTATCGTTTTCTTCTCTAATGTAAAATGTAGGTAGCTTCAGAAAAACCCAAAAAGTGTTTATTGCGTGCATTATTCATATATAATAAGATTAGGGTTTGGTGGATTTATTGTAGTATATATATAAATGGAGTTGGGCAGTGGTACTAGTAATGTCAACCTCACATTTCACAATGTGTTGAAAAATGCTAACACTATTTTCTCAAGGGTAGGGGACAAGGCACACACGAGTCCCATAATGATTCATGAACTTCAACAACCCACTATCTAAAACTATAGATGATAAAGGCAGGCATTGCCGAGTTTGGTGTATCCTATTTATCTTTTTGCTCTTAATTTCTAAACGTCAACCAGAGCAGTGGCCTCTACTCTGTTTTGGTAAATTAAAAAACAGAGGAGTTAGAACCACTCTTACAATACAGGTTACACTTATACGTCACTTTGAACTATTCTACATCTTCAATGAACAGGTAGTAGTAGGTGTAGGTGGGCGGCTAGCCAACACAAAATAAAAGTATAAGAGTTTATTTGAGGACTGTCATTAGGTATATACTTTAATTATTTTTATGCTTATAAGCAGTAAACGCATTAGGTGGGTTTACATATAATTTGTTGATACATATATGTAAATATATAATGTGAAAAGGGAAATGCAGATAACTGAACAGATGATTTATTATTATTTTGGGGAAGCGTGGTTGTGGGAATTGGGTCAATCAACAATCCTTGAAGGGAGGAAGCCATGTCGAAGGGAAGCTTGCCAAACTTGGTCATTGTTGCACATTGTTTGCCCACATTCGTTTATATCCCATCCTTCTAAGCCATGTATTATCCCAGCCACACGCCACGCACTCATCACCGTTCTTGGCAGCCAGTTCTGTTATATTTACAAATAAAAATACAGTTACTTAACTTTTATATTCATATGAATAAAAGAAAAGAAAAAAAATATGGAAATCGGCTTACTTCACAAGAATGCATATTATATAAAGAGGGAGGAGCTATCATTGCTGGTGTAATGTGGTAGAAGCAATCAGTTCGAACTTTTCTCGGAGGGAGTTGCGAAATAGGAATGAATATCGTTCCTTTTGATGCTTTCAACTGTTCCTCATCCTTTAAATCCTCTCCAACCAACCATATCTGAAACATTGATTTAATTTAAATTAATTAATGTTATTGTTTCATTTGAATTTACTACAGAGAAACTAATTGAAAATCATATACCCTGTTGTGAGCATAACTTGTGGAGAGGACTAAATTATTACGAGACGCGGCCGTCAGCCTGAGTTTAAGCTTCTCGTACTCTTCCTTGCGTACTGCGGCTACCTAAAACCCACATACATTAATTAGTTGTAGCTGATGCAAGGCCCCAAACCCATATATATAATTATAATACCTGGATGCCCATTTCACATAGAGCGGATACAGTTGCATAAGCAACCTTGCTAAGTTTCCCTCTAAAGAGTAGTTGGGTTGTTCCTTTGGGTATGGTGTTAACCACTGTAGCCACTGCCAAGCTGCTACCATCCACCACCTTTACTTTCAGCTCTGGATATCTTTGGATATACATCTCTCCGTTTCCATTTAGCTCTTCACTCTGCAAATGTTATTATCCAATAAGTATTATTTAATAGGGAGATATTATTTTTAAGAAAAAAAGGAAAATGAACAAACCTGATTGAGAAGACCTAGAGTCACTACTTGAACTCCTCTCTTATCTGCTTCTAGTATGGCATCTTCAATCAAGCTGTTAATGGATTCTCTTCGCCAGGGCAAAAACTAACAAATCAATGAAATGATTAATGAAGAAGTAAATTAAAAACCAACAAAAAGAAAAGATTAAAAAAAAGGCTACTTACTTGCACAATGTATCTTGGTAAGACCCAGGTCTGCAATTTAAGTTTATGGAAAGTGTTGCTCTCAGAAATAAATGCAGTGGCGAAAATCCAAGTGAAGAAAACAGAGAAACAAGTGAGGGGCCAGATGAACCATTTGGAATGAGATGAGTGGGGTTTTGATGCCAATGAGGCAAATCCTAGGCGTAGATGATAAACTGAATCAGGCGTAGTTAGGTGCGTTAGATGTACCACGTCAGCTGATTCTGAGTGGTCTTTTTTGATTGAAGTTTCATATAGAGCATCCGAACTTTTGTCCACTGTACCATAAATGTAATCATATAGTGGCATAAATAGCGAGTAGTTGGTCCGAAATTGAGTGTGATGTAACGAATGAAACCTGCACTCATCACATTCACAAATCTTCATCAATCTCATTTTCACTTAATTTCTTACGTAATTCATCTTCATTTGATACGCATTAACATCAACAAATTATATCAACATATCACATAAAGAACAGATAATTATCACAAACTATATTATATAAAAAAGATACGGTTTTGAATAATATAAATGTCTAAGTACATAAATAATTAATTGTCACATCTCACCCGTACGTGTCATGTAATTTTTGAAATTGATAGTACCAATTACCTTCATGATGAAAATTGGTAAGAAAAAAAAATACCGATAATACTAGATGAATGATGTATGAATTATATATTTCATACAAACGAACNAATATGGAAATCGGCTTACTTCACAAGAATGCATATTATATAAAGAGGGAGGAACTATCATTGCTGGTGTAATGTGGTAGAAGCAATCAGTTCGAACTTTTCTCGGAGGGAGTTGCGAAATAGGAATGAATATCGTTCCTTTTGATGCTTTCAACTGTTCCTCATCCTTTAAATCCTCTCCAACCAACCATATCTGAAACATTGATTTAATTTAAATTAATTAATGTTATTGTTTCATTTGAATTTACTACAGAGAAACTAATTGAAAATCATATACCCTGTTGTGAGCATAACTTGTGGAGAGGACTAAATTATTACGAGACGCGGCCGTCAGCCTGAGTTTAAGCTTCTCGTACTCTTCCTTGCGTACTGCGGCTACCTAAAACCCACATACATTAATTAGTTGTAGCTGATGCAAGGCCCCAAACCCATATATATAATTATAATACCTGGATGCCCATTTCACATAGAGCGGATACAGTTGCATAAGCAACCTTGCTAAGTTTCCCTCTAAAGAGTAGTTGGGTTGTTCCTTTGGGTATGGTGTTAACCACTGTAGCCACTGCCAAGCTGCTACCATCCACCACCTTTACTTTCAGCTCTGGATATCTTTGGATATACATCTCTCCGTTTCCATTTAGCTCTTCACTCTGCAAATGTTATTATCCAATAAGTATTATTTAATAGGGAGATATTATTTTTAAGAAAAAAAGGAAAATGAACAAACCTGATTGAGAAGACCTAGAGTCACTACTTGAACTCCTCTCTTATCTGCTTCTAGTATGGCATCTTCAATCAAGCTGTTAATGGATTCTCTTCGCCAGGGCAAAAACTAACAAATCAATGAAATGATTAATGAAGAAGTAAATTAAAAACCAACAAAAAGAAAAGATTAAAAAAAAGGCTACTTACTTGCACAATGTATCTTGGTAAGACCCAGGTCTGCAATTTAAGTTTATGGAAAGTGTTGCTCTCAGAAATAAATGCAGTGGCGAAAATCCAAGTGAAGAAAACAGAGAAACAAGTGAGGGGCCAGATGAACCATATGGAATGGGATGAGTGGGGTTTTGAGGCCAATGAGGCAAATCCTAGGCGTAGATGATAAACTGAATCAGGCGTAGTTAGGTGCGTTAGATGTACCACGTCAGCTGATTCTGAGTGGTCTTTTTTGATTGAAGTTTCATATAGAGCATCCGAACTTTTGTCCACTGTACCATAAATGTAATCATATAGTGGCATAAATAGCGAGTAGTTAGTCCGAAATTGAGTGTGATGTAACGAATGAAACCTGCACTCATCACATTCACAAATCTTCATCAATCTCATTTGCACTTAATTTCTTACGCTTTAACATCAATAATTATATCAACATATCACATAAAGAACAGATAATTATCACAAACTATATTATATAAAAAAGATATGGTTTTGAGTAAAATTGTCACATCTCACCCGTACGTGTCATGTAATTTTTGAAATTGATAGTACCAATTACCTTCATGATGAAAATTGGTAAGAAAAAAAAATACCGATAATACTAGATGAATGATGTATGAATTATATATTTCATACAAACGAACATGTATATGAAGTAATTGGATGAAAGCATATAAAAAATTAACTCAATAAATATTCAATATGTATAGATGAATGATGTGACAGTGACTTAGAATTGTATACATTAGTTTGTGCAGCACCACTCAAAAATTGGCTAAGTGGACTGTACTGGTTTTCTACATTATTTCTATTAATTAAATCACAAAGTCAAATTCAGTCCTGTAACTCTTTTATATCAGACCTAATTGGAAACCAAACCAGTTGCAGTTAGGGTTTGGTGGTGCCATCCCTAAGTTGATATAGTTAATTTGTTGTATACTATACAGAGACAGATAACATTTCATTACAGACACTTGGTGTCCTGCCTAGGTAAGAAAGAAAATGAGGGTGCATTTTGTGTTAAGGATGCATTTCATATAAGATAAAGTAGTTTTATGATATTTAAGATTAAAAATTAAAAAAATAATTAATGATATGATGTAGGTAGGAGATGGAAGGAGGAATCTTACGAGGGAGTATACGTGAGATACTTGAGAGGAGGAAAGATGGAGAAAAGGGAGTGGGGGATAAATTCAAAGTTACAGTGTCCCATATTGTTCATGAAGTCGATGTGGATGACGTAACCAGCGAAAGAGATTATAGAAGCAGTTCTTGTAAGCATCGTTTTTAGCAATGGTATTGCAAAGAGCATGAAATATACTATGTGTTCAGCAAATGGATGAATGACAGCTGCCATATATATATATGATATACTTAATTAGAGCGATCATTCACATATATAATAATAATAAAAAATATACAAATGTTCTTACAGGTAATGGGCTCAGTGACAATAGAAGTATGGTGATGAGAATGATAGCGAGAGTAGAGGAAATGGTGGTGCAATGCTCTGTGAAACCAGTAGTAAAGGAATTCCACTGGACCCGAATGAAGCAAAATTGTAAGGATTATGCCATCTGTTCTCCACAGAGGAAGCTTGGAATAATGCGGAGGAATGAACGTAAAACCTATATAAAATAATAACCCATTGAACAAGATCTGGTCGTCCCTGCATATACATATATGTATATATATTAATTAATTAATAATTATAATTGAGATGGATGTACGTAGTAGTAGTATACTGACCAATTCCTTTCTCTATCAACTTGGTCGAATTCTATGCCCTTGTCGACGATCCTGTTGTCTCCTTTGGCTGTTCGGTGACGGGAAAGAGAAATCCAAATCTGGTTATGGAGCATCCTCACTAGCAGAAACGGGAATATGAGGAAGTATCCCAGATCTCTCTGATTTTCTTTGGTAAAGGAGTATATGCTATGCACCGCCCAGGGAGCCAGGATCGTGTACTTGAAAAAAATATCATCAAGAAATTAAATAATGTTTTTTATATAATATAAATTGTTTAAGAAATGAGATATATTACCTTAAAACTTCCAAGATGCTTCCAAGGCCAATCAGTGAGGATTCCTGGTTTAGAAGCCATATCTAGTTAACCGCTAGAATGCAGGCACGTATTTGGAATTGTGAGTTTGGTGTATGTTGTCATATCCATATACAGGGGCGGATTTAACGAATGACATGACGAGTGGGGACAACGGCCCCCACTCAATTTTTTAAAAATTTCAGATTTTCTATTTCTATTTATATTTATTTAAATTTTATCTTTATAAATCTTTAAGATTTTGAGAATGGAATAGCCGACCCCCACCGTAAGTTTGGATTTTGTTTTTGTAAAACCCCTTTTTTAATTCTAATATATTTATTACATATTCTTTGTGATTTTTATTTTTATGCAAGGGATCTATTAGTTTTTAAAAATTTTATTGGGAGTGAAAATAAAAGGAATAAGAGCTGTTGGGTTTCCACGTAATGGTTTAAATCCTGAACAAATGAGTGAAACATATAATCTATTTAGGGGTGAAAATCAAGTCAAGCCACTCAAACTATACTTAATGTTGGCTTGAACTCAACTCCGCATTAGTTGAGTCGAGTTCGAATAGTTAATCGAGTAAAACTCGACTCAATATATTCACGAGTCTTTCCAAGCTCGATGGTTAAGTTGACAGTTTTTAAAGTCATAGGGGTCATATGTAATTTAAAAGTTATAAAACTTGCAAATCCACCCTTGTTAGATGAGCTTGAAATCGAGTTCGAACTTGAACTCGATTAAAACTCGAATAAAACTAAAAAAAAGCTCGATTATACGAACTTGAATTCGAACTCGATTTCCAATTTCAAGTACCGAGTTCGAGTTTAAACTTGATTTCTTAGGTTCGATCAGGCTTGAACTCGAACTCGAACTCGATACTATAGAGATCGAGTTGAGTTTGATTTATCAAATACTCGACTTGATTCGATTTCACCCCTAAATCTATTAGATGTAATCTATTCCTTTGATTTTGCATTTAGCTTGCATATGATGAAAAGTATATTGATAATTACTAATGAGTTGTCACAAGCATTGCAAAGAAAAGATCAAGACATTGTAAATGCTATGACCCTAGTCAAAGTCTCCAAAACAACGGTTACAATTGTTGAGAGATGAAGGATGGAAATCTTTGTTGAGTGAAATTTCTTCATTTTGCCAAAAACATGATATTGCCATTTTGAATATAGATGATATGTTTGCAATTCGAAGGCGGCCACGACGAAGAGTTGAGCACATGAAAAATTTGTATCACTATCGAGTTGAATTGTTTTATACAGTGATAGATATGCAACTTCAAGAACTTAACACTTGTTNGATGGATGTACGTAGTAGTAGTATACTGACCAATTCCTTTCTCTATCAACTTGGTCGAATTCTATGCCCTTGTCAACGATCCTGTTGTCTCCTTTGGCTGTTCGGTGACGGGAAAGAGAAATCCAAATCTGGTTATGGAGCATCCTCACTAGCAGAAACGGGAATATGAGGAAGTATCCCAGGTCTCTCTGATTTTCTTTGGTAAAGGAGTATATGCTATGCACCGCCCAGGGAGCCAGGATCATATACTTGAAAAAAAAATATCATCAACAAATCAAATAATGTTTTTGATATATAATATAAATTGTTTAAGAAATGAGATATATTACCTTATAACTTCCAAGATGCTTCCAAGGCCAATCAGTGAGGATTCCTGGTTTAGAAGCCATATCTAGTTAACCGCTAGAATGCAGGAACGTATTTGGAATTGTGAGTTTGGTGTGTGTTGTCATATCTATATATACACATATAGACTGGTGGGTTGTCATGTTGTTATGTGTGAATGTTTTTGTATTAAAAATGAAAGCTATTGTTAATGCTCCCCAACGCTCCATTGCCAAGTGGCTTGCTGCTGCTGGTGCTATTATTATTGTACATGAATTCAAAACAAATCTCTGTCCTAATCCATGCAGTTTTCTGTTGTGGTGCCAGCCCATTCCTCATTAAAGATTTTTCTGTTTAACCAATTTTCAAAACCATAAATTTCATTAGTTACGTGCCATTAACCATGAAATGCCAAGGTGATATGTTAATGTTAGAAGATCACAACAAAACTGAAATTCAACATTCATTAATTTCCAGTTTTGAACCTTATGGTTTGACTGCTTAATTTTTGTATATATAATTTCATGTACAGGAATTACAATTTATACAATTATAAAGGTAAGATGTAAGAAAATCAAATAAATGAAATAAATGTAGATCAATACATATAAGGTAATTACCTAAACTACATATTTAGAAAATATTACAAATCTTTTAAATATAGTTTATGCAGTCATTCACATGTCAACAGTTATATAGTAAGAAGATGGTAATTAATAAATAATGCAACGGCATCTCACCTAAAAATTCAGCCCATTGAGCCAGTGCCGTTGGAGAAATTGACGTCATGTACATCCAAAGGTGTTATGGCCTCCTTCCCAAGACTATCATGCCATCTCAATAATATCAATAATATACATACATATGAGTAATGCTACAGTCACTAAAGTAGTACACAGAATTTATGTACCGAATGACGTGATAAAATCATAATCGTTGATTAATTTTAAATTAATATTAAATTAAAATTAATCAACGGTCAAGATTTTGTCACGTCATTCGGTGCAGCAACGTCGATGGTTGTATTATTTTCCTATACATACAATCAACCACTTTGCCGGCACCTTACCTTGCTTTTTTAAAGTTTCGAGATTTCGTCGACTCTGCTCACCCATTCATCACACATTATACACACCCTCACCCTTTATTTAAATCTAGAAATATATATATATTAACCATTGTTTTAAAATCTTGACCGAATTGGTTGGTTCTACTAATCCAATCAAGAATCAAACCTTTATCCAATCCGAGTACATCTTAAACTCAATTATAGCAATTGAACTGGATTGACCCATGATTGAACCGGTAGAATAGTACGATTCACCAGTTCTACTGCCTAATCAGAGAATCGATGGCTAAATCGCAATCCTAATTCCTAAAATTAAAATGCCTAAATTCTATTCTTCATCTTCAATTTCAATTTCAATCTTCAGATCTTCATCTTCACTCCGAATCTTCGATCTGGATTGTAGTTCGCTTCGCCTTCGCGTCACCAGGCTTCAGTTTACTTGGCCTTCCACCTTCGACTGTCCGATCCAAACTACACCTGTTAGCACTTCATTGGCTTGATCTCTAAGCCCGCTCACATTTGCAATATCTGGTAATTTTGAAGTTTAATTAAAATGAAAGAAAACTCTTTGATGAATGCTCAAGTCTAAATAGAAATTATAGAACAAGAATAATTGAGATGATGGTATGGAAGTTCAATTAAGGATAAATTCAAGATCATGGGGTGGAAATGAAGATTGAAATTGAAATGGATTTGAATTTATTTTATATTGTTAATTGAGTTTGGATTTGGATTTTGGATTTATTTTATTTATCATTCCATCTTGAGATTTGAATTTTTGATTTATTTTATTTATGTTATATTGTTATTTAGATTTTGAATTTGGATGAAATTATTTTGAAAATTTATTAGAATTTTAAAATTTTATTATATCATACTGATATCATCAGTCTGACCAACCTAAGACCTAACCCCTTGACCTGGCTGAAGGCCCAATCCGAGTCTTGCAACATTGATCAGCTCTATTATCCCTCATCTCTTATATGTATATAATTAATAGAATAAGCTTATTAATTGATCATACGTATAAGAGAGTTTATGCTGATACACCAATTAAAAATTTATCCTTATTAATCTGGTATACATATTAAAAATAAAAAAGAAATATGTAATTTCAGACTAAAGGATTGAATTTATTATATAATGACTAGTGAAAACAAAGGAGTAGATTTTCACTGTCAACTGGCAAGGGTTACATTTAGCGTCCGATAAAATTTCTGACAAATTAAGCAACGTGATCCATGATAACAAAATCTAATGAAGGTGGAAATAGGATTGATTTGGGATGGTAAGAGGTTGAAAGCCATGTCGAAGACTTGCTTCCCAAACTTTGTCAATGTTAGAGATTTTGTAACCACACTCCTGTTCCTCCCATCCTTCTAACCCATGAATTATTCCACCAATACGCCACGCACTCATCACCCTTCTTGGAAGCCAATTCTGATTCGTTTCAATTATTTAATTTTAGGATTAGTTACTCATATATAAATTAATGAAACTATTTAATTAATTAAAATCACAAACCTCACAAGAGTCCACGTTCTCAAGAGCCAAAGGAGTAGACATTGCTGGTGTTAGGTGGTAGAAGCAGTCTTTTCGTAGTTTCTTGGGTGGAAATTGTGAGAAAGGAATGAATATCGTTCCTTTTGTTGCTTTCAACTGTTCTTCTTTAGTCAATCCCGCTCCAACTAACCATATCTACACTACACAAATATCAATTAATTAACTAATTCATGAATTGTTAAAACATATGTAATTAACAAGTATATAATATTAATACATACCTTTTGAGAATAAGTGGTTGAAATGACCAAATTACTCTCGAACTTGCCATCAAATGATTTCTTAAGCTTCTGATACTCAGACTCACGTAATGTTACTACTTGAATCCCCCTTTGACAAAGAGCAAAGGCAACAGCATAAGCAACCTTAGTTAGATTTCCTCTCAGGACCACTTGTGTTGTTTCTTTAGGCATGCTGTTTACCACTACTGCTACTGCTAAGCTATTGCCATCCACCACTTTTATCTTCAGCTCCCGATGCCTTTCCACATAAATCCCACCATACCTGTTCAGCTCCTCACCCTGCAATTATTTATTTATTTATTTTCTCATTTTTATTAATTATAACACCAAGTAGTTCCAAGTTTTTCTTTTCATATAATTAATAAAACTCACTTGATTCAACAGTCCTAGACTTATTACTTTAGCACCTTTTTGCTCTGCATCTTTTATGGCTGCTTCAATTAAGCTATTGATAGGTTCCTTTTGCCATTGCAACAAGTACTGCAACCCAATAATCAATGAATTTAATATAAACTTCAACTAAAAAGTTAAAAGAAAAAAAAAAAAAAAATCAATGAATTTAATATAAACTTCAACTAAAAAGTCAAAAAAAAAAAAAAAAAAGAAGAAATTAGTGTACTATGTGTTATGAGATGTCTTCTTACTTGAATGTTATACTTGGGTATGGCCCAGGTTTGCAACTTTAAGTTATTAAAACGGTTCCGTTCAACCACAAAAGTACGACCATAGATCCAAGTTATCAGCATGGACCATAAAGTAAGCGGCCACATTAGCCAAATATACCAATTTGATGATGAATGTGGGTTAGCTGCAATGGAAGCAAATCCAAGGCGTAGATGGTAAATGGATTCAGGTGTGGTTAGGTGTGTAAGATGCACTACGTCCGGCGATTCTTCTCCTCTCTTCAGTGAAGTTTCATATAATGCATCGGAAGCTTTGTCCATGGTACCATACATCAAATCATATACAGGCATGAATAATGAATAATTGGTTCGGAATTGCGTATGATGAAGTGAGTGGAACCTGTAACATAAATTTAATCAAACCAACTGATTTACTACACTCTAAAGAAGAAGGGGACAAGACAAATGATATGATATAAAACATGAAAAATAAAAACGAGAACAATAAATAAATGAAAGAGGGTCATAAATGTCTTTATAAAATTTATTTATAAGTATAGTATTAGAAAAAGATGTTTGACTGATCTGACACGTGAGCGTGTGTGACATGAAAAATATCTAATCCCTAACTTTATTAGTTGTCACTTGTCCGCTTACTTTTGAATTTGGACGGCTCTTTTAAGTGTCAGGACGACAGGAGTGGTCAATTCTAAGATTTCAGAAACTACAAATAAAAACGGAATTCCATAAAGCGGTGGTGCGCCCTACACTAGATCAAGTTGATACTGAAGTGAATATGCTATTTCCTGTATTCCATAAAGAGACTGTCGACAACTGTGCCCACCTAACTAATGCAAAATTGCAAATTTCAAAGACGAACCTAAAACTATTAATAATAAATGTAGCACGACGTAATATTGAAATTATAAAGTGTAAGATGTTAATATATCGTATGTATGAGAAAGAGAGAGACATACGAAGGAGTGTACATCAAGTACTTGAGAGGAGGGAAAATGGAGAAAACCCAATTAGGAATGACCTCAAAATTACAGTGACCCATGTTGTTCATAAAGTCGATATAAGTGATGTAGGAAGCTAAGGCTGCGACGGAAGCAGTTCCGGTCAGCATAACCGTAAACATGGGTATTGCAAAGAGAGCGAAATATGCAATGTGCTCTGCAAATGGATGTACCACAGCTGCCAAATAAAACGTATTAGTTTTTAGTATAATTAAACATTAATTAAAAATTAAGATAAAAAAAGAAGAGTAATTAATTACAGGTGATAGGCTCGGTTACTATAGATGAATGGTGATGAGAATGGTAGCGAGAGTAAAGGTAATGATGGTGCAGTGCTCTATGAAGCCAATAGTAAAGGAACTCCACTGGACCAGCATGCAGTAGAAATGTGATAATCACACCATCTAATCTCCACAAGGGCATGTGAGAACCCCCTGGAACTGTCTTTCCGAATACGTAAAATAGGATTCCATTGAAGATTATTTGGTCATCCCTGCATGCAATATTCCAACACATTTATTTAAGTATACGTTTGTGATATAGTAATAATAAATCATTTTACGTTCTCACTCACCAATTCCTTTCTCTGTCCACTTGTTCAAATTCGATAGCCTTGTCAACAATCCTGTTTGTTCCTTTGGCTGTTCTATAACGAGACAGACTAATCCATATCTGATTGTGAATAGCTCTCCAAATCAGAAATGGAAATACCAGAAAGTTGGAAAGGTCTTTCTCCTTTTCATCCTTAACCATGTATGAGTAGATGCCCTGAATAACCCAGGGACCCAATACTAGGTACTGCAATCACATAATAAANATTCGATAGCCTTGTCAACAATCCTGTTTGTTCCTTTGGCTGTTCTATAACGAGAAAGACTAATCCATATCTGATTGTGAATAGCTCTCCAAATCAGAAATGGAAATACCAGAAAGTTGGACAGGTCTTTCTCCTTTTCATCCTTAACCATGTATGAGTAGATGCCCTGAATAACCCAGGGACCCAATACTAGGTACTGCAATCACATAATAAACCCACAATATTATTCAGTTTCGTACCACATAAAATATCCATTAACTTCATATGATTGATAATAACCAATGCCAAGATATCATAAGAATCTCTATCGATTATTAATTTACATGGGTGGGTGGGTGGCTAAAGGAATAACTGAAATTTCCTTTGGTTTAGTGTTACTCTTTTTGTAAATACGCATCGGTCTAATATTTGTTCATGCATATGATACTAACATGCAAACGGGGTGTTTTGTGAATGGAAAATATTGAGAAAGAAGAAAAAAGTAAGGAATGCCTAACATTAATTCATGTAATGTGGCAACATGCATTGGTGCTAATTGATTATTAATTAAGAAACTTTAATTTCTAGTGGCTATAGATGTGTTTGTGTGTGACAAATAGAAAGAAATAAGTTGAAGAAGGAGACCTTAAAGTTGCCAAGAGGTGTCCATGGCCAGTCAGTGAGAATTCCTGGTTTAGAGGCCATACTTGTGCTGCTGTTTTTGCTTATGGGAAGTGAGGAGAGGATTCTTGTGATATATATAAATTTATAGCAAGCATGGGCTGTACAACTTTGAATAGATACTTAACACACGTAGACCCACCAACAACACGTGTAAGATTCTCATTGCCCAATTACAACATAGCAATTAAAGTTCAATACAAAATATCAAACGTAGGCCCACCTTCCACGTAAACAAAAATACTATATCTGCTTACTCATACATTTATTGTCCTTTCACATTAAATAAATAATAAATGTCTTTTTAACATAATTTCCATTTTCGTGTTTGTGCTAACAAATAACGATAAGCAGCAAAATAAGCATTGTCCAAGGAAAACATCACATGCGTGGATATGAGTTAGTTTCAGCCCTAATTTATTAATCCACCTATATTTTAATTACTTTTTTAAAAAATAATTTAAAATTTCAAGATGAGCAACAAACTATCTTTTCTGGCGGAACACAAATTCAATGTGGTTCTGTCGTAAGGGGATGAGTCATGGAATCCATTAGACTGCCGACACTTTCAAAATTGGTTGAAAGTTTTAATAATTTAACTGCGAACAGTTGCCGAGAATTGAGTATTGGGCGGCACCGAATGGGTGCTGAAACAAACTAGCGGTAGCAGCTTAGCTACAAACTAGAGACTAAAAACCAGCAACGTGTATCTGTGGCCCTATGCCACGTGGAATAGTTGGTATAACGTAATAAATATGCCTCATAAATACAATATGTATACCTAATTACATATTATATAGTTTTAATTCAATTGTATTTACGTAATTAGATTTTATTAATCGGTTAACTCCCACTGCCAAACCTTAAAGGAGGAATTAATTCCACCAAACCTACCTAGTATTGTGTCACACACTTGATTAAATATCATTTACAAATAAAAAGACGTACATTACAATTGTTGACTAATTAGGGAAGGATGTGTGACTAATTAATAACGCTAGTTTAAGTTATGTAAAGCCACAGCTGTCTCATAATTTGCCACCTCCACCTATATATAAATTTAAAATTAGACAGGACCTGCAACACTTGATTAAAGCCCATCTAGTTATACGTTCTACAGCATTCAATAAGAGGATTTTAATTGTTACAATTTTAACTACAATAAGGATTTAATTTCCAAAGTCAAAAGAAAGGCTATGCTTTTAACCTATAATTATAGTGATTATCACAACTCTTTTGAATAAAATGATAAAAGCAGAATTTTTGTACCCAGATTTTTTCCTCCAGTTATTCAAAATTCCATCATATTATTCTAAATTAAAATCATAAGACATTAGAATAAAAATTAAGAAATATTTTAATTCATTTTCATATCATGGTAATTATTTGCATGGTGTAATTGAAACTGAATGGATTCTACTAATAAGATTAAGATAATAAAGGGAGAAGGTAGTGCAGGAGTGGGCTAATATGAAAGCAGCCTATATTAAATTGGGCTATAGCCCGATATTGAAAAATAGGCGGGAAACACACATATCAAAAGGCGCCCAATTCCAAATCTAATCTCTCAGGCTCAGAGTAGTGTGAGGCACGGATTTCAGGTTTGTCTTTTATTTCAAGATTTCTCAATTTGGTTTTGTGTGAAAGATCTTTGCGTTAATAAAAAAGGAATAATTGAAAATTATAAGGAGTTTTTCCTCTTATGGTAGTTGATTCACATTTTCGATATTAGAACAAATTGGGTTCATGGAGAGAAGGTGAATTGTTTCATTCAATTAGTCTTCTACCGATGAATCAATCAGTTGGTTTCGGTAGTTTTAATGTGGATAATAACAATCTCTCCCTATCTCTTTTAATAAACTTTTATGGGCAAGGCAGATTGTTGATTGGTTAGTTATTGATGCTATTATGGATTAAACCCTAACCACAGGAATTTCTTTAATTGTGTTTTACTTTAACGCAGCAAGCAGAAGAGATTATCAGTTTGGTACGCCGGGATCTTTGATGTGTCATTCTGGTTCTGGATATTGATAATTTTCGTGTGGAAGTTGGACTAGTTATTGGTTAATGGAAATTATGGAACAAGCACGTCCAGTTTGCAGAGGTGCTGGAGCGGTGTTGAATCTCCAACCCAGCTCTTCAATTTCTATTGCATATCACACTCACTTTGGTCCACATGATGATCTAATTCTCCTTGAGGTTGATGAGAAACTCCTCCCAGATTTCTTTCACCAAAGGTGAGCACCAACTGCAAATTGAAATTTACAAGCTCATTGAATTCTCTGCTTTTCAACTGTTTATACTCAATTTAAGTCTTCATCCTAGGGTAAGTTTGAGAGGAGAACGCAGTGAAGATGCAGTTCTTTGCACTCAATCAAAAACTTATTCCATCAAGTTTGTTGGAACTTCTAATTCTGTATTCCTCACACCCCCACTGGATAATTCGATATTGTATGAAAATTCAGAAGATTGTAACGGGAAAGATAATCACAAAGCTATTGTGTCTGTTATCAAAGTTGCACCTGGAAATATGGAGCTTGTTGAGGTTGCTCCCAGACTTGACAAGCTCAAATTACTTCTGTCAGAGTATCCTTACAGCTCAAGGGAGGCATCAGAATTTGAGGATTTGGAGGAGATGGATAAAAGTATAACAAAAAGAATGTATAGTTGGGATGATCTGGTTGATGAGGTTCAGGCTAGCGATAATGAATTAAGGAGCGGATTACTGGCTATTTCAGCGGTAGAGATTGATGGTTACTGGAGGATTGTTGATGAGAAATACATGAGCACAATTTTGATTATGCTTTTGCACAATTCTGTGTTGAATGACTGGTCATTGGATGCACTGAATGAAGATGAAGTTGTAAGCATGCTGGTATCAGATGGCTTTCCACTCAAACTTTCGCACCACTGTTTGCATGTTTTTGGTAGTAAGGTGGAGGAGGGTGCGGGTGGAAGTTGTTTGTGGAGATTGGATGAGAGGCGAGTATGTGTACATTTTGCTAGAGAAATCTTGGTTGAAGGCAAAAGAAAAATGGATAATTTTATGGAAGAGTGGAAGCAGAAGGTTCCCAAGGGGATGCATCCAGATTTTGAGATGTTGGAAGGTGAAGTTTTGAAAGAGAAGTTTGGAGTTGAATCATGGGTTCATGCCTTTAGCGTTTCATCTTTGCCTTCCACTCCTGCAGAGCGTTTCTCCACACTCTTTAGAGAGCGACCAAAATGGGAGCAGAAGGATTTGCTGCCCTACATCAGGTTTTGTTCATCTTAATTCTCATTTCCTCTTTTACTGTATTCTTGATCCAAAATAGATATATACTCTAACCTCTCTTCCTGAACTGATTTACTAGGGATCTAAATGTACCGGGTCTTTCTTTGGAAGGCTTGCTGCTAAAATACACGCGAAGAACACAGCCAACCCTGGATGCTGAACCTGTTTTTAGCGCAAGATAGTGTAAAATGTTCCTTGGCATAACAAGGTGTCATTTTTGTGTCCTCACTGTGTTGAAGTGGATGAAGTAATGATGGATTGTATTAGAGAGGTGAACTGAAGTCATATGTTATTCATTTTGAACATTTTTATTATAGATCCATTTGTGTATAGCTAACTTCGATTACCACGTGTATGCAGGTATTTGTGATCATCTTAATATTTTCTGTTTTCACACCTCAAATGACAGATTTTTTTGGAATGTTAGAAGTCCCTATTTAGATCCCAAAGAATCAAATGATCTTAGAAGAGTAATTAATTTGGTAATAGTTTTACGCCCTCAGAAAAACTGATATGAGAGAATGCATGGATCATCTTTGATCAATTCTGAGAACTGTAGAATGTAGATTACTTGATTAAGAAGAATGCTCTTCCCCCATAATCCTTATACACATAATTGATGCAGGCAAATGAACATTCAACTTGTTTTGGGCAAGTGGGAGTGCGGAATTGATGCCGCATTTTAGAGTTTAGGGTTACTATTGTCTGATACAAGGGAAATCGATTACTTCCCCACACATCTTTTTTCGTTCATCTGTTCCTTAAAATTCACTGACCCATGCGACTGCGTAATTGTTATATGCATAAAATTCCAAGAGAAGAAAGCTGATTGGATTTGGCTTGTAAGATTCAAGTCATTTTTTATAATTTTCAGATTCTATTTCATTAATTTTTTTGAACAGGGGTAATTTGGAAAAGGGAAAGAACGTTATAGATAATGGTTGATGAATGGAATATTTTGATTTTTCACTGACTTTTTTGATTTATTTTTTTTCTTTCTGGCCTGGATTCAGTGCTCTCGGGTTGGGATTTGCAGTAATCACATTTACACTTTTTATGTTTTTTTTCTTTGTTTGTACTTTGTATATGACCCCCAATCTATACATTTTGTACATTTTTACTTGATTGTATTTATATGACCCAACCTATTCAGTATTCACATGGAGCTACCTGCTTTCATTTTCAGTGTTTTCATCTACAGATTATTGGGTTTGTTAAATGATATGGTCACAGTTTCTCCTATTGGAAAGGTTTTGATTGGCTCCAGTGCTCCTCTTCGTGTCATCCTATTGGAAAGGTTTGTTAAACCATAAATGTATGTGAATAAGCAGTGGTACTGGTCCACGGGTTAGTTAAATTGCCTTGCTAACTTGAAAGGTACATTCAGCTAGATGATAAGCGACTATGACTGTCTGGACGGTGGCTGATGACATGGTTCGACTTGGAAGTCAAGTCATTCAAGAAATAAAACAAATATTGTAATTTAATGGATGTTAGGACAAAATTAGAGGTTGTTATTTCATTCGTTACATAAATTGATGATTGCAATTTTGAATATAAAATTTAACCCAAACTAATCTTTTTAATTATTGTAACCATTAGCAAAATACTATTTTATGAATAGTTATAGAATATTTGTTGGTGGGAATTTGACTCTGAAGTGAGGAGTAATCACAGAGTGCAGATAAGGAATGGAGGTTGCAGTATATGTAAAAGAAAAGAATGGCAGGTGAAGGAGATAATTATTTGGACGCCTGCGACATTAATGGTTATTAATTAAACACAGC